TGTTTCAAGCCTCTTCTAATTTGATATCTCAGACATTGTGAGATGCTTCTTCATGTTGATGTTCTGATTGGCTAAACTACCTCAAACTTGGGTAGAGATTACTTAAATCATAATTCTTAATCTAGCAACACACATCCATTTTGCTGATTACTTTTGTGCAAAAGTACAAATCAGTTGCATTTTCCCCTCTTTTTCAGTAGTAAGGTAAGTGCTTAACAAATTTGATTTTCCTTTTCCTTGGCAGATTTGGTTACAATTGCGGAGCGAATGGCTACAGTGAAGCACAAGATATTGGTTCTCTCTGGCAAGGGTGGGGTTGGGAAGAGTACATTCTCAGCTCAACTGTCCTTTGCACTTGCAGCTATGGATTTCCAGGTGGGTTTGCTTGATATAGATATATGTGGACCTAGCATCCCCAAGATGCTGGCACTTGAAGGGCAAGAAATTCACCAGAGTAATCTTGGATGGTCACCTGTCTATGTCGAGTCTAACCTAGGGGTCATGTCAATTGGGTTCATGCTGCCCAACCCGGATGAGGCTGTAATATGGAGGGGCCCTCGTAAGAATGGCCTCATTAAACAGTTCTTGAAAGATGTTTATTGGGGAGAGCTTGATTTTCTAGTTGTTGATGCTCCGCCTGGAACTTCTGATGAGCACATCTCAATCGTCCAATTCCTCCAAGCAACTGGAATAGATGGTGCTATTATAGTTACTACTCCACAGGAAGTTTCTCTGATAGATGTCAGAAAGGAAGTAAGTTTCTGCAAGAAAGTTGGGCTGAATGTTCTTGGTGTTGTGGAGAACATGAGTGGTCTCTGCCAGTCGCTTTCAGATTTCAAATATGTGAAAATGACCGAAAATGGGGCACAACAAGATGTGACAGAGTCAATCCTTTCGATCATGAAGAAAAAAGCACCGGAACTGCTAAACGTGTTTGCTTTTAGTGAAGTGTTCGATAGCAGCGCTGGAGGTGCTGGTAGAATGTGCCGTGAAATGGGAGTTCCTTTTCTTGGAAAGATTCCTCTAGATCCTCAGCTCTGCAGAGCAGCTGAAGAAGGGAGATCGTGCTTTGTTGATGACAACAAATGTCAAGTGAGCGCCCCTGCGCTCAAACTTATCATAGATAAGCTGCTGGCACAACAAATGATTTCAAGAGTTGAAAATGGAGCCTAGGTGTTGGTGTTGATTCCGTATTTGTCCTTCCCTTCCCCCGGTTAAGAAGTGTGATGATGTCTTGGTTCTAATTTCGACTAGTAGTAAAGTTATGCATTAATTTGATTGTCTTATCAGCTTCATGGTCATTCAAGTTTTGACGATTTTTTTTTTTTTTAATTGGAGAAAAAGTTTTGACGTTGAAATTTGGTTTAGAGTCAGAAATGACACTTAGAATTTTCTGTTAGCAGTAGTCCCTTCTCACAGTCCAAGTTTACCTCAAATTACTGAGTATGAGGAGCGATAAGGAGTCTTGGAGTGATAAGGACGATCATACTCAACCCGTGTGATATGGTTGTTGATGAGAAGTCTTAGAGCAGTTCACTTCTTAAGTGATTACTTCTGCTAGTAACTGAACTACTTAGTTTAAAGCTTATCATGTTTATTACTTATGTCTATAAATATAGACATCATTGTATCAGTAATGAATCAAGGAAATAAGAGAAGCAGTTCACTTTTATATCTAAGCTTTATTTTCTTATTTTTCTTCTTCAACCTTATCCATTCTTTTATTTCCCCTTCCAAAAGTGATCTTGGTGTGGTGATAACTGATTGAACTGGATTGACGAAACAATTATGATACAGTAGGGTATTATGTGTCATCAATCTGTGTACAAGAAATATCATTTTTTGATGTTTCCAAACCGATTAGTTACATTTCTCAAAGTGCTCCTCGGCTGCCTGTATTATTGTTTAGTATAATTATGATGAGGTCTCTATATTACCATCATTTGGTTAAAATTAATACAATTATGATGAAGGTCTCTATATGTTTTCATCCTTTGGTTAAAATCAACACCGGAACCCCTGCGTTTTTTTATTACCTGCGAAGGACCCCTTGGTGGTGTTGATTGCGTGTGTGTGTGTGTGTGTGTGTGTGTTTTTTTTTCCCCTCAAGTATGATTATGTGATGGCTTCTCTTGTTTTTTTTTTCCCATCCGCATACAAACTATATTCTTCAGCAAACTTGAATGAAACTGTCTTGTGTATAAAGTTGAATTTTAAAAATAGGGCTTTATTTGATTTTCAAATTTTCGTTTGGACACTTTGATTGGTCGTGGTATTAATCATAACATTGGCATGAAAACCCGAATTTTTTGGGGTCTGAAATCGTAATAGGTTCCCTTTTTAAGTTTTGATTACTCCCCTTATGAATATTATTAATATGGAGGAATATCGTGTAATCAATAAGGGGGAGAAAAAGAGAACAAGAGATTGTCTAAAAAAAAACTTGAAACCGATCATCAAAACAATGGATTCACAATACCTTATCAAAAAATTAGATTTGAATTTGAAAAAAAAAAGAAAAGTAAAGAGTGATATTTGTTAGTCAAACCAGGAAACAAATTACAAAAAAAAAAAAAAAAACTAAAGAGTGATATTTGTTAGTCAAACGAGGAAACAAATTACAGTAGTTGGTACATGCATAAAAATGTAACATTATGATTTTAGAAGTTCTCTTATTGTAACAAAAACAGAAGATTAACCGATAAGCAACGACCTATCCTGAATCTTCAAATTTTCAACGTGTGAGCTTCCAAACAATTAATAAGACTCTTGCCAAAAGCAATAAGACTGCTGCCAAAAGTTTACATGTACAGACTAGAGTCTCCCCCTTCCAATTCAGAGGAAGGAGAAAATATTTAGCGGTTGTTAACCACCATGTCATTGCTTATGCGGTGGTTAATAATCCATTTAGTGATTGCCATGTGTTAATTAATTTATTAATGAAAGGTTTGAATAAAAATTTTTCTTCTGATATTCTCTCTTTCAAACGAGGCACAATATCTGCTAAATTTTAGCACTCTCTTTCCTCTAACCAACAAAGAATTTATCACGATGATTGAAAAAAAAAAAGTAAATCAAACTCCCAGTGAATTGTTATATGGCAAATCACCTTTACTTTCTCATTTATGTGTGTTTGGTTGCTTATGCTATGTTCATAACCAGAATCGGAATGGTGATAAGTTTACTAGTCTTAGTTGTAAGTGTGTTTTTGTTGGATATCTGTTTGGCACTAAAGGCTGGCGGGTTTATGATTTAGAGACTGGGAAATTCTTTGTATCTCGGGATGTTGTTTTTTCCGAGTATGAATTTCCTTACTCATCCTCGTCTCCTGTTCCTGAGCCTACTTTTTTACTTCCTACATCGGCTGTCTTTCCTGATGATGATGATGACATCTCAGTTCCGTTGGGTCCACCGGCTTGTTCTCCTATTGAATCTGGTTCTGCTCCTTCTCCGGGAGATGTTGTCTCGTCGTCCTCTGATACTGCTAGTCCTGCTTCTGGGATCTCCGATGCCGGGGGAGGGGGGAGGGGAGGTTTAGATTCCACTGGTCCGCCGGAAGAACTTTTGGGTCATGGTCACCGTCAAAAGTTCTGCTCCACTCGTATTCGAGATTTTGCGGCTCATACTATTCTTCCCAAAGGCCCATCTCTCAGCTCTTCTGCTTCGTCAGTTTCCTCAGGTATGTCCTATCCATTACACAAGTATGTGAGTTGTGACACTTTTTCTGCGCAACATCGTGTTTTTCTGGCTAGTATAGCCGCAGGTGTTGAGCCACGTAATTGCGCAGAGGCTATACGAGATGCTCGTTGGCAGACTACAATGCAACAGGAGATTCAAGCTCTTAAGAATAATGATACTTGGACTTTGACATCCCTTCCATCTGGGAAGCAGCCAAAGCCATGCCTTCACTGCCGGAAATTACAAAATTCCGGACGCCAGCGGTGGTCTGAACATAGAAGTTCATAGGAGAGACAGAGGAAGCTTCACACTGGGCAGTCGAGCAAAGGCTTTCTTCCTGCACAACCAAAGTATAAGACCGTTTCAAATTCGGAAGAGGCAAGGTGGACAGAATGTTCAAACGAACAACAGCAAAAAGGTCCGAATTGAGGCCCATTAGAAACTGATGAAGATGCTCCATCTCCTGGTGAAGCTCCAAACAGAAGTCATCTTAACCTGACATGGCGCACACAAGTCAGAGACCGACGGCGTGTTAGAATTGCCAACATCGTCCCATAGTTTTTGAAGGCGGCCATAATACGACTCAACAGAGGAGCCTTTCTGCTTACACTTAGAAAGATCGGTCTTCAATTGCTGGATTCTAGAGCCAATCACAACGGAAAATCTTTCTCGGAAATGGTCCCAAAGATCGGCAGCAATTTCTTTCTGAGGTATCGCTGACCAGAGAGAGGGATCAACGACGTTGAGAAGCCAAGAAGTAATCAACGTCTGAATTGTCCACTAGTCGTCCAAATTCTTCTGTTTCTTTGGCTTCGGAATCGATCGATCAACAAAGCCGAATTTCTTGCGAGTACGGAGAGCCATTCGCACAGCTTTGGACCACTCGGCGTAATTGGAAGCATCCTTTAAATGAACGTGGGTGATGATATTGCCAGAGTGATCATTAGAAGTTATGTCATAGGTGAAATTGTCCGATGAGCAGCAACATCTTCATCGGACGAAAAACTGGACGCATCAGACATGGTGACGGAAAAAAACGATGAAGAAAAACCCGCTCTATGATACCATGCGAAGATACTTAGGGGGTAACTAAAGCCGACATTAAACTAAGTCGTCAAAAACCTTGTATACTTAGGGTTTATACATCGTATATACACACAACCGTAAAAGAGGTAACTATGTACCGTAACTTTAATAGTATTACATTCACAACCCTAATAGATAATCCAGTTTGATAAACTTCATCAAGATTCCAGTTGAACATTAGCGTCAAAGTTCCAATTTGATAAACTTCATCAAAGATTCCACATTTAACATTAGCGATGAAGCTTGAAATCTTGGAACCTGAATCTTCCTCTGATGCCGGTAATTTTACTGAATTTCGAAACCATTCTGTTTGAATTGGTGAATTACAACTGGGTTCTTCGGAATTTTATCCAGAATTTGATTGATTTTATGGACTCCTGAAAGTGGGTTTTTCTTGTGTCTGCGTTTTTTTTTTTTTTTTTTAACTTAATTTTCTTTCATTGCAGGTGGGTCTCATAAGGATAACTCGATTATAGCCTCGGCTGATGATAAGAATTCGCCTGCAACTTCCAATGTTCTTTATTACGATTCCCAATTTCTGCTTGTCTGCAATGAATTTGGACATCTTGTCCCCGTTGAAGGAATCGAAGGAAGGTCCAAACGGTTGTGTGGAAGAGAAAGAGTGGATCTTTGGGACAGAAGTTGTTGCTACCTCATACACGGTATTGAGAATATCTTCAAATTATAGAAAATTCTTGCAGCTAGATTGATTTATCTGTATTGTCTGGTCTTAATATTAATGGCCTTTTTTGGACTTGAACTTGTGTTAATGGGGGTTTCTAATTATTCTGGTTGGTTATATGCCCCATATCTGTTGTGTTGAATTTGCAATTTAAGCTTAATATCTTGCTGATCTTGAATTTCGAGTAGAAGAGATGAATCCATATGATTTTTTATTACTTTGCTTTTATGCACTGGGTGGCAGTATTTTTCTGTAATGCTGTTTTTCTCCGACCTAAGTACGTAGGAAGCTATAGTCTATAGAGCAAAGCTTAAATCTTTCAAGCCTTTCTAGTTTCTTGGAAACAGTATGAACCCAGTCAGTTTCACAAATAGACCCTGAATCTGTATTCTGTTCAAGAAAAGTATTCTTCAGTGTATAATCTTGTAATTTCAATAGCTCTGCGGATCATACTGTAACTGCAGTTTCTTCATCAGATACATTGGAACTCATGTACTGTATCTTTTTCGTCTTTACTTTGCAGGAAAATCACAGCACAGGATGTTTCCAAAAAGCATAAAATGGACCTTTTGATGAGTAGGCGGGAGCTAGGAGATGCAGCTCGCCAGCAAACTGTCAGGTGCATGGTGAATAAATCAGCAAGAAGGCTAAAATATATGATCAAGGAGGTGAAGAATATCGATAAGAGTGATTCTGGAAGGATTCCTCAGATAAATCTGTCATATCTTGCAAATCATGGAGGAGATAGTCATCCTGAACCAGAAATTTTCAAAGACGCTGGATTACAAATTGATTTATCATCTCTAAACAATATGCATTTTGCGAAGGAATGGCCTTTCAGGGATAAGCAGCATCATAACTTGAGAGACATTTGTCTGCTACTTCCTAGTTTAGCAGAGAATGAAACCAAGTGCAGTAGAGAAGTAGCTCCGGGAATTGACAGAAGGGAAGATGGCAAATTGATTGATATTCTGCCAGAGGTTATCTACTGGATACAGCATTGAAGCATGAAGTTTACAAGAGGAGGATTTCATGTTATATGTGTGAGGCATGGCAGCATGCTAACTGCTACTATAATGAATATTCACAAGCTGTGCATGCATAATATTCTGTGCTAAAACCAACTGCCGAGCTGTCTACCTATCCATTCGGAACAATTCTTGGAAGTAATGTCAACTTGAGTTCTAACTTAAGTAGGTCAGACATTTATCCGTGGCAGCATAAGATACGACTTCAACAATGTATTTGTGATCAACGTCCCTCAGAGTTACCATGGCACAACGGTGCTGATGACAGTGTTGCCTCAACTATATATCTTATTTCTGCTGCGATTGGTTTTCTAGTATTTGTTCTGTTGCTTGGTTTTCAAATATATTTTATGCCTCTAATACAGAGGTCCTTCCAGAAAAGAGAAGAAATTTCTTCCAGAAAACATAAGAAAAGAAGAAAAAAACAGAAAAAAGGAAGAACAATCGAAAAAGTGAGTTTTAAATATGAAAATCGACTACGACTTGGCAGTCGTGGCACTCTTGTTCAAATGATCCTTCATACACAAGAGTGCCATGACTGCCAACTCCTAGTCGATCTTCATATTTAAAACTCACTTTTCCGATTGTTCTTCCTTTTCTTTTCTGTTTTTTGTTCTTTTCTTATGTTTTCTGGAAGAAATTTCTTCTCTTTTCTGGAAGGACTTTGTATTAGAGAGGCATAAGATATCTTTGAAAACCAAGCAACAGAACAAATACTAGAAAACCAATGACAGCAGAAGTAAGATATATAGTTGAGGCAACACTGTCATCTGCACCGCTGTGCTATGGTAACTCTGAGGGACACTGATCACAAATACATTGTTGAAGCCGTATCTTATGCTGCCACAGATAAATGTCTGACCTACCTAAGTTAGAACTCAAGTTGACATTACTTCCAGGAATTGTTCCGAATTGATAGGTAGATAGCTCGGTAATTGGTTTTATCACAGAATAATATGCATGCACAGCTTGTGCCATGCCTCACACATATAACATGAATTTCTGCTAGCTTGTGCCATGCCTCACACATATAACATGAATTTCTGCTAGTTGCTTTAAACTGGAAGTCAGGAATGAAACCACAGCTATATATATAAAACTGACTCATTCAAATTATCCAATTTGCTTCTGTAGCCTGCAGATGTTGTTGCTGCTGAAGTTACTAGCAGTTCCACCATTGAAACCATTGCAGGGGTGAGTTATTTAAATTTAGAAATTTCAAAAAAAAGAAAAGAAAAACCCTTGCACACATAATGAATTTGCTCCTGCCTCCTGGTATAAGGTAGATGAAGTTATAGTTGCATTATGCTATTATCTTTACTTGTCAGCACTCTTCAAAATTATCCCTTTTATTTATGCGTAGTCTTATGGTTTTTGGTTTCTGACTATGCTCATGAATATACTTGAGAGAGATAGTTGGACTTTGGCTTATTTAACCAAGTCAACCATTATTTTGAATCTTGTTGTCAGATCTGGAGATGTTAAATTAGTCCATGTAAGCACTGATTTCTCTGATTTGTTGTTTTTGGTGATAGTTCCAATAAGTGCTTCAAATATGTTACTAACTCGGCTGATTTGGTGGTGGTGATGTTACTGTTTTAATTTCTAATAAAGATTGCCATTTTACTTCATCAGTTTTGTGACGGAACTTGTTTCATTAATTTCTAAGCTTGTAGTGTAAAATCTCTATAAAATCACAAAAATAAATTCCAATTTGGTTGGCGTTTATGGTTTTACATTTTTCTTGCTATAGTTGTTCTTCATTAGTATGTATTGCTCTTTTAGGTTCCATAATATTGTCATAAAGAAGTTTAATAGTTTCGTTGATTTGACCTCTTTTCAGGGATGTATGTGTCAAATTGGTTTGATCAGAAAAACATTTTTTTTATTTTCTTCAAAAGCAAGTATTTGCTCGAATGGTCAATTGTGGGACCAGCGATTTTGATGGTGGGAACATGGTTGCTTCTGGCTCATTTGATTGTTTGAATTCAGAGCTTGCAGCAGTAGTAGGGTTTTGGCTCTGATTTAGGAATTGGTTTCTACTATGGACTCTTCGCATAAGGCAGAAAAAAGGACAAGCATCCAGAACATCATTTCTATGGTTGTTATCTGGTATCTTTGCTGAAGCTTTGATAAAGCAAACTGTTTTGGTAACTGTTGTTGGAGCAGTGGTATTAATCGCACTGCCAAGGTGGCTGTTGCTTTAGTAGCTGTTGAGGCATGCATTTAGTATTATGGTTATTGTTCCAACGGGCTGCTGTTGATGTTTAGATGTAATAGTTTGATATCCTGTTTGTTTGTTTACAGGTTATGCTGGCCCCAGGTGCAGAGGCTTCAATTGGGAGTGCAGAATTAGTAGCCTCGATTTTTCTGTTGATGAGTGTATCAGTTCTGGGAAGAAGAGCCTGCAGTTCCCACTGATGTCTGATGAGCGGCGGGCAGATTGTGCATTGCCAAAGAGACAATTGTGTTGTGAGAAGAAATGTCCCATAATTTCCTCTGCTTTCTTCGTTATCTTCCCAACCGCTTCTGACTAAAAAAAATTCTTTAATATTCAAGCAACACCCAGAAAGGTTTATCTCCGGTGAGCTTGTGATGGTGGATCCCTTCTTCCACCATGCGATGAAAGGGTGTGGCTTCTCCGGAGCATATCTCAGGGCAATACCTTTTGGTGGTTGCTGTCTTCTGCAATTTTCTGTTGTATGTTGGAAGTCTTGGAAAAATGGGATCGAAAGTTTGGTCAAAATTGCTGTGCAAATTGGTCAATTTAAATTGGTATTTAATGTGGTGGGAGAATATAATTTTTGATGGGTCAGACTAATTCATCATGAAGTGTCAGTGTGAAGTTCAGAGCACTGCTGGGAGACCAATAAGATGGAAAGGTCACGATATTTAATAAATCATTCATCCCTTGAACAGTAGTCAGTAGTCACGATATTTGATCAAATGCAATCTGGGTTTTTTTTTCTTTCGTTTTGCTATTGATTCTGCAAGGAAATACAAAGGGTTGTTGAACAGGGATTTGAAATGGCAGTTGAGTAATCAGAAAACTTAAAGGAGCATATTTTGGTGCTAAAAAAGAAAGCACTACCGACATTCAAAACTTATTCTCCTTTTTCTCCTTTTAATTTTTTGTTTGTGTTTCTTTATGATGTTTAAATTTAAGTAGGTGTTTTTATTTGCATTTCTTAATTGAACCTATTTTTGTATATGCAGGCTTATACCGGAGTTTTGGCAGCAAGTCTACCAATTTCAGCTTCTCATAGAGCAAAACCGATATGCAATGGGTATAATTCTATATCTTCGCTCTTACTGTGTAATTTCTTATATAGACATGTCTATTGGCTTCGGTTAGAGAGTATTCCTGCTCTTCTGGAAACTTGGATAATCAAATACATGAGACTTTTGGGGAAATGAAGGGGGTGGGACTGATGTGAACTATTTACATTCATTACAGAGAGATGGTCGTGGTTCTGCTTTGGCTCGGAACTGAGAATTAATACCTTTGCTGATTTTATTTTTATTTATTATCATTATTATCTTTAAGTCATTTAGATTGTGTCTTTTAAATGGTTGTTAGTTATATCTGTCAAAACTTCATTTTCCTATTAGACTAGTGCTGCAGTACTTGAAAATAGTCATTTTATGACCAGATTTACTGTTCATTGCAGTTATTTGAGCTATTTTACTAGCTGGAAAGCAGCTTGAGAAACTCCATGTTCAAGAAGAGGATGATGGCATAAATATGCAAACAAAGACAATTTGCTTGCCTCTTCGGAGAAAGTTGATCAAATCAGCTTCATCATCCAGTCTTATGTCTACAACTGAAAAATTATTATGTGGGCTTCACGAAGAAGCTGCTGATTGAAAAGATATTCATAATTTATTTGTCATCTCTGATGGACAATTTTCAGAAGTTCCCATTGAAAAGTAAAGAACTCTTGATCTTCCCACTTTTTCATCTATAGTTTTTGCTTCTTTCACGTCCCTCTTTGCATGAATAACTTTGAAATTTGTAGGTTGGTAATGCTAGAATGAAGGTTGAGCTGGCAGAAGAGAAATTGGATTCTTTGATTAGCACGCACCGCAAACAATTACAAGAACACACCTTAGCGTTCATGAGTGTGTTTGGTGTTACTCATTTAGTTGAGGTAATTTACTTTACTGATATCTGAAATTTGTCAACATGCCAATAATTTCTGGCTTGCAAAACTTCCAAATTATGTGCTCCTGCATTTCTTTGTTTTTTTACTTTGACATTGGCTGGTTGGTGGGTGGCAATGGATTTTTAAATCACGTGTCTGTTTCATACATGAGACTTTTGTTATAACGTACAGAGAGATATTTTGGTCTTCTTTTCTTAATTAGGTGATCCTGATTTCTACATTGTTGTGATGTGGGGTGTAAAGCGAGTCTGCAATAAATTATAGTTGTGTGTAAAAAATGTTTTATTTATCATAGAGTAGACCGTTTCAACCAAAATGCTTTATCTTTTCTTAGTATTTGACATGTTCAACTTAATCCAGTGTTGGTGTTTGCTTCTCCGCCGTTTGTAATCTGTAATGATTTGTAACGTCAATTACAGTTACAGCTAAGTGTTAAGGTGCCTTCAGATTGGGTAAATGTTAATAGTACGAAGAAAACAATACGTTATCATCCTTGCAAAGTGTTGACAGCCTTGGACCAATTGCCATCGGTAAACGAGGAGCTAACTCTCATTTGCCAAACAGCTTGAAATAGCTACTTCAAGGACTTTGGTAGGCACTATGCCGAGTTCCGGGCTGCTGTTCAGGATCTCGCTGCTTTGGATTGACTGTATTCACTCTCTATTCTTGCAAGGAATGAGGTGTTTCTCTTAAAGTTGGATGCAACTGTGTGAATTATGAATAATGTAAATCTCTAACCTTTCCAACTCATCTGTTGCTATTGAAGAAGTATGTCCATCCAACTTTTGTCAATGAGAGTGAGCCTATGCAGATACAAATTATAGCTGGTCATCATCCGGTATGTTCTTTTAAAATGTTAATCATCTGCATTGATAACAAATTTGACTCTTAATAACAAGAATGTGGTGAACCATATCCTTGTTTACTGGTTGACTGACTTGTTTATATTCTCCCTCCTCTCCTCCTATCCTTCTTTGCTCTCAGCTATTAGTATGAAATATCAATTGTCTTCTCTGGTTGAATGTCAGATAATTCATCTTCTTATGTCACTTTCATTTACTTGTACATTACTGATTTCGTTTTATTTTGGTGTCCCAGTGTGATGGAGACCGTGTTACTTGATAACTTTGTTCAAAATGATACAAATCTGCATGCCTAAGGAGAGTGATGTCAAGTTATTGTTGGGCCAAACATGGGTGGAAAAAGTTACTATATATTCGCCAAGTTACTTCTCGTTGCAATTATGGTTCAGGTTGGATCAAGTTTTAGTGCTCAAGTCCACATGATTTCTTTTCCCACTAACATTGTTATGCTAGGAATATTTTCTGTGGTTGACTACAATACTTAAGAACACCTTTTTATTGTTTCTTGTGAAACAAATGAATTTAAGCTTTTCGAGTTTCATTGTTCTTGAATATGGGCGTCATGATTCAAGATAACATTACCCACCTTTACAAACTGCTTCCTGGCATTTCAGAAAGAAGTTTTGGGTTCAAAGTTGCTCAACTAGCTAAGTAGCTTGCTGTCAGATGACTATTGATTCATGAAATCAAGTAAAGCTGATTGCCTTTGCAGGCCTTTAGATGCATAGTATGCGTCCGCGATAAATGCCATATGTTTTCACGATAATCAAATTATACTATTGAATATCCCACAAGTGATTCGTAAAACAAGATCTATGTTCCTGTTGCCCTTTCTATGAGACATCTCATTCCTCTATTTCCTAAGACTCGTTGTTTTTTCTATTTAATTACTTTGGTTTTCATGTGATGAACCCTTGTGTGTGTCAATTGCAGAGTGCAGTTTCTGGGCTAAATAGAGGTCTTGCTGCTGGTGAGGATGATTTGCGAACGACAGATGCTGCTGCTAAGGAGCTTAAGTTTGTTGCAGGACCTATAGATCTCCTTGCTGAAATTGATAAAGGGGAGATTGATCTACAGCAGTGCCTTCTCATCTCACACTCTTAGCGGAAGCCATCCTGGACCTCCCACTGGAAGGCGTCTCCCTATAACTCTTCCAGGTAAGGAACTCCTTGGTGATCAGAATGCCTGCCCTTACATGATAGTAATATTTTGCTGTACTACTTTCCGCAACTAAAAATTTGGTTCCAAGAATGCTGGCATGCAGTGATTTCCCAACTTCTATGCAGGAAACATCTAAGGCATGACTTCCCTAATATTGTAATTACCTATGGCGTGCTCTAGATCAATGGCATTCTGATTGTGTTTTTCATAGCCTCAATCTGGATTTTCTAATGTTCAAATCTGATTACATCTTATGGGGTGATTAGGTATTCCAAAGGATTGATGTTTTGAGCAAGGACTTTGACAACATACTTGAGCTTGAATCAGGAGCGCCATGGGCGCTTCCACCGGTTGAATTGACTGCAACATTATCCCACAAATTTGAAATTCTAGGTTGGTGCTTCTATGTTCTGAGTCCCTTACTTAGACGTAAGTGTGGCTTTTGAAATCTGTTTTTTTTTTTTAACAACTATTCCACTTCATCATGGCTTGAGCAGACACTTGAAGCATCAAGTTAACATTTGAAAAACAACAGTGAAAAAAACTGGAAAATTATCGCAGCTACCACCTGTAGAAGTGCCAAGGATACCAGATTCCTTAAGGCCACCTTCTAACCCTGGAAGTGGTGAATTTGAAGTTACCTACCTTGATTCAGATATATGAATTACATGAGGAGACAGAGGAGAGGTCAAGGCATTTGTCACCTCATGATCAGATGCTGATGAACTTTCGTGCATGATTTGAAAGTTTGTTTCTCTGATATACAAACCATTGATCCCTGCAGCTCTGCGACGGTTTCAATTATCATGAATGATTTTCTTGGTGTTGCTTTCATTACACTTAGAGGTTGTGCAGATGTTAAACGTTTATATTTATACCCGCATCAATACACTGTTGTGACTTGAGAGCAACATAGAAGTTTGGAACCGTATTCTTGTATGACCCTAATCTTGTATTTAGTGTATTGTGTATATACAGTAGTCCCTTAATAATGCTTCAGTTAATGCTGGTTCATTGTTAAATGTAATTACAAGCTTTCAGGTTTCCACCTTTATAAGTTGACCTGAGAAAGGATTTATGCTTTCTAGTCTAGGATATCTTTCACTTTAAGGAATGCAAATCAACAAAAAGATTAAAAAAAAAAAGAAAAAGAAATTATCAAGTAATCAAGATAAAAGCAAAGTTGGCCAGAATAAAACAACGGCATTAGGATAAACTATTTTATTTATTTTGTATAAATAAACCATTTTATTTATTCTATCTTGAAAAAATATTGTTTTCTCTATGATTTACGTTGGTATTTTAGAAATATTCCTATCCAAGAATTTCATGTTTGTGTATCACTCTATCAAAATGTTATCAAAATTATTGTGTTAGAAATATTTTTTTTCCTAAAAAAAAAAATCCAACATTGTAGGGATTTGCTCAAATTATTATCATAAAGATGATCCTAATTTCATGTTTAATTTGGCATAAAATTCAGGGGCTTTAACACAATTTAACATATTCTTGGTTTCATGAAGGAAAATCATATTTAGCACAAGTAGAAAGATAAGGTAGAATGTGATCTTAGTAACCTTAATTTTGTAGATTATTGTGTTTTTTGCTTCTGCGAAGATTGACAACAGGTACGCATGTTCAAAGTAGAAGCAGAAGAATATCAAAAAGAAGGCAGGGACTCGAAGATACTTTAAATGTATCTTAATTTGTCTCTTAAAAAATTACAGTGCACACTCATGGCGTTTTAAAAATATCACAAACTTTAATGCATTAAGTACTTTCCATCCTCATTAAGTTTTATCTAATTTCTTTTTACCACTTTGAATTTGTTTTATCTTGGGTGAAATACATATCCAGCTCAGCACGGATATGGCAGAAAATGCGCCATGATCAATATTTATCTAATTTTTTCAAATATTCTTTTCCAACCAACGGTCTAATATAATGAATTTGGAGGTCGTATTTTTTCAATACACGACATAATTTCAAGAACAACGAATCAGGAGGTTGTGTTTGTTAGATTGTATTCTTTCGATATAGAGCATAAATTTTAACACCGCGCGTGCGCCAAGTATCGGTTGCGCTAGGAGTATTTCTTTTTTAAGTTTTAAATTGACGGAAATTTTGATGGAGCTTATCCTATAGGAATCATAAATAGGTTAAAATTAAGAATATATAAATTTATATTAATGGTTTAACTGATTTTTTTTTACGGTTTAATGAATGACCAATCATGAATTGACACGTGTTAATTGAATCAATTGATTATCTCTTCAATGACACCTCTCAATTCATCTCATTTCCTTTAATATATACTAGTATGTGTCCCGCACTTTGCGCGGGTTTGTCAATATTGAAATTTATCTTCCAAAAAAATTAATTAGATAATGTAGTCATTAATATTTCTTAAAACCGTAAAATTTTTTTGATTAATCAATTTTAGATCAAAATGAGAGGTACTGATATTATTTATGAGATGTATATTTGTAAGATTTGGCCAAAAATATTACAACAAAAATTTTGAAAAGTTGTGTAATAAAAATTGTCACCACTAACTAATGTTATGTTTAGATTAAAAAATATATTAAAAATGCGTAAATTATATCTAGATGCCTATGGCTTATTTATAGGTACAGGGACTTTGGGGATTAGACACAATGAATCGTTCTTGAAAATGTAAAATCGATAGAATTGAAGACAAAGTAGTACATAAATAGAACTTTAAGGGCTAAAATGATAATAAGTTAAAAGTGATGCTTGAGGGTCTCAATTAGCGACACGTATCGATTATCTTTCTTTCTTTTAATATATATAATGATATATATAGGATTATACTCAGTTAAAGAAAAAAATGTAATAAATAAAAATAAAAATAAAAAATATCAAATTTTCCATCTGCAATAATTACCGGTGAAATAAATGTGAGCACAAAATCTTTACTTTGGATGACATGTATAGACAACATGCGTTAGTATTACACTATCACATATTGCTTCCGGTTTTTATTATAAAACATTTTGATTTTTCTTAAATTTTATTTAGAATGTCGTTCTAATTAAAAATAAAACCATCGAAATACTCCCTCCGGTCTTAATATAAGACATTTTTATTTGTCTTAACTTTTACCTAATAAATATTTTTAATTGATAAAAAAATCTTAAAAATCTTTCTTGAGGTTTCACCTTTAAGCATTTTTAATTGACAAAAAAACCTTAAAATCTTTCCTTACAATCAAGAGAATACAACGAATGGCAAAATATATGTAGAAATTCTTTTTTCAATTAAATCACATATTAGGTGAAACCTAAGACAAAATCAAAATGTCTTATGTTAAGAGAGGAGGGAGTAATATATTGTTACATTCTTTGCTTTCTCTCGATTATAAAAAAACAGTATTTTTAATGGTTTTTTTCAATTAATAAAACATATTCAATGAAATTTATAAAAAATCAAAATGCCGTACGATAAGGATCGAAGAATAATTATTATGATTGATGAACATCTCAATTATATATTTGACTATCACAAGTTAAACTATTAAATTTCCAAAAAAAAAAAAAAAAAACAAAAAGCCAGAGTCCTAAGATTACCTTACCCGTGTTAATACGTATGATGAAATCTCCTAAAATTGTTTCTTACAGTTACACGTACTTAATTATTTCTTGGAGGAGAATGTGAATAGAAATGACTTGCATATGTTTACCTTATATATATATATATATATATATATATATATATATATATATATATATGATTGTCATGAGAGTACACAAAGTTTTAATTATCATTAACTTAATTACTGAGTTTGGTTAAATATTTTGTCAGGCACTAAACTTTTCACTTTCTTGTTTCTCCCATTAACCTATTCTTTTATTGTTAATTTTAATATTAAAATAATTATTAATCATTATTAGGTAGTGAATTTGATTAGTTCAAAAACGGTTTCTTACTATCTTCTTTTTCTCTTTTTCGAAATTAATGAATTCATCAACGATCAATTGAGTAATTGTTTCACAATTCAAAAGAATGGAAAGAGTCATACGTCTTCTGTTTTTAATCTCTCTAAGGTTTTTACTATCTTTTCTTCTTCATCTTCTCTTTTTGAAACTAATAAATTCACCAACGATCATTTGAGATATTGTTTCATAAAATAAAAGGATAGTAAGAGTTTTATTTCTTTAATTTTTAATTAATATAATCTTAAATGGTGTACGAGTTTTAGCACTTATTATTATTTGTTTTCTTTGACTATGTGACTTCATCACAAGTCTTCTTCCTTTTTTTAAAATTCTTTTTTTATATAATTGTTGTGGTGATATAGAAATTTGATTTTGTTCTATTGCTTACTATATTTTGTAGATATAATATAATGGACAACAACGATACTCATTTTTTTATTATTAAAATTTATTTTTTTCTTTTATATAGTTTACGTAATATAATATTATTCAGATATACGTACGAAACCCATATAATCTATCTAGTTATTCATTATATCTTAAAATAATCATGGTCGTGTTTTATGTACTAAATAATATCATATATAGAGCAAAGTATATGTAAATGGATTCTCATCATTTATCGTAACTAGACTAGACGAAGTTTACTTTGGACAATCTTGTAAGTTGACTTAAGCATATAGAATTTTTCTTTTTTAATTTTGACAGTATTCCAAATTAAGTATGGAACGTTAACTAAGAAGAAAAAGAAGAAGAAAGAATTAAGTATGAAAACCACCTGTTCATGCGCTGGTTCTGATTCATCATTTAAGATGAACCTAAAATTCGATATTGGTGCAATCCATGTATACGGACTTTCCTTTTGTACGCTTTTTCTGCAGCTAATTTGTTTCCGAATTTGATTAGGAATTACTTTACCAAATCCAATTATTGTATGAAAAGGTATTCATAAGTTAATCGCATTTTCCTGATTTGGTTTCCATTTTTTTTTTCCCCATAAATGTTATCATATTTTCCGCTGATGATGATTACTCAACACTCTACACACACATCTAATGATCAGTACACAGCAATATCATATACGCCCTCTGTCCAAAAATTATTGTCCAGTTTGAAATTTCACTTTTAGTACAATTTGAAATAGAAATGAAAACCTAAACTAGACAATAATTATAGGCCCGAGGGAGTATATATATTTGAACATCAATGCATTACACTGCTTCCAGAAATATAAATGATATTTGCAGCCATCAAAGTCGGCGAAGAGATCCCAAGAATGCTTTCACTCAAAGTATTAACACCAAGTGATTCCCGATCGGTTACAAAATGTTTATTATTAGTAAATTCCTATGAAAGGACACGTCCAAGTTGTTCATTATTTACGGTAAAAATAACATTGTCCATGCATATCCTTAAGTTCAGTAAATCCTTCCTTTTATATATATAAACCACGTTCATCATCACCATCCCTTCAAATTCTTACGTTTTTTTAACTTTGTACCTGCAAATAAGTGACAAAAATCTCTCGTATTAATACACATTCCATTCTGTTTTCTTCATCAAATCATTTCCATAGTATGACTCCCCGTATTCTCTAATCTAAATCTTATAAATTCTCTGAGATATTTTATTCATCATCACTTAATTTCTTGAAAGAAGAGAAGAAAAAGAAGCATGGCTGCAGTTACAAATTCTGTCCCTTTCTTTTCCACGTTATGTTTGATTTCCATCTCCATTCATCATCTTTTTGTGATCCCTTTCTTGGTGGAAGGTTTTTCTGTTGAATTGGTTCATCGTGACCATGGTAAATCAACGGGTGAGGATTCCTCGCAATCTCATTACCAAATGTTACACGATGCGTTTCTACGTTCATTCGCTAGGAAAGATTTCTTCAAGCAACAAATTAAGGGTTCGAAGCAACAAACCTTTTCAAGCATGGATGCGGACGGATCGCAAGCACAAATCAAGTCGTTCATAACCAACGCGGCCGGAGAATACCTAATGCAAGTCTCCATCGGGACTCCTCCGCTCACCATCATGGCGATCGCGGACACCGGCTCCGATCTGACCTGGACTCAGTGCGAGCCTTGTGTCCAATGTTACAAGCAAGAGACTCCCCTTTTTAATCCCGCGAAAAGTTACTCTTACAAAAAGTTACCTTGCAACTCACCCCTATGTAAAGAAACGGGTCAGCCGGGTTGCGACTCGTCAAACTCTTGCACGTATCAATATTCCTACGGAGACGGTTCCTCCACCGCCGGCGATGTTTCCACCGAAACATTCACTTTTGGCTCGAATTCCGGCAAGAACGTTTCCATTCCGAACATTGCCTTCGGTTGCGGGCATCAGAATGGAGGAACATTCAACAGAAGCGGGTCGGGAATCGTCGGGCTCGGAGGCGGAAAACTCTCTGTGGTCAACCAATTTGGGAACGTGGTCAACGGAAAGTTTTCTTATTGCTTAGTTCCGTTTGGACGATCCAACAACGTGACAAGTAGAATCAGTTTCGGAACATCCGCAATTGTTTCGGGCAAGGATACAAAGTCAACCCCGTTGTATAAGGGCAACCCGGACACTTTTTATTTCCTAAATCTTGAAGGAGTTAGTGTTATTCAAGGAGGAAGAGCAAGTGGCGTTGGTTCTGGAAATAATGGTAGTATAAATGCCAAGAGAATCAGCGTGAATAAACTCAGTTCTACTGGTGTTTCTACTGATTCTGTTGGTGTTGGTCCCGGAAAACCCGGTAACATTGTTATCGATTCCGGTACGACGCTGACTTTTCTTCCTCGTCAGCTGGCTACTGATCTGGAGGCGACTTTGCGTGAATCTATTTCCGGCACGGCCGTGCGGGACTCACAGGGGCTTTTCAACCTATGTTATAAGACGGGGCAAGGCATTAGGTTCCCGGATATCGTTGCACACTTTACCGGCGCCGATATCCTCTTGCCTACGTTCAACACGTTCTTGCAAATAAGTGATGACTTAATTTGCTTGACATTGCTTGGTAATGACGATCTTCCAATATTCGGGAACTTGTCACAGGGAGATTACCACATTGGATATGATCTAGTGAATGGCACGGTTTCTTTCCAGCAAACCGATTGTTCTAAAGCAGTCTGATCGATCCATCTCTACAGATATGATTAGTTTTGTTTCAGATGCAATTCCGCTACTCCATCATATTCATGTTAGTTTCTTGTTTTTTCAAAACTTCTAGTATCAATTAGTGGGTTAGAAAACTTGAAAAAAGCAAGTTTTTTTTTTTTAATGAGAAAGATGTGGTACTATGGTTGTTATTACATAGTACACATCTTTCTCAATTCTTTAATCAGTATTGATGAATAAAAGAATTTCGTCAACTGATTTTACAGTCTTGATCCGTTTTGTTTGGAATAGCTAAATTGTTTGTTGGAGTCAAATTTACCCTTACATCATAACAGATACACACTAGACAGCCTAGCTAATTCGGTTTTCTTAAATACATAGTCTATCAAATATAATTTACACCTTCAAAGTCCAACAATTTACTACCTGGAGAGAATATATTATTAATTGCAAGTAAAGCAAAGATATAGTAGTTGTTCTGCTTCCTCGAGCCATAATGAATTTGGAGTTCACAAATTCAATTTGAATTGGGTGTGTTAGGTTTGGTTGCAACAAACATGAGATAATCTTGAGCAAGTACATACTACGTTTAGAGTGCGTGGTGTATTACATAATCTCTTACTGCCTGAAGTCATGGAGGAACACCACATGTAAATTTTATCAAACATACAATAATTAGTTTCCAAAGCAAAGCAAAAAGATTTGCAATCCTCCTAACCATGTCCATTTTTTCCTTTTATATATATATATATATATATATATATATATATTCTCATAATTTAGTTCCCAGTAACCAAACACCATCAAAGGGTGTGAATCCGATTCCAGCCTATCAACACCTCCTTACATACAGTATAAAGGAGATTACAGTTGAGGCCCACATACTTTTTTTGAGCTCTGGCCCAAGAAGCTTCCTTTCTTCAAGCAAAGAAAAGAAAAGAATGAAGAATCACTAGGCGGCCACCAATGTCAAACAAAATACACATTCCTCTGTAGGCGAGCTCAAGTAAGAGAGGTACTTCATTCACAGTCTTTATTTACTCCTTCTAGTCAACCATTTGATTCATTATCAGATCATCTCTGTAGATTGTTTCACTTTCTGGATTTCTTTTCAAATGAATGAAGTGATTATTTCATCTGGATTTGGATATTGTTGATTGATTTTGTTAGATTTCTGCCTATGCACTCCTAGCTGTTGCCGCTCCAAAATTGATGGAGTTCTGTACTTCTTTACTTACTATTTGTATTAGAAATTAATAGTCTTTTTTGGAATAATCCCCAGCAACCATGATGCTTGAAGATGGTTTCTTTTTTTTTTTTTTTTTTTTGTGGGGTGGTGAAAGAAATTGTCCATTTTTCTTGGGTGTGTTTGCTTTAAATGCTTTTATGTGTTAGTGACAGAATTGGGCAAGATAAACCTGAGCTGAATTTTGAATTCTCTGTGTGAGCTGAGCTGAAAGTTTTAACTTTGGACCATTATTAGTTAACTTCTACTTTATCATTGCCTTTTATTTTTAGGAAAGGTGCTCATTTTATTGTATGTTGGGAAGTTGATTATTGGATGTTTGGATTTTAACAAGAGACTAAAGTCTCTAATGATGTTTGGATGTTTCATAGTTGTGTAAAACAGATATCATGGTTTTGTCCTTAATTCTTTTTTTCTTATTTCAAGACTCAAACAAGCAGCGCATAACTCAAATTTGTTCCAGTGTGCAGTCGTCAGGATGAGTTATGACATCTTCATTCCTTTAAGCACTTTCGAGTTTTGTGTCAATAACTTTAGTCTCTTATTGATTTTTCGCTTGCCATCTTCATTCCTTATCAGCATGACATATATATCACCAGTTATGGTGTAGATTTAGTTTCGTTTTACTGAAGTTGTTAGAAAGATCTAAGAGTTTGCTGAGAGACTCAATATCTAAGATTCAAAACATCGTGAGAGTTTGCTAATAAACACAGACAATGCAGTTCTTCATTCTTGCTCAGTTAGAAATAGGAATTGGGTCTTTTTTTCCTTTTCCTCTTTTTTTTTTTTTTTTTCCTTGTTGATCTTTCACCTACTTCATATCTGGCTTTCTGGCCCTTGTGGAGATACATTAATGTACACACAGTTGAAGTTCTCACGCTTTAAAGTCTGGAAAATGGTTAGTACAATAGAAATTCAATTGGCAAAGTTTCTGATGTGTTTTTCTTGCAATGTAGGTGTTTTAGGAAGTTTAATTGCAGTTTGCAGTTTAACCTTTTGAATCTTTTATTGTATAAGTTTAACATCTGATGACCAGTGCTTATTATATAATCCCAGGGAAATTTAAATAAAGGAGGATGGAGCCTACTGAGATGGTTGTACATAATGGAGGGTGCCACTGCAAAAGCATAAGATGGCGAGTTCGAGCACCAGCCAGTGTGGTTGCCTGGCAATGTAACTGTTCTGACTGCTCCATGAGAGGAAACACTCATTTCATTGTCCCTGCTGAAAGATTTGAGCTTCTCGGTGATTCAAAACAGTACTTGACTACGTATACCTTTGGTACTCACACTGCTAAACACACTTTCTGCAAGATTTGTGGCATAACCTCCTTTTATGTGCCCCGATCAAATCCAGATGGTATAGCTGTCACCTTCAGATGTGTGGATTCTGGGACGTTGAAACATGTTGAGATCAAGCAATTTGATGGTATCAATTGGGAGGGTTCTTACCATCAAACCGACATTACGTCTTGCTCGAAAGTGCTGGCTAAAGAGGATAAATGATTGACTTGCAAAGTTCAATGTAACATATTAATTTTCATAAAATAAAAAAACTTAATGTTTTCAGAAATTTAATTACCTTATAATGAAGAAATTTTTTATAAAAATTTTCATTCACGTGACCATTTTATTTTATCCCAGGCTCCCAGCACTATATGCTATTATCAGTAAAATGATTAATGACCAATGCAGTGGGAGACTTTTTTTTTATTAAAAAAATAAAATTAACGAAACAATAAAAGAAGAAGAATAAATAAAATGGGGAAAGAAAAAAAAGAAAAAGAAATGGGAGATGGAGAAAAGAAACTCCCAAAAAGACCTTTCCGGGGGTTTAGGGTTTTAGAATTCTGGTAGACTGTAACACCATAATAATCAATCTTCCTTCAACATTCCTCCGGCTTCTCGGGGACTCTGGAACCTGGAAGGTACGCTAATTCTTATTTCTTATCAAATTAATGTAGTCTTCATTTTCAATATTTTCCTGGGCAAAATGGCTAGAGGTCCTGCAAGACGCCTCCTTTCTCTCTGTTCATCACGGAAAGATTTCACCAGGTTTAGAACTGCTTTTCCCAACAAAGATTTGCTTCGTTCCGACTTTTCAAACCCATCAAGAAAATCCCCAATTTTCGCCATCCCTCTACGGAATTTTCTTTGTGCAGCTCAGTTCCGGGATTTAGCAAATTATAGATTTCTCAGTTTTCAGAGGCACCCTTTTTCGTCACTGACGGATAATGAATCTCCTAGTTTGAATTCAGCTGCTCCTGTCCTTGAATCAGTAGTTTCAGAGGATGATAATGCTAATGATCTTGTACCACAAGTTACGGAAGAAGATGTTGTGAATGATCTTGGGTTGGAACCGGAGGAACCGGGGAATAAGAATTTGGATTCTCAAAAGGAATTGAATTTTGTTCAGATTGCGAACCGTGATCCCATAGAAATTTATAGGGAGCTCAGGGATGCGCCAAGACCTGATAAACTGAGCAAAAGGGATTGGGATGTGTTAATTGAGGTTTTCAGGGGGTTCAGTAAGTCGGGATGGGCTTCGAACCAGGCTTTAGCTGTGTATATTGGTGCTGCTTTTTATCCGACAGCAGCTCACAGTTTTCGTGGTTTTTTCTTTAAGAAGTGCAAGACTGATTTAGTCAAGTACTTGGTTTCACTAGGGACTGGTGATGAGGCTGATAAGTTTCTATTTCCCATATTCGTTGAGTTTTGTTTGGAAGAGTTTCCTGAAGAGATTAAGAGGTTTAGGGTTTTGGTTGAGTCAGCTGACTTGACGCTGCCGCATACATGGTTTCCTTTTGCTAGGGCTATGAAGCGTAAAATTGTGTACCATTGTGGTCCAACTAACAGCGGCAAGACTTACAATGCATTACAAAGTTTCATGGAAGCAAATAAGGGTGTTTATTGTAGTCCTCTTAGGCTATTGGCCATGGAAGTTTTTGATAAGGTTAATGGGCTAGGGGTTTATTGCAGCCTTCTCACAGGACAAGAGAAAAAGCATGTTCCTTTTGCAAATCATGTTGCTTGTACTGTTGAAATGGTTTCAGTTGATGAGTTGTATGATGTGGCTGTCATTGATGAGATACAAATGATGGCAGATCCAGCCAGAGGTTATGCTTGGACGAGGGCTTTTCTTGGATTGAAAGCGGATGAGATACATGTATGTGGCGATCCAAGTGTCTTGGGGATCGTTAGGAAAATCTGTTCTGACACTGGGGATGAGTTGGTTGAACAACATTATGGTAGGTTTAAGCCTCTGGTTGTTGAAGCTAAGACCTTACTGGGTGACCTGAAAAATGTGAAGTCTGGTGATTGTATTGTTGCTTTTTCAAGGAAAGAAATTTTTGAGGTAAAATTGGCTATTGAGAAGCATACGAAGCACCGGTGCTGCGTTATATATGGTGCACTCCCGCCAGAGACCCGTAGACAGCAAGCCACCTTGTTTAATGACGATAACAATGAATATGACATCTTGGTTGCAAGTGATGCAGTCGGAATGGGTTTGAATCTTCATATCCGAAGAGTTGTATTTTATAGCCTCTCAAAGTATAATGGTGATAAGACAGTTCCAGTCCCTGCATCCCAGGTGAAGCAAATAGCTGGGAGAGCTGGAAGAAGGGGAAGTAGGTATCCCGAGGGATTAACAACCACTTTACATCTTGAAGATCTTGATTACTTAATTGAGTGTTTGAAGAGCCCCTTTGATGATGTTAAGAAAGTTGGTCTCTTTCCTTTCTTTGAACAGGTTGAGCTATTTGCAGGCCAGTTTCCAAGTATTACTTTCGCTCAGCTACTTGAAAAGTTTGCTGAAAATTGCAGGCTAGATGGGTCATACTTTCTCTGCCATCATAATCATATAAAAAAGATAGCAAATATGTTGGAGAAGGTTCAAGGATTATCATTGGAAGATCGCTTTAATTTTTGCTTTGCTCCTGTTAATATTAGAGATCCAAAAGCGATGTACCATCTTCTGAGGTTTGCATCATCTTATGCAAATATGCTACCTGTTAATATTGCAATGGGCATGCCTAAATGTACGGCTCGTAATGACACAGAGCTCTTAGATCTTGAGACTAAGCACCAAATACTTTCAATGTATTTATGGTTATCCAATCATTTTGAGAAGGATAAATTTCCGTATGTGAAGAAAGCTGAGGCAATGGCTGTGGACATTGCTGAACTACTTGGCGAATCACTCACCAAAGCTAGTTGGAAACCAGAATCAAGAAATGCAGGAAAATCAAAGAAGCAAGAGAAGGATGGTGGTTATGATAGACCAATGTCACTTATCAAATTATCTCAAAAGTAAGTCAGGTTAGCTATGTTACAAATTAATCTCTAATTCCACCTTTCCTGTTTACTCTTCATAGCTATTTCACTTTTCTTTAGATTCACGGTTGCCTGTATTTGAGTTTATGTATTTTCGCTTGTTTATGTCTCAAAAGATTGCAACAGTGATAAAATTTAAGTTTTTGAGAGGGGCGGTTCTTGTTGGATGTGGTGTACTTTGACCAGTTGATGCTTGTTCATGATTGCATAAGCGACATGATTCTTTGTCAAAACTCTTTTTAAGGCATCAGTGGTTAGACTTTCTACAGAGAGCTGATGCAATCTGCATTGTTATGTAGTAGTATAGTTACTTGTAGCAATTTATGTAGTGTAGCTCTGATTCTGCTTAGAGTAGCCGCTATCTGAATGTAATATGGAGAATGGTAGTCAAACTAGACTATAATTGATTTGTGGCTGAATGTTGTTGCTTTTGAAGAGACAGAATTATTTGTCTTAAATTTTGAAATAAATTTGGTTGAGTAATTAGTAGTAATTATGGATCATAAATAATCAATTGGTCTTGCCCTGCATGTTTTAGGTTTTGATGTTGTATATTTGTGTGAAAAAGGTAACCTTTTGTTGGGTAGTTTCAGTATGCTGCCCACTATTGAAAAATTTAAGAGAGACAATTTCCGGCTTTTCATGTGCTGTTCTTAGTGTTCTACTTAAGTTTCAGGAGGTCTTTGGCATATCTATGTCGGAGACAGTAATTTCATTCCAGAAAGAAATTTTCTACGACATGACAGTTATATACATAAGCATGATATGGTGTGTCTCCTAATATGTACAGTTAGTAATTTTAGAATTTAGCACCTGATATGTCGACGATCTTTTCTTCTGGTTTTCAGAAAAAAAGAGGGAGCATTGCCAAATGGACCACACCAGGATAAAGTGACTTCTTAGTCCTGCTTCAGGTATTAGATCTTGTATGGTTGCACTTCTTCTATCATTTACTTGTCCTTGCCAATTTTCTTGATCTTGTGCACTTATATTAGTAGTTCCTTTTAGAAGTATGTAGCCGTGAGCTGTAAATTTCCTCATTTATGAGGCCAATTTTGAATTCCAATGACAAAAAGATTGATATGGCTATGGCCTGTTGTGTAGCTCTCTCTCTCTCTCTCTCTCTCTCTCTCTCTCTCTCACACACACACACATGCACACACACACACACAGATGCTATTTAATGATAACTTCTCTAAATCGTGAACAAGAATCTCTGTGGATGTGGGTTTGCTGTGCATAAAATCACAAGCATGAGTACTCTAGGTCTTCACACTCCATTCTAAGTTCTTCGTAGAGAAAAAATGCTGCATTTGATTCTGCTGCAAGGTGTGTTTTTGAAATAGTTTTTTTTTTTAAAAAAAAAAAAAATGTGTTTTGAAAGAGTTATTTCATCTTTCCTTCTACATTTTTTTTTTGGGAAAAAGGAATACATCATTCCTTCTAATTATTTTTTCATAGGCATATCTGACTTTTGTTGTTAGCAACTGTATGTCTAGCAAAAGATCATGGAAGATAAAGCTATACTTGATAACTGTATATATAATGGAAGATTAAGGTTTGATGGTATGCACTACTTGTCCTCCTCCAATTTGCAACTAGTTTGTACTGGCATGGCTATGTATAATGCACATATCTGATCCCTCATTGCAGATAAAGGATTACTTGTTGTAATATCCAAAGAATGGATCTTCTTGTTTCTCTGTGTTGTGACACTACTATTAATTCCTTACCCTTAAGGTAATTCACCGTAACATCATATCAGAATGATAGCTAATTCCATGTTGATCCTATCAGAATGATCGTGTTAGCGGCCAAGTACCTCCCAAATGAAGAGTGAAGGTTTTTGATCATCTTTCTTTTGGAGGCCGTGGATCTTGATTATTGGAAGCTTCATTATGAATCAGCATATGGAATGGCACTGGATTCAGCCAGCCAGCCAACATCAACCAGCAAACGAAACCGGATGAAGAAGTGATGATGGGATCATGGCATCCTTTTGACGAATTTAGTATTGCCTGCAAACTCGCTCTCAGGTTCCCAGAAGCATGCTATGTGTAGTGAATTGTATTTGTTCCATACAGCAAGTGTACTGATGCTCTAATTCATCAGGCGTGGACGCACGGGAAGACTCTCAGATTACATGGGTTCACTGAAGTACAGTATAAGTTTTGATCCATATAACTATAGCTTTAGTCCTCATTATCACTCTTTTGGATATACACCACCACTATTGAACTCTTCTTTTATATATTAGTACAATTTCATTACACAAACTCGACTGATAAAGTGTGCTGGGTGAAAGCCCCCACTGGAAATAGAGGGGAAGAGTGAGGATAGAATTTAAAACATGGTCAATTAGGTTTCGAACCTTAAGAATATTTTACACCCTTACAAAACGATAATCTACTCTCATTTCCGGAACCTTGGCCATAGAAATGAAATCAACTGAAGAACAGCACAAAAAAATGAAGGCAACGCTTTGGATCTTCTGGAGTCACCAGAAGCTGGATAGTTAATAGAATTACAAAGAGATACAGATCATTCTTAAGTTTCTTGCCATTTATGAGAACAACTCCATTATGGCAATATGCAGTTCTTTGATTTCCACCCTATTTCCTTCACCAAAAAAAAAGAAGAGAAAAGAATCCTAATTGAAAACAGAAAAACTGAACCCAATAGGCAAAGTGTAAAATTGGCACCTTTATTTCAAGTACATTACTTTCTGACGATCACAGTTGACAACAATGCTCACTTTTTCGACAATAAGGCGCTGCATTGGGCCATGACCTTGGATGCCCTAGTTATGGGATCAGTCATGTAGAAATTTTCCACCGCCGCTTTAAATGGAGTTGTGCTTATTTTCTGTTGCGACTCAGGCTTCAAAGAATAAGAAAAGGTTGCTGGCTCTCTCTCATCTACATTCACTAGATTTGGCGCAACAGTCTTCATTCGAGATCTGATAGCACTAAGGGAATCATAAGGTAGAATTACACCTGCCACCTCGGACAAAGCTCGAACAATTTTCCAGTCATCCCTAGCATCACCTACTGTGGGGACTGCTGGTACAGTAGTTTGAGCACAACCTTCTGTATTCACATAGGTACCTTCTTTCTCAGAGAAGGCTGATGCAGGGAGAATCACGTTGGCTCGATAGACACTGCGGTCCCCATGGTGGCCTTGGTAAACCACAAAGGCATCCTCAGGAATTTTCTCCAAGTTCACGTCATCGGCACCCATCAAATAGATAAACTTAGAAGATTCTATGCCTTTATCAGATTCTGGAACAAGTCCAAGGTCAAGGGCGGCAGCTTGAGCGGCATTGAGCAGCAATACATTCATCCCATTCCAATCTGGTCGAACAGCCTTTGCACGTTCAGCAATGGCCTCAACAACAGAGAAGATAGCATCCTTGTCATCACGCTCAAAAATACCAGCACCGACAATGATACAAGGATTTTTAGCATTCATGAGGGTTGAAGAGAAAGGGTGACTACCCTTGGCAATTTCAGAAAGAGTTTGAGGGCCGGTACCAAGATGCTCGTGGTCATAGTTTAAGTCAGTTGCTGGGCCAACATAACCAACCTTAGCTTGGGTGGCTCGAACAGTTTTGCGTATTCTAGCATTTACCATCGCAGCTTCTACTCTTGGCTGGAAAAGGACGAAAAAAGTATTGTATAGTTAATTGCTAAACTAAGATGAGATGATTGATCAAATAAAGATCATAATTTCATCACAATGAACATTTCACAAAGGATTCGATCCCCAAAAAAACAAAAAAAAAAATTAATAAAGGAGCTTAGTTAAGGGGAGTAAAAAATATATTAGCCGCAAGATCGACCATATAATAAATTCAATTAGGTCATGACTACAGTAATATATCGATATTCTAAGGATTTCTAAAAAGCATGCCAACATCCAAGAATATGAAGCTATGGTAAAATTAGAAGTTCTCAACGAAGAATTTCTCCTTATATGCCAAACCTACGGATGTCAAGTAAATACAAAACTCTTGAAGATGGAAAAGCATGGAGGAAAAATCATTGAACGCATCTTTCAAATCTCCTCTAAGATAGGTAACATCAATTATGGCTTTTCAAACGAAAACATATTAAGAGCACTACAAAACTAATAGCACTAATTTAAATAATGATCCATCATTTACTTTCCATGTGACATCCTCCCCATACAGATTCAAATTTTCAGTAACACCATAAACAGTCAGATAATAAGGTCATACCTGGGTGCCAACCAAGAGGAAGACATCTGCATTCTCTAAGCCACTAATGCTGGTATTCATAATATATCCAGACCGCAAGTCCGCATTTGGATTCGGACCATTACCCTCACAAAGAACATTATTTGACCCCATTTTATTCAAAAAATCTTTCAACGCCATCATGGATTCTGCATCGGACAGCTTACCAGCTACCCCAACAATTTCATCAGCTTTTACTTGGTGGATGACCTCAGCCACCACGGCAAGAGCATCACGCCAACTCACAGCCTTGAAGCGGCCATCTGGACCACGAATCATGGGGTCATTCAGTCTCTGCCTCTTTAGACCATCATAAAAGAAGCGAGTTTTGTCCGATATCCATTCCTCATTGATATCCTACAACCAAATGCACAAAATGAAGAGATGATCCAATAGTAAGCAGTTAATACACCTTTAAAGAGTGCAGAAAAACAAAATTTTAGCAACTCCTCATCCATAAACAGATGGACTTGGTGGCGAGTAACAGAAGAAAAGAAAAGGCAACATTAGAATCCTGTGATATTCACTGCAAACTATACCTCATTCAATCGTGGCACAACACGCATAACCTCTGGACCTCTACTATCAATTCTAATGTTTGAACCAACAGCATCAGTGACATCAATGCTCTCTGTTCCCTTCAACTCCCAATTGCGAGCTTTGAACGCAAATGGTTTTGAAGTCAAGGCACCCACAGGGCAAATATCAATGACGTTTCCAGATAGTTCACTTGTCATAAGCTTCTCAACGTAAGTTCCAATTTCTTCTCCACTTCCACGACCCAACATGCCAAGATCCTGAACTCCAGCAATTTCAGTGGCAAATCTGACACATCTGTAAATATTCATGATGCACATTAGAAGAGATTTAAGTTTGCTGTCTAATGATGTTCAATCACGAGTATTGTCTGCATCATCACATATCCGAATATACCCCCTATAACAAAGTATAAAATAACATAGTACAAGTCTGAAGCCTAACTAGGCAAAGAGGAACAAAGGAATATTATTTCTTACTCAAGACAAGCATTAAACAGAAGTGGAAAAAGTGAGCTGTATGGACAGAAACAAATAGATAGATTTTCGATGGTAAAGAAATCTAAGACAGACGCTCGTTCACACCTGGTACACTGAATACACCTAGTCATGACAGTCTTGACCAGAGGGCCCAAATTTTTATCGACCACAGATCTTTTTGTCTCGGTGAAACGGCCCCGATCAGAACCAAAAGCCATGGACTGATCTTGGAGATCACATTCTCCACCTTGATCACAGATTGGGCAATCCAAAGGGTGATTCATCAGCAAGAATTCCATCACACCTTCTCGCGCTTTCTTTGCAAGAGGTGTATCGGTCTTAATCTTCATCCCTGGGAAAAGATTACCAGCATTCAGACAACAAAACCCAACAAGTAGCCGAATATAAAAGGAAATGGTTCTGTAATGGCTCACAAGAATTAAGAACACATAATAACCTAAGAGATTGTCCATTACAAAATTTTCCCATGGAATGCTAGCCTATTGAGATTCATATTTTCCACAATTCAAATTTTATTTTTACTAAGAACTTATCCAGCTCACTAGCTCAGTTTTAATTTGAGCGAAATAAATCTTCATTTTAAGACATAACTCTTTCCACTCAAACCCCAAGTTCAACATACTTCTTAAAACTAAAACAAAAAAAAAAAGAAAGAAAAGAAAATAATCTTTCCTGGACAAGAGAACCAATTCAGATAAAGTCACCCTAATAAATGATCGGAGAAATGATTGAATTGTATAAACATTTCTAAATCCCAAAATATGATTACCAGGGAGTGCTGGCATGGCGCAAGAAGCGACGGGCTTGGGGGATTTTTCGACCTCGACGAGACACATACGGCAGTTACCGGCGATAGAGAGACGGCTATGGTAGCAAAACCGCGGAATGTCCACGCCGGCGATCTCGCAGGCCTGAAGAACTGTCATACCCTTGGGGATTTTCACCGGGTATCCATCAACAAAGACTTCGATAGCATCTTCAGGATTGGGGAAGTGGACGCGGGCCCCAGCGACGGGAGTCCTGGGTGGGAGATCGGGCGGCGGGGTTTCCGGCTGGGCTTGGGCAGCTTCGGCGTTGCGGAGCTCAGTGGTGGTGACGATGGAGCGGCGGAGGAGGTTGGTGTGTCCGGGTCGGAGTGTATTGGATCGAAGAGCCCGAGAGGCGATTGAACCCAGCCCCATTTCTCGTCTCTGAAATGTTTTCTTTCTCTCCCTTCGGATATAATCTTAAAGAGTTGAGCTTGGAGGACTGTGTATGTGTGTGTGTTTTCTCGAGTCTGTGCATTCCACACGCAGTTGGAGAAATTCGGGTCAAAATGAAAAACGAGCCGGTTCAAAACCGACCTGTTTCTTGACATTGGGCTTTTTGGGTTAGAGCCTGAAATCTGGATTAACAGTGGGCTTTCGCTTGTCAGCTAAATTAATTACCACAAAAAAATTTCTTTAATACTCCTACAAATCTCTTGATTTCGAGATCATCAGCGGGGTAACGCAGAGAGGGGTAACGACCCTAAAAAAAAAAAAAACCTTTTTAAATGCATCTAGAGCTAGACTCTCTTGCGCTCTTTTGTAGGATTAAGGGATTCTTAATCCCAATAGTCAGATTGAAATAGCGGAATTTGGCTTTATCATGTCCCTTAGAACTTAGGAGATGGTGTTTTAGCAGCGCTTCCTTCTAAAATTAGCAAAAAAAACCAAGAAATAAAAGAAAGGGCAAATAGAAGAACAAGCGCCTTAATTCCCCTCTATTTTGAGTACTCTCTCTTCTTCCAAGGTATGATCTACATTCTACAGTCTCCATCCATAGATTGTTTCAACTATTATCTTCTCATGTTGCGGACAGAAACTGAGTAATATAGCGAAGATAATTACAGAGAGCATTACATGGGGAAAAAAGATGAAGGCGATTATCTTTAAGCAAGCAAAATGTTGATTTATTTTTCTTACGCAACCAAAAATATATCTTAACATTTTAAGAATAACAAGTCTAAAATAGTAAAAGCTGACTTTCAGAATCAATTTTAACTCTACATTTCCGAATAAATTTCAATGAAATTAGCCAATCGTAGTCCCTACTTCCTTCCCAAAATGTTTATCCTACTTGTAGTAGTAAGTGTAACAATAATAAGCAAAACAATGTACTCTCTTTACAATTCGGTAAAGGATCAAAGGGGATGTAGCTCAAACCCCAAAAAAATAGCCACATCCAAGCAAATAACCTACCTTAACTTTCGTGTATTAGATGTTGTCATAGCTATTAAAAGTATGACCCAAATTCAGAGGTCTAACATAATTCCCCAGAAAATACCAGAGCCAGCAGAGACCCTCCACATAACCTCCCTATGAAGGGCCAACTTATTTTATTCCCGTTTCAGTGCTTTCCGAATGAAGGATCTGGTAACCAATATTGCCACGTAAGCCATGAGAGTAACGATGATGCCCAACATCAAGATTAAACGATCATAAGCAGAATCCTGAGTTGTGTATACGCGAAGTGTAATCGTATCCCAGTTGCTCTCGGTCCATACAGGATCAGCTGCTCCAGTTACATCGGAGTTGTTCGGTAACAGCTTCCAACTATCCTCCTCAAACTTCAATCTTGTAGAATAAGCCGGCACATACCTAAAACAAAAACCATTTTACTCGCTATATCCCAGATGTTCAACTTTGGACATAACTCATTTACTTATGAATGATATGCTTGGAGATCAAAGAAAATCTACAATGCAAGTTATGAAGCTTTACAAAGGGTAACAACCAGTTAGATATTAAAATTAACACGTTCTAGGTAATGACATTTCCAAAAATGCAGAATGGAGATGAGTGGACTCGAACTGCTGATATCCGCTGAATGGCAAACCACCACCTCTCAGGCCCTCAGACTTATTTTCCCAATAACGCCAATAATACAAAAGTTAAAAGTCTACCTATTATGCTGATATTGTAAACGCACCAAATCTTATAACTTTTACTCCTTATATTGTTCATTGCCACTAACATTTCCTTTTTTATTTTGACAAAGTAATAAATCAAGATACTCCTGGCTAAATATAAAAATAAGTTGGCAGCGACAGGATAATGAAGCATACAATCAACAAAGTCAGTAATGAAGGCATGCGTTTATTCAAAATCAATTAATCATATTGCAGAACTGGATATTACCTGGTGGAGGACATTACACAAACACCTTTACCATCGGTCTCCACCCGAATGCAAACTTCACCAGTGCCACTGCAATCTTTTGGGCAAGTAGAACTGGAATTTTTAGATGGCATAGATGTTTTTTCTGCCAGGAAATTCCACACAAACCTTGAAACATCCCCCACATACTCAAGATAAGGGGATGATGATGGTTCTCCCTGCATGACCCCCACATAATGGCTTGGGCAGGCTGTGGAGGGTGATATATAGCGCTTGACAAGCTCACATGAAAAGCCCGGCTCACATTTCAATAGGCAACCAAGTAGTTCATCAACTAAAGAGGCATTCACAGTAATACTGTATAGGCCAGTGTCATTTATTTCCTCCTTTTCTCTCGCAAAAATATATAAGCTTCTGGCGACAAGTGAAGCAGCAGCGACCACTGCTGACCTGTTTATGTTCGCTGCAGTAACATTGGTGACGTGAGATCATAAAAATGGATCTGAAACATAGTAGTGGAATTCATCGAGAGAAAGGAAATCTACAACCCATATTAGCTTACATATATTGTCCAGGTGACTATGGTAGAATTTGTTGGCAAACGCAGAATCAAAGTCCTCTACAACAATTCCAGATAACTGTGGATTCTGTTACAAAAATCACAAACACGACGACGAAATTGTTAAAACATCCCAAGAATAAATAATAAAAAAACTGTGGGGAAAATATATATATTCACTGAGGAACATTTATATTTCCCAAAAATATCATTTTGGCGATGATTACCAACCTTCCTGAGGAACATCATCAACGAGGATGGAGGTATCCCTGGATTCGACTTACTGGCCTTGGATATTTTTATATTTTCAGTTTTTAGGGAAATCTGAGCATGTTGTAATGCATCCCACGCATCAGTAGAAGTAGAGGCAGCCTGCAAATATAACCAGACGTGATTTTATCAGAGGTCACCATCAACATAATACGACAAAGAATCAGACATAGCAGGATGAACAACTAACCACACGTGATTTTAAAAAACGTAGTGTAGTATACTACTGAACATGGGCACTTTAATAACATACAATTATCGTGGACTGTTCGACTAGTCAGTCTCTAGGATGGTAGGAAAAAGGAAATTTACGAATGGATCTGTGCCGAACATGCTATCAAGTCAGCAACTGTATTGGCACTGAATTATCAAAAATTAAATCTCAGTTATCAAGTTCAAGTGCTTTAAAAGCCATCCATGCATGCAAATTAAATTACTGTGAACTTACATCAGCACTGCTTAAACAACTCCAAGGGAAACAGGCAAAAGTTGCCGTAGTTTTCAGAGTAATAAAAAAACATCACCACACACCTCAGAAACAAAGACTTTTCAAAAAAAAAACTCAGAAACAAAAGATCTCCCGAGTTTGGGATTTTGATCCATAAACTGAAGCATCAGGCTTGAATACAAGTATCCAATAGCCAGATTAGAGTACTTATTTGAACACCCGCAACATGTGCTTTTGTCAATTAAATTACACGAAAAAGAACCACTTTCACCCTACCCCAGTTGTATGTGCAAAAAATGTTTTGACACCTTGACCAGCACTCTTTCCAACAGATCCAATTTCCACAACCTGCACCAGATTAGCATCACATTAAATATCAAGGAAAAAGCAAACAAGTCATGATGTAGAAAATTTAAACATAATCCATTTCCATGAGACCAGATGACTCCCAGAACCTTAAGGAGTAGCTGAAATATCTTCAAAGCATAGATGTTTTAGGCAGTAGTAAACTGATACAGACATACAAAAACCCTTCAAAAGTTTAAACCACTAAGTATTAAAATAATTTGACACAAGTAGAAGGGGACCTCAACCATACTTAGCTGCAATGTGATCCCCCAAGTAATCTAATTCAGGTACATTTTCCCAATGTAATGTGATTAAAATTTGAAACTATGCTTATTACAGCATAGAGTCAAACTCCAGAGTTCTTGGAGTTGTAAAACTTCTGATTCAAGACCCATCAAATGATTTCTTAGCTAAATTCAGCATCAAAAGTAGTCTAACCCGGGTGAAAATCAATAGCTAAAATATCTATGGTTATATAGACCCACACTAAAACTATCATGTTCAAAAAGTAACTTTGCCAAAAAATTTAAATAACACTTGAGCAAAAAATCTGACGGGCTCAAACTAACAATCCATGGTACAAAGAATAAGAAAGAGACCAAAGAAATTACATAGCTCTACCAGAACATAGCTCCAGAGCAATTTAGTAAGCAATATATGTCTTCCAATTCAATAAGATCTGATACTGAAACTGAGGAATATAGACATACAAAAAAGATTTATAAAGTTAGGAATGAGCATAATAGCAATACCATGTCTATCAATGATAAGTCAAGGCCATTAACAGCATCTGAATGAAGATCAAGCTCAAGAAGAAATCTCCGGCTACCAATAAAGCCCCAAGCTTCTCCAGTGAAAACCATAAACACAATCTGCAAGAAACAAACAGAAGTTAAAGTATCAAAGAATAAATACTATAAATATAATACTATTACTTTTCAGGATGTTCTGGAGTAAATAAATCATGTACGCCAACCTGTTTACTAAGGAGATGCAGACCATCAACACGTGAAAGAGCATCAACAGCAGCCAGCAAGGCAATGAATCCCTGCACATTATTGAATATATTAATGAGCAAGTTTAAGAAAATAGAATCATCAAAGAAAGATAAGAGAGATCAAATATAGAAGACAGAGACATATTCACTCACAGATATAGGTGATTCTGCCCCAAAGCTTGTGTCACGGAAAAAAGAAGCAGCATCCATGGATGCAATGGCCAAAATGATTGGCTTTGACTTCACGGAAGATGAAGAATTGAATGGTTGGAGTGATGACCAGACACTGCCCTTCAAATTTAAGACACATGAAGCAAAAGAATAAAATGGAAGGACCATTTACATATTCAACAAAGATAATGAAACCTATAAATTTCCAAGGACATGCACCTGTATCCACCCAGCGGTAGACAAGTATTCTCTCTCAAACAAGATTCTGAATCATGAGTGCCAGCTTTTGTAGTCTAAAAAGATGAAAAGGGAAAAGGTCAACGCCAATCAGTAAGGACAATATGTAATGTGTTGCATCAGGAATCTCTCATTTTATTGGTAAGAAACACATACTATATGCACCACAATGAGCTTTTACCTGCATTACCAGACCAAATTCAGCCACATTTGCTGTGTATGATGACTTGCTTCTTTTTTCATTTTTCATAGCGACCTGAGATCAACTCACACAACAAAACAAAACAACCCAAAAAACGGATGATAACATAATAAGTGAGAAAGCCTAAACGCTGAAAGTAAAGCACAATGTACGGCGCAAATTATGGAAAATGGATCCTTTCTCTGTATCGTAAATCTACCAATATTCCCAAGTCAATTGTTTGAGCAACATAAGCAACAATTTCAATGGTTTTCTACTAAAGGAGGGATACTTGCTACTATGCTAAACTCAATCAAACTAGAGTTTGGTGCGGTAGTCTATAACAGAGAAGATATTATTATGTTGCATAATAGAATTATTCCTCTTGCATCAATCTCAAAAGAGTTTAGCCTCTGATAAAAAGGGCTACACTTGCTCCACATCAGTTACTTGCGGTTTTAAACTTCCTGAATTAAATAAGCAAAAAACAAAGTCCAATCACCCCACCTAAACCGCTCTGTGTTTTGAGTGAGTGAGTGAGAGAGAGAGAGAGAGAGAGAGAGAGAGAGGGAGAGAGACGATTATGATGAATAAACCTATGGAGCATATTTACCTCCTGCAAAGCTAATGAGCTATTCTCTGACAGCAAGAACACTGGAAAATTATAAGCATTCCACATAATTCCAGATCCCTGAAAATGCAAGAAGCAAGAACTCAGGAGGACCATAACAAGAAATTATAGAATCCTTAAGTTTAATGAAATCTACAGTGGGAACTGCATATAAGTTGATTTAAACCAACAACAAGAACTAAGACTTTATTCTTCTTATTGGGGTCAGATAAATCGACATAAACATCCCAAACAATGTTTTACTTTCCGTAAGAAACATGCTAAAATAGATGTAATTGTACAACCAAATGAAAAGAACCACACAATTTACTCACACGGAAAAAAAAAAAAAAAGCCCACACAAGGATTCCATACCATCACATCAGCACATTTGGCCATGACCGAAATAATTTTAATAAAATCAATCTAGCAAATGGCCGGGCTTAATAGAAATCTTCCACATAAAAACACGCAGAAAGAGTAGATTATTGAAGGCACAGAGAATTTGCAAGGACATGAGGAGGCAAAGAAAGAGGAAGAAGATACTTGAACACAAAATTTTTAAGGGGAAAGAGGAGAAACAAGAATGAAAGACAAAACAAAACTTGTTTTTAAAATTACAGAATTCAATTGAAAACTCATTTTTTCTCTTAGTTGCAAAACAACAAAAGTACAGACAGATGCCGGCTTTGAAACTGAAATTAATAGACGATTAGAAGACTAGAAGTAATGATTGAAGTGTTTCTTTGAGTAAATACAGTTGGATTCCACTCAAAATTGTTGCTTGAGTAAGGAGCAAACTCAGCCTCCGGAAACTTCCTATCTGGAGAAAATCCTGTAAAGGGGAAAACAACGTTAACACATGACCACTTAACAACAATAATTTAGAAAATACAGGATGCCTCTCACCCTTCAGATCTGGAGTTCCTGATTCTACCAATACACCAGCCACAAGGCCAGCAAATTTAGAATCTTTTGATATTCTGAAACAGAAAGGAACAATAGACATCAGTAAAGAAAGAGAAAATGATAGTCGAAGACAATGCAACAAGTGAACAATCTACACATTTTGAAATAGGTGGAACACATCAAAGCAGCGAAAATTCAACCAGAAGGCAGAAACTAATGTAGACTGCATCCTACTGATAAAATGTAATTAGAGATGGGCTCCCCAGGAAAACACACGTTATTAGAATCTGCTACACTAAGGGCAAGAAATGGTGACATATACCCCCTCAACAAGAAATGGTAAAGTAGCTGATATCCACAAATGGACCACTTAAAACTGAAGGTAGAAGATGCACATCAAGTCCAAGAGAACCCTTTAAAATGTTTATCATTCATCAATAGAAAATGACTACATCCCTCCTAATTGACATTGATGATCATGGAAACATTGCCACACCAAAGAAGTAAAACTGAAAATTTGCATTTCAACATAATAAAAGGAAGACGTGCATTCATGATTTCCCAAAAAACTTGCCTTGTAAATAAATTCTCAAACTCATCCATGGAAACAAGTATGGCAGATGGTACAGCCAATTCATTTACATTCTTGAATCTGACAACCGGCGCAGCAACCTTTGCATGACCAGGATCTAAGCACACATTATAATGAAATAAGAAGATTCCTATGCAGGATAATGGAAACACCAAAAAAAAAAATCCAGAACTGACAAAAAGAGGATCACCTACTTGAACATCCAATCTCCCCCGAAAGGTTCAGCAGCCGTACACATGGGTAGCCATCAACGTTCATGTACATTGCGTTTTCCAGATCAGGGACCGACTCAAAAGGTTTCACATCTCCTGAAGCTGTCAAGAGTACAAAATTGACACCAAAATGGTTACATATAATGAACTCGATAAAATCACTATATGTAATACAGAGCCAGTTAATATGAAGTTAAGCAAAATGAACCTTTCCCCGAAGAGGAGACGTTCAGAAACAAAATAATTCGTTGCCATCAAATAAGCTAAGAAAGTTAAAAGGATCTCAATTTTGGTCCTCGTTTCTATAAGCTTCTAAATGTCAAATATTATAGAACACAGATGCAAAATTCAGCAAGAACCCAAAAACTCACTTTCAGTAAATTACGTTTTAATAAACCTAATTTCTCCGCAAATAGAATTAAACAAAACAGAGATCACAGATAAGCAATCTTGCACTGAAACGAAGCGACAAATTACTGAACAAACAAATAGGGGAAGCGGAACAAACCTGAGGAAGTTAGGAGAAGATGAGCTATGAAGTAAAAGAGTACGAGCGGAAGCCTCATGTCCATGGCGAAGAATCAGTAAACTTTAGTTTGATTTCTTTTCAGTGAAAGTCTCTGAGCAACAAAGATGAAGGCCCTTATCGAGCCCTAGGCCATGGACATTTGCCCTTCGATCAGGAAACTGACGAGACCTCCCTAATTCTGAAATGCATTCAAGACTTTTGCAGACTTGACACAGTAATAATGGTTGAAAGCGGCAATTTTATTTCTTCCTTTTTATATTTTGATCAAGAAATTACGGATTTAGTTCACCAAAAAAAAAAAAAGAAAGAAATTACTGATTTTCCACCAAAAAATAAAAAAAGGAGGAAAAAATTGTATATTTCTGATGTTGAGATGGAAATTCATCATCAGTTAGTGAATATAAAGACTTAAAAATCTTACCTAGAAATAAATAAAGATTTTAAACAAAAGTATTGACCTTGATGCTACGTTGTTTGTTGGATTTTTTTTTTTTAATGATTATATGAATTTGAATTCAGAACTTGGTACAAATTTAAAATGTCCAATTTCTTATAATAATGTAGAAAAGGGTCAATGAGCTGCAAAAACATGTAAGATTTATACAGACCTTTTTCTTACTCTAATAATAAACTGCGATTGTCACATTTCTATGAGAATCGTCAATACCACATTTGAAAAAACATAGAAATGTGATATTTCCTCCAAAAGAAAAAAAAAAAAAAAACCTAAAACTAAAACTTCCAGCTTTATAGTGTACACATTTCACAGTCTGCGGAACAATGTTTAATGCTTAATCCTACAAACTACAAAGTAGAGAGAATTCGTTATCTAAACTAGTCCAAAAGAGGATGCCTCAATATCTTGACGGTATGTCAGAATGAAAAACGTGACCACTGAGCATATTTTGTGTCTTCACCACCAAACATTCTGCCCCTTTCTCAATGTCACCGCATGATTTTTGGCTTAAGGCATCTCCTCAGTATGGAAATAAAGTTGGACTAGTCAGGCTCTCCAGCAAAATTTGGGGGCTCATTGTCATGAAAGGGCAATAGAGCAGCTTGTATCAGTTCAAGGATCGAGATGGCAGTCACAAACCAAAGTGCAGTTCAGCTTGCCTTAGCACAGATGTCACCCTTGCGAAAAATTCCTGTTCATCTCTTTGTATATCTTCAAGCGATTTTGATTCATGTTCATCAGCCTGAAAAGAAACGACCATGAGGTCGAGTGCAGTTATTAGATCAATAATGGTGTGTTCTGGGCAACATGGAGGAATCAGAATGTGGTCACAGCCAAAAGGTAGTGCACCAATAGCTTCATCTACCCCACAAATCCCCGCTGTAGTGTGGTTTATCAATTTACACCAACATTGAGGAGTTTAAATCTCAGGACAAGTTCCACTATAGAAAGGTTAAAAAAAAGGAAATAGCTGAAAATATACAGTCAAATCATAGTGAAGTCCGAATATGTATACTAGCAGGACTGATGCATTATATGGACTTGTATCTCTCTCTGTGGAGTATACCTCGGTGAATTTAAGTAGAATCAAGTTTGAAACAGATGCTGCCTTAGTCTGATCCCATCTAGAAAAAATTAGCAAAAGTAGAAAGTAAAGAGAAGTTAGATCACAGCCACCAGTATTAAAATACCAGTTTTGCACATGAAATAGAACTGCCAGTAGAAAGGAAACTGAAAATAAACAGTAATGAAGAAAAGAAGTCATTTGAACATCAACCTGACAAGCATTAAGTCATTAACTGAACGCCACATGCCACGTCCGACTGAGGTGGGAGATTGATCTCTGGCACTTCGACCTCGCCACAACTCTTTTACAATGAACATAACATCATCGACATCTACCTGAAGAGTGAACACGACATCTGGTGTCAATGATTGAAAAAGTAGTTAAACAAAAGGATCTGGAATCAAACTCTGGCACCGTAGCGAAATAACCAATATAAAAGAGGACACTACTGTTGACCTGTACTTCTGCGGCTGTGCCATAGAGCAACTCTTCATGCTCAATTAGACGTTGATGAAGTATCCGATAATGATCCATATCAAAGTTCACAATGGGTTCCATTTGAACTTGAAATTCAGCTAGTTGCGTCACAACATAGGAAGCCATAACTTGCCCAAATATTGCTGGTATAGTTCCCAGAACAGGAATGATGCGAACTCTAAAACCGGGAACTATCTGATATCCAAAGTTTCAATTAGAAGGATAGCTGGTAAAATTTATTGTGAGAAACATAAAGGAGGTAAGTACCAAAGTAACATCTAAACCACGTAACAAGCTATAGACAGCAATTTGTAGTCATTGCATGAAATTCAGCTACAAGGTTAAAACAGAAATTAGAACTATTGTATGATCTATCAGCGCCTCACCAACCTCCTCTAGGCCTCACTATCAATCTGAAGTACACTTACTTGATAATCTGAAGGGTTTTCTTCTTCTCCATTTGTTCCTGTAAATGGAAGCAGCTTTGCTTTTGGCTTCTCCAAAGAGAAAACAACAGGAATGCCGCCTTCAATACCATAATCTTTCTTCAAACGATGTCTAACCTGCAAAGTCATTGTAATAGAATCAATTTGTCAACAGCAATCCCATGATGAAAACATGGATCCCTCAAAACTGTAGTACTTTGATATCCCCGATTAATTTATGCACATCAACAAGATGAAGCACCCTTTCAAAGAGATGGAGATGGGAAGTACCAGTACTTGAAGAATAAAATGCGTATTTTTAGTTTACACAGAAGTTGTAATGATGTCGGCTTTAACTTGAATACCAAATACAAATGCAAGTCGAAGATCAAAATGCTTACAGATCGAGAGAGAGGGTCATTGGTTGACTCCCTCAAGTCAGCCACTCTGATTCTAGTTGGGTCAGCTCTGGCACCAGCCCCAGTGGCTGAAAGAACTTTCAATCCTCTACGCACACAAGCAGCAAGAAGCGTAACCTGTTTGGAGAAATACAAATTTGAGTCAACTAAGCTCGACATGCTCATGATTACAAAAAATACTTGCTTCAGTTACTAATAGTTACGGTTTAAGGATTGACTTAACAATTTATGAACAGATTGACTACTTTCTTAAGTTATAAACCACTTTTTCATGCAATCAAAAACAACATAGATACTGTTACAAAGAGAAGATTAGAAGTACCAAAGCTAAAAGTACCTTGGTATCGATGTTATCGATGCAATCCAGAACAAAATCAGGGTGGCCAGAGAGAATTTCATCTTCAGAGGAGGAATCATACAACAAGACTTTTGCATCTATATGACACTCTGGGAATATCGATTGGAAATGCTTCTTAAGGCACAAAGCTTTTGGAGTACCAACATCCTCTCTTGTAGCAACAGCATGACGATTCAATGATGAAACTGATACCTACAAGAGTATCCAAATGAATGGTTTCTTTATTAACACGTTCAACTCCACTTTGCAGATACTCAAAATTCCACTTACAGTTGGACAAAACTAAAATTCATTTCGTAAAAGATGAAAAGTTCTAATTACAGTTGGGCAATACTAAAACAACTATATTGTCATTGATCAAATGTATCATTACGCAAACAGTCTCTAAGGCAGGAGACTGACTTATGTTCATCAACATTCTCTAAACAGTCTTTAAACTGAGGTTTCTTTACCCACTTGCTTATGATTATAACAGACAACAATGTTAAGCAGCTAACCTAGGAAAAAATTATGCGAAAAAGTTCAAAGACAACGGGAAATAATTTATAACTACATTGAAAAACATTTTGAAGTTGAACCAGGTGAATCTGAAGCATTTCACAGAAAGAAGATAGATACCTGGTCAAAATCCACTAGGAGGAGTCTGCCTACACCTGACCTCAAAAGCATAGATGCAGCATGACTCCCTACACCACCAAGACCAATCACCACAACATAAGATCGAGTGACTTTCTCTTGAGATTCTAGGCCAAAAAACTGAATGTTCCTAACATAGAATCAGACATCAGCAAGTAAGATTTGATTTAACTGCTCAATTTATATAGAATATCAGAAACAAAAAACAACAAAAAAAATGGAAACAAACAAACAAGAACAAGAAAAAAAAAAAAGGAGGAAAAAAGGCATTAAGAATGCACACATGACATACACACAAAATGGTGATGTGCTTTTATATTGAAAGGCAACGACGGAATTTCAAAGTTATGAATCCGAACTCTACCTAGTGAGCTGTTCAGAAACAACTTCATCAGCTAGCAGGTCCGAACAAGGGTTCCCCTCACTACCATTTTCAGGATAATTGTAGTGTTTCAATCCTGCCATAAAAATCAGCAAGAACAACTTAGAACACCTATTGAAGTTTTTCATATCATGTAAGCTTTATAAACAGCTCCAACAAGAAATTCATCTCGACGCAAAGATATTATGAGAAGAAACACAGCCAATCTCTTAGACAAAAGGAAATAGTATAAATTACTCATAAGCAGAATAATTACCGTTTGCCTTCACTGCTTCTTTAATACACTCTTCTCTCACACTTCTACGGGAGCAAGTCAAACAAGAAAATAATAAATCAATCCAGCTAGGTTAAATCAGTGTGTGATACATAAATAATAGAAAAAGTGTTTACTATTTACAGTAAAGAACCTGGGAAGAAGTTTGAAGAGAGCAGCAGTGGCGACGGAACCAATCAGCGCTCCGGCGCCTATCATAGCGAGACATTTGACTTTCTCTTCCATCTTCCCTGTCGGTGTACCGGCGGTGTTCCTGATTTCCGGCGCCGCTGTGAATCCTTTTTGCCGGGGGCGCTTTGTTTTGATTTTCTAATGGTAGAAGAAAGGCTTTGATGACGTAACGGGATATAATTAATGCATACAGAAAGCGTGATCATAAATCCCTCACATAAACGAAGGCTATGTTTCTCTAAACTTAAAAAGGCGCGAACATGAGAAGGGGTTTCTTTTGCTGTGGAACCGCGCCTTTGTTAAATATGAGAAGTACGCGCCTTTGCCTTCCAATTGACACAAATTCATTCTAAACTAAGGAGTCCGTTGCCTGATTCTCATGCCGACGAATACAACAAGAGTGTATTTACGACTGCAAAGTCTAGTGTTCTTTTAACCCTAATAAACACATTACTCGTAGTTGTAGACACTAGGTTCCGTTATAGCAAGCCCATAAAATTGTGATAGTTACTACCGAATCCATTGGAGAGAGTTGAAAAGTAAAGAAGAATTCTCTCTGCATTTACCTCACGATTTCAGAAATTAGTGAATATTAATGGTGTGGGCGAGAAGTGCTGAAAGAAAAAAAAAGAAAGAAAGGAAACAATTAAATTAAAAGAATTCTAGAAATGAGTCCATGGTTATTTCCAAATCTGATGTGACATGTCGAGGATTACTTTTTTTACTCTGAACAATTACGGTTGCTTTTAGTATAAAAACGGCTACTTGATTATCCGACTATAATTGGATGTTTTGAAAACCCAAATCTCAACCTTTGTGTTTTGGTAAATGATATTATTAGGGAAGGCTAGTTGCCTCTGCTATTACAACAATTACTATCTAAAATATCTTGCTCAACCAGTAGTTTTATACAACTTGGAGCAGATTATATTCCTAACTTCTATCCTAACACCTCTTTAGCTAGCAGCGCTAAAGGTTGATATCTCTAGATACATGCATGAATTAAAAGTATTAACCAACCAATCCAATGTCATCAAAAGCTCCTGGATGCTTCTAAGGACAGGATGTAATTGTGCATTCCCAATCAAGTTCTGAACCAAAACAATGGCCTCTTGGAAAAATCAAATCCCAAGCTATTTGCAAACCAAAATACATCCCCCAAATCAGCTTCCAATACAGAGCATTCCTAGCTTTGACGCAAATAAACTATGCTGGTATACATTATACAATTGGAAATGCATAAAGCCCAAATAAATTGGGCCATTTGATGCCATCGGAAAAAATAGCCACTACAGAAGGCCCTCTACAACAAAGGTCACATTTATACTTTCAAAACCCTTGTGGATGTTCGTAATCATTATCAATTCTAATATTTTCACTACTTTCATGTATTTAATATTCCATCTATCCCGAAATTATTGTCCAATTTGAAATCTCAATTTTAGTACAATTTGAACTAAAATTGAAAACTCAAATTAAACAATAAATATGGGACGGAGGGAGTATCATGTAACACTCACATTTTTAGCACATTCTGTTACACTGAAACAGTATAATAATATGAACTGTTTTTTTTTTTTTTTGTAATTTGAACGGAGGGAATTATATCTACAATCATTTTATTGACAAATATAACAAAAAACCACTACCGAACATTACAAATAGTAGTACTACTTGAAATTGTTTGTTCCTTGGTTTGTAGTACATTAATCAGGGTTTGACTCATTGCTTTGTCACTCCCAGTTTCTTTGATCAATGTGGCGGGATTAAGTTCGGTATAATCAATAAATAATTTGTTATCATATGATTCGTTAAAAAAAGGTCAACTTTCTAACTCTATGCACATTGGCCAGTGGCCACCAATTTATTCGTGCCTTCAAATTTGAGGAACTTGACATCACTTTTATTTATTTATTGTAACCTCTCTTTGCATTCTAGTGACTCCATAAAACACGAGTTCAAAATTCTTTTTTTTTCCTCCCAAATTTTTAATTGAAAAAAGCTTTGAACTAACACATTAACTCACATCATAAGCTGGCTAGATAAGCTTAATTAATTAATCTCCCCCAATTAAGAAAGTTCACTAGGTTGCTAATTGCCATCTGGTTTAGGACTGGTTTTTAAACTTTGAAAAGCAATACTTATGCAAGTGCCTTCCAGAGAAAAGGAAAGAAGTACAAAGCAACCAGTATGAAAGAAGTGCAAAGCAGTGAGCTAGTTGATGTTATAAAGTAAATTACTTTAGAGAAAAATTATAAATTTTCTTGGTGCAAGTTGAGAACCCCCCAAAAAAAAGGTACATACATGGCCAAACGAGTGTAGAAAATACGATGAGGAAGAAACTCAAGAATAATTTCATTTGAGGCCTATATAATTTCACTTAATCTTCTGTTTTTGAAATAATTATCTAGTTTTAATTTTTAGTTTTTAATATACTCCCTCTGTCCCAAAATTATTATCCAGTTTCAGTTCTCACTTTTAGTACAATTTGAACTAAAAATGAAAACTCAAACTGGACAATAATTATGGGACGGAGAGAGTACTTACTTGGAAAGAAAACAAAATATTTTTTTTTTATTTATATATATAGAGTACATATCATTTCCGTATCAAAAATTGCTTGTATTTTGGGAATGAAACTCAACGAGAACCACAGAAGTAGCTAGTCACGAAATCCATGGGAAGGCTGAAAACTAGTAACGAAGGAAGAAACCGTGCACTTTTTTAGCAAAAGACTGTATATGCGTGCCTCGATTCATTTGATACTCTTTGAAATTAATGTTTGAGCGCTTTTTCAACGGCACGTCATTTTGATCCAAAAAACAACAAAATGCGTAACTAAAACCCACTGGATGATCACGTAACGTCCAACAGTTGGGTATCATTGTCCAATTAGCAACTCCAGTGATGATATATAACCGCATAAAAAAAAAAAAAACCAAGAAAAAGAAAAAAGAGAAAACAAGCGTTAATTTTCGACCACATATAGAGTATAAAGTGTAAATCAATTGGAATTTACCGAAGCTTTCTCTATCAAAATGTTCAAGAAGTTTTTTTTTTAATTTATTTCCTCCAATCTTATTTATAAAGACTCATTTTCATACGAAATGTAGTTTTACTTTTGGTGTTAAGTTGACCGGAATGAATGGCTACATGATATAGTAGTGGAAAGAAATTTGTGAATATTGTAGGTTTTCATTGGAGAGGAGTGGAGACCATAGAGATCAAAACATGTGATTGGTGAATAAGCTTAGACTCCGGCCGGCATTACTTTTGGCCCACGGTATGTAGTTTCTGAAATTCAACTGGCCTTAGTATTGTATGCATCTGACCAAACAATGAACCACATCTTAGTATTCTTCCGCCCCGGGCATTTTGTACTATTTATCTCTCCGGTAAAATTGAATATGATTATCCATATTAGAATACCACTTTTTTTTCTTTTTTGAGACGAGATAAAAAAATTCTTTTCAGGTGAATCTATGCAAAATGACGTCCGTCCAAATAATTGCCATGGGTGCGTATCGCGTGTGATAAATTTTGCTAACAAAAACATTCAGTAGTTTACGTATACCATTCTATTTGCGCAATCAATTGGCCTAACAAACAACTAAATATAACAGAAATATGAGAAACAAATTAAACCCTAAACGCCAAGAATTCATGAAGCTAATGCGTGCGTTCGTTCGAGCACACCAAATCACAGGAAAAAAAAAAAAAGGAAAAAGAAACAAACCCCAAACTTGGGGATGATTTAAAATTAGTTAGCTTTTATAAATAAGTGAGTAGCGCCATTTTTCTTTTCTGCCTCATCGAATTACCAATCCCAGCCGTCAACTAGTGGCGAAAACTTTCTCATGTTTTCGATGGGAGGCTTCAAAGTGGAGATGAACATCAGCAAATTCATTTTGGAGTTTCGTGCATGATCTGGACGAGTTCATAGAAAAACACTGTTAGTGGTTTTATCATTTATGCTTTGTACAGTAGAATTCCATTTATAGGAACTTAATTATGATGATCGTGGTTTGGCCGTATCAATTTCTTATTCTTTCGTTTGGTTGACTGCTCTCTTTAGTCTTTTAAGTTATATACTTTTTTAATTTTTTATTTAGAAATTAAAGTTACATGGCTACCTGGTTTACATTAGTTTGGTTGATCATCTTATATATACACACACACATATATATACATAGATCTTATTATGGTGGTTTCATTTTATAATTTTATAAAAATTCATACTGATCATGCACAATCCTCAAATGGTTCCAATTATAGTTGTGGGTGGATGAGTTAAAAAATGGTCTGAATATGGCAAACCAAACTTTGACGTAGTACCACCGCTTCATTAATAAATTGTTCTTAGCTGACTAATGCTTGCTCTTTACAAGTCTGGTGTACATTACTTAATAGTCTTTTCGTCCCATGCATGATACTAGTCATGCTTAAGATTTTGGAAGTACTACTAATTGTCTTCTCTTTTTTTTTTTCGGTAAACGCTACTAATTGTCTTTTCAATATTCTTCTGTACGTAATATATGTTCTTATTCTTGTTAGGGTTTTCTTTTCTTCTTTTTTTTTTCTCTTTTAATGTATTGATACATATATGAAAAAAAATCCCTTTGAAGTTTACTAATTCGTGTGTTTATAAATATTGGCACGTGTCTTAAGACCAGCAAAATTTTCATTTGTCTTTTCAACAACTGAGAAAGGTGTCCGTGCCATTTCCATTTGGGGCCAATAAGATTAACAGAACTTGGCTGAGGGCGGTGCTACCTAAATGGCTGCTTAATGCAGGTTCGGTCATTCACTGATAAGTGATCAATAATTAATAGTCAGAAGATGAAAAGTTGTGATTCTATTAATTTAATGTAAGCAAAAGTTTTTGTAAAAAAAAAAAAAAGTAAGCAAAAGTTAGATGGATTTTTATCATTATCATCCTATCATCCCCCCATAAATGTTAAATAAGTATACATGTCAATGGTGGAGACATTTGCTTTCCCTTTATATTATATACTTGGGTGGTCAAAAAGTTTGAGGCGGTAAATAGTTAAAGATGTCCCAAAAATATTAGAAGGTAAAATTATGTTAAGATAATCTAAATAGTCATTGGGAAAACTAGCCAAAAAGTTTTATTCAAGCACTTGAGAGCTATTTATTCCCTTAAAAAAGTATAGAAAACTCTTGAAATGTTAGATTAAAGTACTTTAAAAGTAACTTTGAGCATTGTTCCTTAATAAACATCCATCACTATCTTCTTCCACTGGTTTAGAAGATAAATGGTATGCGCTGCTCAATGGATCCCTTTCCAACAGGCAAATATTACTTTTTTTTAATTTAATTTTTCTTCTCTAGAGTACAAATCATATTGTAATAAGTAAATGTAAACGGGATACTCCCTTCGGTCTTTAGTATAAGACATTTTTATTTTATATTAAATTTCACCTAGTACGCATTATTAATTGACGAAAAAATTTTAAAAATATATTTTCACATTCGTTGTACTCTCTTAACTATTATGAAATATTTTTAAGATTTTTTTGTCAATTAAAAATACGTACTATGTTAAACATAGTATAAATCAAAATCCCTTAAAGATCGGAGGGAGTAATATTCTTTTTCAACTCATTATTTTGGATTAATTGTTTATATTGCAAAACCATAAAAGCCGTATTCGGTCAAAATTTTGATAAATGTTGAAATATTAGAAGGTAATATCCTTTTAAAAGTTGATGTATTACTACATTATTAATTAATTATAAAAGCAAACCATGTCTATGCGCGCTTCTGCAAGACGGGGAAACCAAACCATGATTTCACAAGTTCACAGCTGTTAGGTTGACAATAGCGTAGGGATTTAATGAGGAAGCACTATTATTCTCACACCATTCAAAAAGATTTTTTTTTTTTTTTTCAGTTTCCTTGCCAACGATGTATCTTATATTATTGTTCCAAAATATTCGATCTATGAATTTAAAAATTTATTTAAAGTGTACCTTTGTCAGACTAGATTAATTCATGCACCCTCTCTCAACCAAGAATGAAATCAGAGTTCTAAATCTCAAATCAGATTTTTTTTAAAAAAAATAAATAAAATTCCAAGAGAAAGAACGTACACAAAGGACACGATTTTATGTGATCTCTGGTTGTAATATTTTTATTATGGATCCAAACGCATTCTATGAAGAAAAACCAAAAAGTTTGGTCTGAAGTTGTTTTTCTTTTTCAAAAGAAAGAAAAATATGGTTCGATAATTATTTTTTTTGTAGTACAATACAACAGTCCAGATAATTATCTTTTGTCGAAGTTCCGAGTTATCATAGGATAGCTCGTTTCAACGGCCAGGGGCTTCCCATCTGGGGAAGATGTATCACGTGCGTGTTGGAATTAGGTTGTCAATTGTCTTGATTGAGGAAATAATCAAAGCAATTTAATACATTTGAATCCAACCCATGATAACTTAAAATATTTGAGAAAAATGCTACGCGTTACCCATGATTGCATTTCATAGATAGACAGCAGCAGGTCAATATTCCAGAGACCTAACCAACCATGAACCGCCGGAAATTAGCTGATCAAACCCATGGACCATCTGCAGTGAAATGTATTTTTAAGTACTGTCACGTCTTAAAAAATGATTATCACGTATTAGTAATGTAGTCTGCTGTTTCACTTAAAAGGGAGTTATCAAACAAATTATTAGCTGAATTCATAGAAGGGTATCGTGTAGTATGTTGTTTAACTTGTTTCATTGTTTAGTTTAAAATCGCTTTACAAAATAACAGCTAGGGTAAGAAGATTGATCATTATGTTTCATTAGCTCATTGCACAAAAATATTCAAATCTACTTTAAAAAAAGAAAAATATCAGAAATAAAATCACCCAGAATTCGTACAGCGCAAAGCTTTGCCCGGCCCTTCTCACACCTTAGATAAGCAGTACTACCTCCGTCTTTAAAAAATAGTCCACTTTGAATTTTGAATTTTGTATTATTTTTAGTACAAGTAGCATTATTCTCTTTTTTTTTGTTTGTTACAAAGATGTGGAGATAAAGCCTATGTTTGAATATTTCTGAGATATTCAATCCCGATTACATCATATTCCAACTACGAAATTACTTTGCATGGTGGATGATCAAATCTTTGCAAACCACCGGGCCCTTGCGCGACTAGTGAAGCTTAGGGCTTGTTTGCCCAACCATCCATTTTGCATTTTGTCTTCTTACCTCTTAAAATATATTTCAAACACAAATTCCAATACCATCCAAACAAATTTTTAATTTACTTTTTAAAACTTATTTCAAACATTATTTTTACACTATTTTTTTACAGCATCACTGGACCACCTCCGCCTCCACTGTCCGCCACCGGACCGCCGCCGGCCACCCGGCCGGATTTCGGCCAGATTCCGACGACTTGACCAGAATTTGGCCGGAATCTGGCTGGTCGCCAGCCGACGGCAGTCCGGCAGAAGCGATGGGCGGTTTGGCGCCAGCGCCGGTGGTGGAGGTGTTCCGATGGTGGTCTAAAAATATTATTTTATTTAAGATATTACCTAAACAATTTTTTAAATTTTCTCTCAAAACACATTTTAAAACATATCTCAAATTCAAATAAAAAACTAAAACAAAAACAAAAACAAAACATTGCCAAACAAGCCCTAAGCAATCAGAGGTGAAATTAGCCAAGTAGCATTATTCTGACTTGTATAGTTTGCTAGGCAAAATTAACGCAAGTAAAAGAAAAAACTGAAAAAGAAGAAAGGGGGCCAGACATACCAAATGATATACTTCATCGGGTGGCAAGTAGCCACCAATAAGAAAGTGGTCAACCGGCAACCGCCGCCATCTTTCAAATTCATCAGCATCAAACGATCATTCGTCCAAAGTGCTCACTGACACCAAAATCACACATCACGCCACCCCCCGATGCGGCCAAATCCGTCTCGGGAACCGTTTTGAATCCATCTGCCAGTTGGAGTATTTTTCAATTTGTGATATTACGAATATACATCATTACCATTTACCAAACAACGTGTACATGTAACATGAACGATGCAGGTTAGCCAGTTCATTTTTTTATTCTTTTCCAACTTGGAACAACGATATCGATGAATCAATTTGTCAGGTCTTGTCAACTCACAAGAAGAAAAATAGATACGGTAATAATACACTAATGTAAAAAGGGGGAAAAAAAAGAAGAAAAGGAGTTGTTGCTGTCCTTTTAATGAAATTTCACAAGATGCTCAAAACAAATAAATACGAGGATGCATGGAGAGATGGAGTTTTCCGTTTAAGCTGCGCGGCAAAGTTACTTTTGAATACAGCTGGTATGCGAACTAATTGGAAAAATGATTTCAGACACCTAATGTATAATGTATAAAAAAAAAAATTACTTTTGAGAAAATGAGGGCTCCTAATTTTAGAAGAGTAATAATACGTACATAGAAAATTTACTAGGAAAACTTAAACTATGCCTTAATCTTAAATACTTAAACCTCAAATGAAAAGTGTTAAAAATGAATGGTTATGATTAATTCATTATTATTTTTTCCCTGTACGAATCATTATCCATGTTAGAATGGACTTGCAGTCATACTTCAATTGACTTTCAAGTTTTTAGGCAAAAATCATGGATGGAGGGATTCCTACCATTTTCAAGATCTCTAGATATACAAGTCTTGGACAAATGTTAAAATATTACATCCCTGTCTCGAAAAAAAAAATAGAAAAAAGAATTATGTTTGATGAACCAAGATATTACAGTCATTTGTTCATAAAGGGGACCAGATGAGGTCTAGAAACTACGAGTCAATGACTCAAATCAACCAAAAAGTGCAATTTGGAAGGTGAGCCCTCATGGAGGAGGCGATCCTGCGTAAATATAGCAAAAATTAGACAGCTCCCCCCAAAGACCTTTTTATTTAAACTTTTTAAGGCTTAGATTATTAGTCAGAATCCACGATCAATTTGCCCCACAAAAAAAAAAAAAAAAGAAAGAAAAGGAAAAAAGCCGTCATTTCCTTCATTGCGTGTCCTTATCAATAATAATAATTTCTTTTTCCCCCAAGTTCTTATTAGACCACTTCCTTAAAGAATTTCATAAGTATACCCATAAAAGGATATAAATAAAAATAAGAAAGTGATCTGATGAACTGATCATCATTCATCAATAATGTCAATCAATTTTTGATAAGAGCTGCCTCCAGTTTTCCCATATTGTAAAACACACTCATCCTTTCTATTTTTTTTTTTTTGAAAAAAGGCTTTATTTATTTATTAGTTATTCCATGATACGCTTTCAGCTGCCCTGTATAAATATAGCAAAGAAACGCCTTATTCATTATCTTTTGTAGTTTTGTTCCACAAACAAATCACAAATCATCCCTTCTCTCTGTTTTATTTCATCTTTTTTTTTTTTTTCCCTCTTTCTGCACAATTTGAAGTCTCAACAAACTGACTGGAAATAATGTATCATCAGGCTCTCTAGCTATAGTTTACCACGTAATTCAAACCCAACCCAGAATCCATCCATACATATATATATGTTGTGGTACAAAAACAAACTGTCTGAAATCAATTACCATCGCCGGAAATTAAAGTCGGCATTATTAAATCCGTAATATTGATCGGAATTTGGGCGTTGGGTACTAATTTGAGATCCAGATGGGGAGAAAGAACAGGGGAAAGGAAGAAGAAGAAGAAGAAGGGGGGAGCTCGAATGGATCAGGGGATGGAGAATATGAGGTTGATGATTTAAGGGATAAGATTCAGTCTTCACGTGGGAGCCGTTTCGCGTTGATCAAATCCCAGTTCGGTTACGAAGCCGGAAACAACCGCCGGCTCAGCCGTGAGAATCTTATCAAAGGCGTTTCCCATGGTTACATTGATCCTCAGACTAACAGGTCCGTATTGCATTACGACTCTGCCTTTTTTCTTTTTTTTTTTTTTGGTATGTGTTTTTTTCACCTTCCACTTATCATGTGTCCTGTAATTTAATGGTGTTGCTTAGCTGTTCATTACTTCACCTATAAATCTCTTCCTAAGATTAAGGAAGCTAAATTTAGTTTTTTGAATTTTGAGTCTTTTTCTTAGTACTAACACTATTTTATTTTCTAATAAAAATCTCAAATTTAATGTGGACTACTTTTTTTTTTTGGTCGATAAAATTGATTATCGACAGTGTAGTGCTATTCATTTATTAGGTGGTATTCATTAAAGTGTAAATAGTAAATAACACATAAATGTGTGGAGCTATAAAGTTCAAATGGACTTCCAAAGGCGTTTGACAAATTAATCACTAACTAATCATCGCGGAGTATAGTCGTATACGGGATCAACTTTGAAATTCGGATTTCGGAATATAAAATAATAATGACAATAATAAATAAATAAATACAATTTGTTGATCTGTCAGAGGATTTTAAAAATTTTAAGGATAAGTACGTGGAATGGGAGGAATGGGGGGGTTGGTCAGTCTCACTTGAAATCTGGCAAGTTTTTGAAAATGACACTACGAAATTTGTATTATATATTCAAAGGATGCCATTATTATTTTTAAAAATGTCAAAAAAAAAATGATGGTTTGGGATACTACTTGCAGTTGGACATGTTGTAACAATAATCTACAATCTGGGGACTTAAGACACCAGTTCATGTTGCAGAAAATATAATTGTAGCAAGGTGACTTGCTAATGTTGATACGTCTGATACCACATAGACATCAATCACGTTAGTAACTACGACTATATCCCAAAATTATTATTCAATTTAGATTTTCACTTTTAGTTTAATATGTACTAAAACTGAAGCTTCAAATTGGACAATAATTTGTGCATATCATGGCATTTTTTAATCAACATTAAGACATTTTAGGTTAAAAAAACTTATTGATACGAGACATTCAAGAGAATTAGTTAAAATATCCTGTAATCCCTTTCTAGCAACTTATATGCAATGCATTATTTTTCTGCCATTGACATTCAAGCAGAAAAAAGTAGCATTCCACTTATTACGAGTGTTACCAGTCACCACATATGGGATACAGAATGTAGTATTACTGATAAACATAAAATGCAGGTGGTACCGAGCGTGGGAAAAGTTCATCCTTATATGGGCACTCTACTCTTCGTGTTTTACGCCTTTGGAGTTTGGGTTCTTCAGGGGATTACCCAAGAAGCTCTTCGTTTTGGACATTGTTGGTCAAGTAGCATTCTTCATTGACATTATTCTGCACTTCTTTGTGGCTTATTTAGATACTGAGACATATGTACTGGTCAAAAAACGAACTCCAATTGCCATTCGGTTAGTTTTGCATGCCCAAAAACTTTCTTCAAAATTTACAGTTTTATCAGCACTTTCTTCTAACCTTCGACTCTGTGGGTTTCTCGGCAGGTACATGAGGTCTCACTTTATAATTGATCTTCTTGGTTGCATGCCTTGGGATATCATTTACAAGGTTACAAACTCTTCCAGTAAATTATTTCATATGATTCGTCATTGATATGTAGATTATCATTGTGTTGATTATGTAGTTTAGGTATTGCAGTTGGTTTGGCTATCTAATTAGTAGCAGCCTATTCCTTCACACTTTTGCAACAGCTAAACTCATATAGTTTTAGTGAAATTTTCAATATAAAACAGTAAAAGCACAAATAAAACTGCTGTTCAAAGAAAATCTTTGGTTACGACTTATCATTGATGTATTTTTCAAATGTAATTTGCCCAAACAAGGTGGTAGACAGAGAACTTTATGTGTCCATTTGCCCCTTATGCTCTGTTTGATCAAACTATGAAATTTTGCTAGCATGAAACTGTTAAGAAAAGGATATGTTTTGTTTTGGTTAATGTTGCAAACTTGCAACTATTCTTTCATTTAATTGCAGCCTGTATCTGACAACTCTTACAACTTCTTACAAATTTAGGCTGCTGGGGGGAAAGAATGGATCAGATACCTTCTGTGGATTCGGTTGAGTAGAGTACGCAAGCTCACTAAGTTTTTCCAGAATATGGAGAAAGATATTCGGATCAATTATCTATTTACAAGGATTATAAAGCTTATAGCTGTTGAGCTCTATTGTACACATACTGCAGCCTGCATATTCTACTATCTAGCCACCACTATTCCTGAAGAGAAAGAAGGCTACACCTGGATTGGCAGTTTACAGTTGGGGGATTACCACTATTCACACTTCAGAGAGATTGATCTTTGGAAACGGTACATAACTTCAATGTACTTTGCTATTGTTACTATGGCAACTGTTGGTAAGTTCCAAAGCACTGTGTTTCTTTGATCTTTTTGGCTTGTTACTTTGAAATTCGAACTTATGTAGCAAAAGTGTGAAGGAGCATTGACAACCTATCTCTTGTCCTGTTGAATTTGGACAGGTTATGGAGATATACATGCAGTCAACGTGAGAGAGATGATCTTCGTTATGATTTATGTTTCTTTTGATATGATTCTTGGAGCTTATTTGATCGGTAACATGACAGCCTTAATTGTGAAAGGATCGAAGACGGAAAGATATAGGGATAAAATGACTGACCTCTTGAAGTATATGAATAGAAATAGACTTGGAAAAGACATACGAAATCAAATTAAAGGTCACCTGCGATTACAGTATGAGAGAAGTTACACAGATGCTGTTGTGCTCCAAGATATCCCAGTCTCCATCCGAGCTAAGGTTGGGATATTGAATACTGTATCTCCATATTTTGCTTTGGCAGTATAAACTTATTGAAATCTGCTACAATGTTCTTATTTTAGATGTCATACTTCAGTCCCGTGTCTTCCACTGTAGTCCGGGATTTTTGTATGTCAGCCATATCAAAAAAGATTTCTTCAAAAAGTTGGAATTTATGTATTTTCATTTCCGTGCAGATTTCACAACGCCTATATAGAGACTTCATTGAAAGTATTGATCTCTTCGACGGATGTTCTGCAGAATTTATCAATCAAATAGTGAGTTGCTTTCTTGTCCTATGTCTCACTCTTGTTTAAGGCCATGCAAGTTCTGTTTTCCTTTTGAAGACCATCAAAACCATTATGCAAATAATAAGAAATATCTCATCATATTTCAGGTAATCAGACTTCACGAGGAATTTTTCCTTCCTGGGGAAGTCATCATGGAGCAAGGAAATGCAGTGGATCAGTTATATTTTGTCAAAGAGGGTAGTCTGGTGAGCTACTGCATTTAATATTCATACATTCTTGCAGTGGACCTTTCACTTGAAATTTCTTTCCATTCTTGTTTCTTTATATAGATCAGACATCTTCTTTTTGCCAACATAAAAATCACTGCATAAAAACCCATCTTTTTGCCCAGCGTGTTCCTTCCTGAACATTATATTTGTTACAACTTCCTGGCATTATTTATTTGGTTTACCTGCACTATGATAAATCTGCTGGCTTAAGCAGTAAAGGGCCTAGCGTGAGCGTCGTGTCAAGTTGGATTTTGTTCTGTCTACAATTTGGCAGGTACCGCCCCGAATTTTCAAATTGTGTTGACAGTTGTTTTCTACAGGAGGAGATCAGCACAGCCAAAGATGGGAGCGAAGAATCCTCAACAGATCTGAAGCCTGGGGCTGTGTTTGGAATTATTGCTATTCTTTTCAACATTCCACAGCCAAAAACTGTTCGTGTATGCGAACTATGTGTACTTCTTCGTATTGATAAACAATCATTTTCCAACATCCTTGAGGTATATTTTCATGATGGGAGGAGAATCCTGTCTAACTTATCAGAGGTAATTATACCCTTCTCCCTTGCATGCCTTTTGCTTCTATTTGGCTCTTCTTTTCTGTTACACGCCAAGCATATTAGCCTTGGTTTTGTGCAAGTGGACTAATATATTTTAGTGACAGGGGAAGGATTCAGTTTTCGGCAAGAAACAGCTGGAGACAGATATTGGATTCCATATTACTAAGCAAGAAGCTGAACTGGCTCTGAGGGTTAACAGTGCTTCTTATTATGGTGATCTGCAGCAGCTGAAAGATTTGATCCGAGCTGGTGCTGATCCAAACAAAACAGATTATGATGGAAGATCCCCACTGGTATATCTTCAGCTACAATGCATACACAGCGTTAAGTAAATTTTGTGAACCTCAGTGCCTGATATTTATCACTTTTGGTTTGTTTTTTTTAATCAGCATCTTGCTGCATCAAGAGGATATGAAGATATCGTGCAATTCCTTATCCAAGAGGGAATGAATGTAAACATTGCAGGTAATCTTTCACAAGATTTGATAATCAATCTCGGCCTTGAGGTTGAGGCTGTCTATTTTAAAGATTAATTGTACTCATTTTTTTCATCATGACAATAGATAATTTTGGCAACACACCATTACTCGAGGCGATTAAGAATGGACACGAAAATATTGCTACATTACTCGTGAACAAAGGAGCATCGTTGCAGATTGAGAATGCTGGAAACTACTTGTGTATGGTTGTTCTGAAAGGTGATGCAGATTTCCTGCGAAGGTTGCTATCCAGAGGCATAGATCCAAATTCCAAAGATTATGATGAAAGAACACCACTTCATGTAGCTGCTTCTCAAGGATTCTACATAATGGCAAAGATTCTTTTGGACGCCGGAGCTAGTGTTCTCTCAAAAGACAGGTGCATATATCCTTTGATTCTTTCTTGACTTTTATCCTCCAAATTATTCCGTTTATTGGAACGAAATCATTCTAGGAAGATGAAGTTGATAATTGGTGAAGCAGATGAACTTCTGTCGACCTTTTCGTCGGGAAAATGATCTCGACGCATATAGGTCGACGAACCTGGAAAATTATCTTTGTCATATGTTTATTTCTTTCTTCCAAGTTGCCTTTTCTTTGGCAAGGGCTAAAGGATTTTGGCTAATTTTCATTGGCAGGTGGGGAAATACTCCTCTTGATGAAGCTCGAATTACTCGAAACAAGAAAATGGTGAGCCTATTAGAAGCAGCGAAACCGTTGGAGACCTCAGAATTGCCTGATGCTCCTGATCGTTCGCAAGAGATTACAGGTATAAATTACAGGTCACGAGGCTTTCATATGATTCATTCTATTCAAAAATGCTGTGGAATTTTTTTGCATGTGTGAAAGCTTAACCTAGTACAAATGATGACAGATAAAAGGCGGCGAATCAAATGCACAGTGTTTCCTTTCCATCCATGGGAGTCTAAGGATGCAAGAAAAGTTGGCATTGTGTTGTGGGTTCCAAGCAGCATGGAAGACTTGATTAGAGAAGCATCAGAGCAGCTGAACGTTTCTTCGTGCTCATGTTTATTAACAGAAGATGGCGGTAAAATTGTTGATGTAAATATGATTAGTGATGGCCAGAAGTTGTTTATGATGAGGGAAACAGATTAAAAGGTTTTGATTGATTTGTGGTGTAAAATGTAATGCCTGCACCTTTAAGCTTTGTATATAGTGTTTTTGATGCATCAATGAAGAGAGAAAAAAAAAAAAATCATTTTGTGTTCCGTGAGTCCAACTCACAGGTTTACTTATTTCTCTGCCCTGTTCATTTGGAAGAACACTAATCTGTTTTCACAAATTTATAAGCATATGACAATTAGCTAGACCTTCCAAAGTTACAATGTTTCAACCTATTAATCCATATTCATTCTGATCGTGGATTTTTCTTCCACAAATGAAACCAAGACGGTATCTCATGATCATGATTTCCTACCGGTTTTTCTTACGTGCTACAGCCCCATATAATGAATTAGAAGGTGAAAAGTCATACTATCTCCGTCCCAAAAAAATACTCCCTCCGTCCCATAATTATTGTCCAATTTAGATTTTTATTTCTAGTTCAAATTGTACTAAAAGTGAAATTTCAAACTGAACATAAATTTGGGACAGAGGGAGTAGTCCACATTGAGTTACATTGAGTTTTCAAATTTATATTAAAAACAGTACAAAACTCAAAATTCAATGTAGACTATTTTTTTGTGGGACGGAGGGAGTATTTACGGGATATTTCGCAATACCTTGAGTTGTAAGAGGGAAACAAGTTTGTTTTTTGTTCGCCCTACCAAGTTTCTCGAGCATTAAACCTCACATTGGAAATTGGATCGGAAGGAAGAGCCCGTAAATTGAGAGTTCAGAACATAGCGCAAAGGAGTTTTGCAATGGAGATGTGAATGCAAAGGAGCTAACCCATGCATATAAAGCTAGCTGACGATTATACACATTGAGCACAAACCTTTTGGAAAACCCGAATATCCAGTTTATAAAGAAAGACCAATATGGTAAAATATACCAAAAGTGAGTACAATTGAAACTTGAATGTATGAGTGTACAATGAGCAAAATAGCAATAATAGTCTTTAAATGAACCCCAAAAAAAATTGGTTAAACACTGAACATGTGCATGATAATGTTTTAAAGCTTTTACACTTCTATAAGATAACAAACCAAAAACAAGCTACACGTGAAGCATATGGGCTGAAAACAAAATTTGCGAGTAGAATATCCCACGCTGAGAAACTTTATAATCTCAATCAATCAAAAAAAAAAAAAAGAAAAAGAAAAAAGAGAATCGTCACACCCAAAAGCATGCTCCAACCAAAACTTGTTCTCGTCTCCATAAAATTGCTCCAGCTCGAACTCTTGGGTTTGCTCCATATAATTGCTGTATCTCATCCACGTCATTATTTGTGAGATTAACTTTTCGGGTTTGAGTACCCACAGTTGGGTAAATAATAGCGGACTTAATTCTAGAATGATCCAACCCTAGTATGTGACCAATTTTATGGACATCAATTGTCTCTAGATCCACAGTTAATTCAAATTTTAGTTTATCTTGATCAATCACCCACAGTTCTTCTCTATCGAAATGGAGTAACCCAATTTCTGGCAGGAAAGAGTGAGCCGTTTTTCTCAACAGCCCATTGAAAGTAAATCCATCATCGACATAGAATCCAATCTTGATGTCCGAATAATTCACATCATTTATCTCTACGAATGTTATGGGAATCACCGCGGCCCAACGCCCAAAGGCCCGTTGGAACGTAAGCCTAACATCTGCTAAACTCAAGCTCTTAGTCATCTAATTCGGTAAAAAAGTGTAGTTCAGTTTTACGGGAAATGTCCGATTCCACCTGAGCTTGTTCGGAGAAAAAAACGAGTAATGCTTTGTTGCATGAAATTTGTCACCAATGAATTAGTCAGGGTTACCACACCGCGGTGTGACAATCAGGTTGACGGTATCATTGTCGAGTTTCCGGTTGACAATTATCTCTGATCCTTTGGGTTTTAGAATCATATATTACCACAAACATAGTTAGTTGACAATTATGAACTTTATTTGCGAGCTTCCCGATCACACTCGGAAGTCGGATTACCAAAACAATAAAACTTTACTAGCGAGCTTCCAGTTCACACTCCCAATGATTCGTACCATTAAGACGTGCAATTGCTTATTTATGGAGTTCTAATCAATTAAATGATCAGGAACATGATCTCTGAGCAATGATGATATTCGATTTTTGTAAGGATAATTAGGGAGTAGAACGATTTCATTCTCGCAACTATTCGGCTATATATTCAGTCGGAACTCAATGTATTAATGTCAAAAAAAATAAAAAATAATGTGACATTAGCTATTAAAATAATTAATTGGAAGAGGGGCTCTAAGCACTCACCATGCCATTAATTCGACATGTTAGCTATCTAGAAAAGGGGGCTTGGGCTTGGCTACTTAGAAGGTAGGAGTTCACAACAGACAATCCCTTTAACATTAATTGAAAGCGGATGCCATTGAAAGAAAGAAAAGAGAGCGATCCCTCCCTCCGTCGCCCCATAATGAAATGGGTTTTCCGGCTCGGAAAGGCGATAGCCAAGGACGGCGGGCATTAGTTCTAACTTCTAGTACATGTTAAAATGGTCTAAAAAAGATGTTATAATTAACATGCCAAATCACCACAGTACAACATTCAAGAAAGAACTTAATTAAACACAAAACAAACGTGTTTTTCTCTTTCATTAGTTGATACTACATCTGTCCCAAAATAATTATCTAGTGTAAATTTTTATTTTTAGTACAATTTGTATTACAAAGTGAAATTTCAAACTCCATAATATTCAGAATTGAGGGAGTAAAATTCTCCACACTCTACGTATTTAATGATCAAGTTCAATTCACATACAACACCCCCAAAACCAAAAAAAAAAAAAAGAAATAAAAAGCACAATACTAATAATTACTTCCTCTGTCCCATAATTATTGTCCAGTTTAGATTTTCTAACTAGTTCAAATTGTACTAAAATTAAAATCTCAAAATAGACAATAATTTTGGGATAGAGGGATATTAAAATACGAAGATTTTACTTCGCCGTGAGGAAGTGCTTTGAATCTCTGTTGAAAGACTTCAAATCAAACCTATCTATGGATCAAGCTTCAAACAGGAATTCCCCTTAATTGAAGTGCACAGCCTGTCGAAAATGGTTTTGGGCAGCTATATTTTGAGCTCTTGACGAAGTTGAATTCCTACTACTCTCCTCAACAGAAGTTGTGATCCTGATTTTCAGTGGCGGTGGAACTTATTAACATCGAACGAAGTAGAGCTCCGAACGAACTTCTCCCTTCGGTTCTTATTATAAAGTTTTTTTTTTATATTAAATACTCGGTGTTTGAATTTTTTTTGTTTATTATTATTACAAGGAATTTTAAATTGTCATAATTTTCACTTAGTATGTCTTTGTGATTGAAGAAAAAATTTTAAAAATTACATTTTTACATTCATTATATTCTCCCAATTATTAAAAAAAAATTTAAATTTTTTTTTTCAATTGAAAAAACATACTAGGTGAAACTTAAAACAAATCAAAATGCCTTGTACTAAAGACTATGAAGAGTACTTAAGTTCTTTGTATATTAGTTTTTTGCATTACTTTTCTTTATTAATCACGGAAAGGACGTTCCAACTCCCAATCTTACAGTTACAATCATTGCGTTTTACGAATTTCGCACAACTCTCCGCCTTGGTCATTTGGAAGAACACTAATCTGTTCTCACAAATTAGCAACATATGACAATTAGCTAGACCTTCCAAAGTTAATTACAATGTTTAAAATTATTAGACCGTATCTGATGATCATGGTTTCCTATCGGCTACGGATTTTTTTCTTGAGGGTAACACCCTTTTAAGTTCCTACTTTAGCTCTCCTTAATGGGAGCTTTTCAGATTTGCTTTCTGAGATTAATATTCTTTTTCCTTCTCATTAAGTAGAGATCCTTGTAAATCTATATTGTACAGTACTGCAAAACTTCAGTTAGGAAGTTATTCCAAAAGGTAGAATTTATATCTTCTAAGTAAAATTCCTAACCTGGTTAGGAGTATTTAGTAGGATTTACTCACTCCCAATTAAGGCAAATAATTTTTATTTTATTTTTTTACAATAAAAGAGGCAAATGCCTAACGGTCTAACTTATGAAAGAGCGTTGATAAGATACTCTAACAATATTATGTTCCAGCCATGGTTTAAGCAAAGGTGAGGGCTCTTCTAGCCAATTCAATCTTCCATGACTATTCGCTGCCAACACTACAAGTGAATAAGCTGCAAAATTCTCTTTACAGTACACATGTTTTAACTCTACAGACTATTTTCGCTCTAATAATTCTCGGATTTCTGCAACCAAACTCCCTTGATAATTTTTCTATTTTCAGTAAAATTCTGGAAAAGAAAAAAAAAGAAAAATTGATCTATTTTCAGAATGTTTTTATACTTTTCACATCGACTCAAATCTTATCAGATTAGGGACCACATACATATCGAAAGAGGGGGTGATATTTCTTATGTTAAACTCGACATAAAAAGCTGGATTCCACAGTCTTATCAATCAAATTAACTACAACGTCTGATTCATTGACTTGTGATGTAAAAAGTAACTATATGCTTGGTCGGGGCAGATACTTGGGCGGCCGCCTGTATTCTAAGTCAGTTAAGTTAAGAGAACAAATCACCAAAAAATCTTTTCATACATTATATATAATAATAATAAGAAATTATGTTCACAAAAAGTTATTCTTTCTCAAAGTTTATGTTTCACTAAGCAACCACCTCCCTGATCGCAAGCACAATCTTCTAACAGAAGTAACAATTTGCACATTCATTCATCTAAAATTTTGAAAGAAAAGATGCATAGTTGTAGTATCAAATTGTTGCATCTATATACAACTTGAGAAATGAGCTATGCTCTTTAACCCCATAACAAACACACAACATTGAAAATTTGCAACAATGTAAAATCATATTGTCTTGGTCTACCTCTCTATACTTCCTGTGAAAAGAAAATTATAAAACCAAAAAATCAAAGCAGCAGCTGGCCAGCTAAATCTTCTGCTAGATATATGTCACGCTAAAAGTTTCATTCTTCAAATTAAACCCCACGAACATACTCCCACAGTCTTCCTCCTGAGTAAGCCAATACACCCAGTTACTGGAGGAGCCACATTACTACCTTCTGGGAACACAATTCTGACCACTTTATGATCCAGTTCCTGCAATCACAAAACCAACCAAGGATTGGTCTGAACTTGGATAAATATTAGGTAATGGTATCTCCACAAACTTCTGAATTGTAAGGTTCCACACAACAATTTGTTTAGTAGTCTTCCCGAACTGATTATTACTAAAAAAAACGACCAACCTATTACAATTACCAACGATACAACAATCCTCATAAGATGCACATCAAGAACTAAACACATATGTAAGAAATGAAAGATAACAATAAATCAACGAAATGATTAACAAATGCACAGTTCTTTAAAAAGCCAAGGCTTTTGTCCTTTTTAGACCTGGTAGTAATTCTAGGATTAGAACATCGGGAACTGGACCAGCTCCAACTCAAGACAAACTTGCAAAACCAAGTTCCAACAGATCGATTTATGTTCGGGTACATCAAACACGCTATTTAGGTCCACTTTAAATTGCCATAACTAATCCGAAAAAATTGTGCTTCATGTTATCTACTTAAAAGAAGGTATTTATTGGGTACTGAGCATCTAAGTGATCTGAATTTTATTTAAACTGAACATTTAACAATATCAATTTTGCCAGTTCTTATTTTGCAAGTGACACAAAGTCTATGAATACGGATCATTGATGTAGCTACAATCAATAAGTGAATAAAACTCCACTTGACATTTTCTTACAACGAATGACTGGTTGCAATATCAAACATTTGATTTTCCTTGCAAAGGTAAAATAGGACCCGATTTCTAAAGGGAAGAACTTGTTGATTAAACTTACCTTAACATGCCTGTAATAGAGGAATACAAATCTCCAGAGTTCAGAGTTGGCAAACTTGCAGCAAAAAAATTAAAGAGCCATAGCTGCTGCCTGAGTACAAAAATTTAAAACCAACAGTTATGATAGTAGAGGTCATTAACAACTTTAAATACTTAAATCATCAGTAACAGCATGAACAATATATTTCTCTTTCTTACCAGTTTTTTATGGAAATCCAAAGAAACTTGAGCCAGTTTTCTACATTATCATGGCAACATTAGAAAAATAAAAATATACATAATCTTCAGATTCCACAAAGATTAGGAATAATATGGAGATTAGTGTCAAGACTTCCATTTTTTTGTGTTAAATATTTTCCAGATTGGTCAGTTTTAAGTGTGATATTTGGAATGCCATTTTATTAATAGCAAATCCTAAGTCTTAGTACATTCATCTACATCTAATCACAATTTTGATAGAACCTCATTGTAACTTAAAAACCAACAGATAACATTCAGACTTTTTTTAAAAAAGAAAACCAAAATTACCCTATTTACAATCTAAAAAAAGATGTAGACAAAGAAACAATAACTTATTCGGCTAGTTTCTCTCATTCTCTCAATTTGATCAGGAGTCTTGATCTTTAAAATATGCCCATTTGCAAAAAGAAAACCCGGGCTACATCTCTTTGAGGAATGAAGTTGCAGGAAATTAGGGGTTCAATTGAAGTTAATAAAATAAAAAAAAAAGACTCTATAACCACTGGAAATTTAACAACCTTATCCATGGAGAGAAAATCCACTAAACGTCATCCTAGGCTCCTTCACAATTTCAATGATTTCTTTTGAATTTAGATGTATGATACAAAATAGAAGACATATATAGAACAGAAATCGGAAACAGAAGAGATCAGATCTTCTTCATTTGAAATAATCTACAATTTGAGCAATTACATGAAACAAAATATCAAAACCGAAAAACCTCAATTAAAAGATGTGAACAAAAAATAATTACAACATCTTCATCAAATCAAAAACTTTATTCTCAATTACCAGTTGTTGTACGTGAAATCATCCGCACATAGATTCAAATTATCAAACCCATCATCATCATTCCTTCAGTGATTTAAGTCATTTATAAATCAACTACGTGCAGATTTCAAAACTCAAGTAACCCATAATCATCCATGAAATTTTCAGCCAAATCAAAATGAGATGAATAGATGGAAAACAAAATCATTACCAGCAGGAGAAAAGCAACAACCCAGAAGAGTTTACCTACGTTCAAGCTAAGCAGGCAGTGGGGGATCCAAGCGAATCTGAAACGCATTCAAAACCCAAGCTTGGTGCAATGTCAATGGAGAATCTGATACCCGCTTCAAAAATAGGAGTTACCCGTCCATCCCTCCTCTAGGCGGCTTGATTTTTGGAAGATTACTTGTGTATTTTGAAAATCAAAGTCTGATTTGAAATATGATTTTGAATGTATCAAAGGGATTGAGAGATTCTTGTAAATCTTCTTTTTGTATAAGATATGGTGGATATCAATTGTGGGATTTCTATCTTTTTAATTTTTACGAACTACTTTCTTCTCATAAGAATATAATTTCCTTCCTAAAATTAAGGCGGTATTTATTCATTCCCTACTAAAATTTCCTGCTAATATATGAAGTCATGTGTCTCATTTTCCTTGCTTGAGATTTGTACTGTAAACGTCTGTAAACGTTTGGAGGGAAAATTTTCATTCTGGTGCTGACACATGTCCTTAGTGTTTGTTGTTTTAAGTAAGTACTATAGATGCATATAGCTCCACATATACTCTCTCCGCTCCTTAATTTAAGTCATTTTGATTTGTTCTAAGTTTAATCTAGTACACATTTTTAATTGATGAAAAAATCTTAAACATATTTTGTAACATTCAAGAAAATACGACGAATGTAAAAAATATATTTTTAAGATTTTTTCATCAATTAAAAATGCATACTAAATGAAACCTAAGACAATCAAAATGTCCCATATTAAGGACCGGAAGGAGTACTATCTTTGTTACTCTAAATCCAATAAGAAATAGTAAAATTCCAGTTTGTGTTCAATCAGCTACCAAAGTTATTTGTAGTCGCTCCATTTCCACTGAACACTTTAATAGATACACCCTCCGTCCCATAATTATTGTCCACTTTGCCCAAAAAATTTTGTTCCAAAATTATTGTCCAATTTGACTTTTTATGGATCAAGTTACACATTTGTCCTTAGTAAAAAACATTATCCATAAAATCTTAATGGTTAAACAATTACTTATGTAGGGGTATATCCGGTTGTTTAAGGTAAAATATAGTTAAGTTTGACCAAAAATAAAATTTTTCATTTTAGTAAAACTGGACAATAATTATGGAACGGAGGGAGTATTTTCTTCTAAAATTATTGTCCAGTTTGAATTTTTTTTGAATAATTTGAACTAAAAATAAAAATTTAAACTGGACAATTATTTAGGACGGAAGAGTAACAATTAACTACACATTTCACTATTCCAGAGTTACAATTTGCAAGCTTTTAAGTTGCAGATTTTAGTCATAAACCTTTCCTACTGACAAAATTAGGTCATTTAACAAAATTAATACTTTTTCTTTGGTAAGGAGAACGTTGATTATCAGAAGGATGTAAAAAAAGAGTTGAACTGATAAATGATAAAATCTCATTTTATGATAGAATCATAGAAGCTGGATTCTACACTGTTATTTATCAAATCAGCCACAGCGGAAGAGTTATTCGTTTACGTTACACATTTGCTTTTGGGTTGGAAGCAAGAAGCTAAAAAACGCATATACTATTTTAAGGTAAAAAAAATATCGATGCAATTATTTTTAAATTATGAAAATATTAGTGAGACTAAATTACAAAATGTAACTTCTTTTCTTACCTTTACATAATTCTCTTCGATGATCTAGAGCAGATGAACTTTAGTCAAGATGCGTTGATTTTTCTCTGGAGTACTTTAGTCAAGGTACTACGATCTAACCATGTCATGATAAACTGTTTATTACTGTTATTTCATCTTTAATACAAATTATATTAAAAATAAAAATTTAAATTAAACAATACTTTACGTCAGAGAAAATAAATGTTAAAATCCAAATTAACATGCCAAGTACAACATTCAAGAAAGAACTTAAACACACAAAACAAACGTCGTTTTTCTCTTTCAGCAATTAATCTTCACACTCTCTGCATTTCATGATTTCACATACTAACAAAAACCCCCAAAAGAAAAAAATTTAAAGAAAAGAAAGAAAAACACATTACTAGTAATTATTAAAATATGAAGATTTTTTACTTCGCCGTGAGGAAGTGCTTTGAATCTCTGGGATGGAAAGACTTCAAATCAAACCTATCGATGGATCAAGCTTCAAACCGGAATTCCCCTTAATGGAAATACACAACCTGTCGAAAATGGTTTTGGGCAGCTATATTTTGAGCTCTTGACGAAGTAGAATTCCTACTACTCTCCTCAACAGTAGTTATCTGATGATGATCTTCGGTGGCGGTGGAACTAATTAACATCATACGAAGTAGATTGTTGAGAATGAGGCCCAACAGAGGAATGGATGAACAAATTCTATTGAAGGAAAGCATATCTTATGCTGTTTGCTGAAGAGAGAGAATAAAATGCAAAGTATAATATTGTTGGTGTGGAATGAGAGAACAAGTTGAATGATAGGGGTTGTGAGCAACTCCTGTATATTTATAGTGGAACAAAAATAATATAACTTTTTTCTGTCTTAAAATAATTATTTTATTTTTTCTACCATGATAGTAAAATTTATATGCTGTATTTTTTCTTTTAGTTAAGTAACTAAATTAAGTTTGAATTTTCCACAATTGAGAAACTTCTTCCTTTAAAAAATAATTTAAGACAATTTTTTTTTGCCTTTTGTATGTACTATAAATGTACACAACAGATTGACTAATGATATAACGTGCGAAGACTTTCATCGATTAAGCGGAGAGCTTTTCAACTTGCAATCTTGAAGTTCCAAGTCTCTGGTTCAAATTATTTTAAGTTTGAAATATGCTTACATAGATGAAAAAATTACCCTACTTACAATGAACTCCGCTGGTTATATATATGATATGTATTTGTAGATATACAATCACCACAAACTGATTAAATTGTTAAAATATGATGGATGAATTGTTATACTACTAATTAAAAATAATAAAAATCGCTGAGTACTCGAATAATTCATCCCCGACACTACCCTTTTTTTTTACCCACTTGATCGAATGAGATAATGTTTTTGTTCAAATTCCAAAAGTGCATTTTGATGTATGAATAGAATAATGCTATTTTATATTGAGGTTAAAGGACGAATTAGTTGGACAGCGCTAAATCATTCCTGTCTTATATAGCGAATGTGGGAAATGACGCATTCGGATTATGTTTGGCTGCTTTTTGGACGAGGCAATGGTTTACTCATTTATGGACATAATTGAATTGGCGAACACAAAGTTTGAACTTCAAATTTCATATCATAGTTATAATTAGAGGAAGAAACATGTTACCATTTGGCCAATTACTTGCTTCAAGTTCCCTTGAAGTGAATTACTTTAATACTGAAATTAAAAACTTAAATATTTCAATTACTTGGAAATGAATAAAGTGTTCGATTATACACATTCCCTCTTTGTTTTTTGTTTTTTTTGTTTGAGCCAAAAGTTACTAATATTGGCGTATAGGTAAGCCCATTTTGGCCTGCTTCCATTACATTTGGCATCCACTTTTAACAAGTAGTGGGAATATAGTTTAGTAGAAAGATGCCCATAATTCTCCCAATCTTATTCCATTATCAATGAAGTGGTGATTAATTTAGTTATTAAATTATTTTACCGTGGTTTGCTTTCTTGTAATTTAGTGCAGATTAAGGAAAATTTGCTTTATGATCGACTGAATAGAATAGAATCATACACTTGAGAGGGATGATGATTCAAAAACTATAAGATAATTTTATTTTCTTTTACATTGATGGAATTTTTGAAACTGAACCTTTTATTATTTAGTCACGTCACGATAATTCTGTTCATAAATTAAACCGGCTCTAAGTTGTTCATTAATCTCTAATTATTATTATTATTATTATCAGACCAGAAGAAAGTACATCTAAGAGCTTAATATGTGAATATCCTGTAAGCAATTTTTATTTTTGTTCTTTGAGATGTCCTACACTTCATTTTTTTAATTTTTCTTTTCCCCTTTCATAGCGGATGAATATCACCTGAGGCAAATGATGATAAAACTTTTTAATAAATATATATATTATCCAACTCAGCAGTCGTATGCGTCAGCTCGCCGCATCTCTCAGTCAAAATTTCAACTGCCAGTGAATCGACCGTCCATATTTGCCCCTTCCATCCAGCGAGCCACAGCAGCGGTTAGATCTCTCCTAAATCCAAGCAAAAAAATCAACCGCCCCAGAGAATTGGGAAACACCCAAAAAAAAACACTAAAGAGAGCTCAATTAACTAACTAACCAAGAAACCGTTGCTTAGAGCTCCATATCATGCACAATTGGCCCGATTCTCCCATCAAGATTTCATCTTTCTTGATTAATTTTCAAGAATTGAGAATCTTGCAGAGGAATTAGGGCCAAGAATTTAGCCATGTCAATCTCAAGTTTTCATCCCCTAAGGAAAGGAAAAGGGTTCCCAAAATACTTCGGTTTCCACACATTTGCTGATCCTGGCTGCCCAATCTCACTCAATGGCCCTTTCAGGGACAATATCCGAATTTTCCTTCATCAGTGTGCGGAGCTTGAGGACAACCTAGTTGATGGCAATCCGATTTGGTGTACGTTTTTGGTGCATGACAGCAAGGGGTTTGTGGTGCCGCTATACACTATTGAGGAACACGTCAAGTCTTCTTCCCCTGAATCCTTCTGCGATCACTGCAGATGTGCTGGTAATGTTACTGAATTCCGAAACCCTTTTGTTTGAAACGGTGAATTACAACTGGGTTCTTGGAAATTTTACCCAGAATTGAAGATTTTATGGATTTCTGAGTGTGGGTTTTTCTCTGTGTTTGCGTTTTTTCAATTTTCTTTTATTGCAGGTTGGTCTCATCATTTTGTTTCCAAGAGGAAATATCACTTGATTATACCCTCAGATGAAGCATGGAATATACCTCCGAGTTCGGATGTTCTTGATCTCGATTCCCATTTGCTGCATGGGTCGATACACTGCAATGGATTTGGACATCTTCTCTGTATTAATGGAATTGAAGGAGGGTCCAAACAGTTGTGTGGAAGAGAAATAATGGATCTTTGGGACAGAATTTGCAGCTGCCTTCATACACGGTATTGATAATATCTTCAAATTATAGATAACTGTATTAGTTCTTGCTGATACTCTTGCTTAGGCCTTAAATTTGTATTAATTGGGGTTTCTAATTGTTCTGTTTTTTTTCCCCATATCTGTTGCGTTGAATTAGCAATTGAACCTTAAAACCTAGCTGATCTTGAATTTCAAGTCGTAGAAATGTATCCATAAGATATATGATTACTTGTTGCTTGTATGCATTGGGTGGTAGTATAAAGCATTCTTCTGTGATACTGTTTTTCTCCGACCAAAGTACGTTGGGAGCTATATGTAGAGCAAAGCTAAATCTTCAAGGCTTATAGTTCACTGGAAACAGTAAGAATCTCAGTTATTACAGGGAAAAGAAATTCTGAAGATTCACAAATAGACCCGTAATCTGGATTCTCTTTAAGAATAGCATTCTTCAGTGTATAAGCTTGTAATTTCAATAGATCTGCTGATCATATGGTAACTGCAGTTTTTTCAGCGATTGGAACTCATGTACTGTATCTTTGTTTTCTTTACTTTGCAGGAAAATCACAGCACAGGATGTTTCCAAAAAGCATAAAATGGACCTTAGGCTACTTCATGGTGTGGCCTATGGACATCCTTGGTTTGGAAGATGGGGATATCGGTTTCTCTGTGGCAGTTTTGGGGTAAAAGATTATCATTATAATAGGTCTCTGGAACTACTTAGCTCCCTGGAACTCGATAAGATAATTCAAGATGTAAGCTGTACCGAGAGATGCAAGGAAGTCAAGCATATCATTCGCTGCTATAGAGATTTGAGTGAGACCAATTTGGTCACCTTGCGAGATCTCTTCAGGTTTATGTTGACTCTCAAGTCCAGGGCTGAGGGGGGAAGAAATGCAGCCAGCTCCAATTCTAAAGTGCGGTTTGGTCCAGCAAGATCAGTGACCAGAGTTGTTATGCCTTCCAAGTCATTTGCGAAAGAGAAATCTGGTAAGTGCTGCAAATTTTCTAAACTTGTTGTCAACTGGGACAGCAGATGGCCTGTTAAAAGACTGGAGTTTACAGCTAATGTAATTGTTGAAGCCTTGAAAAAGAAGCAAGCCGAAAACAACTTTTTGAGACCTTTGATGAATAGGCAGGAGGTACGAGATGCAGCTCGCCAACAAATTGGTGATACTGGTTTGATCGATTATGTGCTGAAATCACTGAACAATGTTGTGGTTGGGGATTACATAGTCAAGCGCATGGTGAATAAAACTACGCGCAAGCTAGAATATATGATTGAGGAGGTGAAGAACACTAATAAGGGTGTTTCTGGATCTGGAAGAACCCCTCAGATGACTGTGTCAAATCCTTCAAATCATGGAGATAATGTTTATGCTGATGTCTCGTACTTGTATGCCAATGTCCTTTTGGACCATCCCAAATCAGAGATTGTCAAATCAGCTGCTAGGACAGTTCTGAACAGTAAGTATTTTGTGAAGGAATGGCCTTTCAGGGATGAGCAGGATCACATGCTGAGATTCATTTGTGGGCTGCTTCCAAGTTTATTAGAGACAGAAACTGAACTTACTAGGGAGTTGTCTATTGGAGAGTACATTGTTGTTCCCCTGCATTCTACTATCGGCGATTTAAAGTTGGCAATCCAAAATGCAATGAGGGACACTTATTGCATAACAAGTGAATTTGTGGTCACTGATATTGAAGGAACTGGGGGAATGGGAGATGACGAATTGATATTTGGTTTTATTCAGTCTGGCTTAGAACTTTGGGTCAGAGGTTACGGACTCGATTTGGATACTGATTTGAAGTACGAAGGTGGAGCAGACAATTGGAAAGTCAATTGTAAATGTGGCGCTCAAGATGATGATGGTGAGAGGATGATTGCATGTGATATGTGTGAGGTATGGCATCATACCTACTGTTGTGGCATCGAAGATTCTCAAGCTGCAGCCTCAGTTTTCATTTGCGATACATGCTATGCTTTGCTGAACCCAACTGTAGAACAGCCTATCTACGAAATGCAGTATCATCAAGCTCTGATGCCCTCTCCGGAATCTTACATCTACTATCCGGATTCTTCTTTGCTCAGTTTCGAAGGTACTGACTGTCTGTTGAGTTAGTATATATGTCTAGGAGTGACATTTTGCTGGAGTCTAGTCATTAACACTGCCTGGTGCCACAATTTTGATCTGAAGCATAGTTGACCTATTCTTTTGATACATATATTCTTTTGGATAGATATTCTGTTTGTACATCACATTTACAATTTTGATTTTTGATTGTAATCAGTTCACTCATTTTGATGAACTACTCTTTGTACATCACATTCCCTGTGGACATTGATTACTGAACCAAATGTTCACATAAATGAGTGTGCATTCTGTATAAACTAAAAAGTTCTGGGGGCGTCTGAATAAGCAGACAAACCTGATCCTCTTGGCTTTTTGGCCTCATACATAGACACAGAAATTAAGCAGGTTGACCATGTACCTTTCTGCACAATTCTTTTCATTCAATTGATCTACTCAATCTCTTTCGATATGTTTTAATTGTGTATCTTGTCTATACATACTTTTCTTACAAAATCAGCGTTTCTGTATATACTATACCAGTCAATTGACCTAGAACTGTCATCATCTTGCTACAGCAATTGCTTTAATGGATCACTCTTGGCTTTTAGTTATTACTGTGCTAAGCAGGGCAAGGAAACCACTTTCTTTCAATCATAAGATCAGGTGAAAGAGGTGAAAAATCTCACCAATTCACCAATTCTTTAGTTCCAAATTGTACCTTTCAAGATTAAGGATGAAAGAATGTTGTTGGTCAAAAAAGCAATGGACGAATGTGATTTACTCAATAGCAACAAAACTCATATGGATGTGAAGGAAAATTATGGACTAAGTACAACTTTGTCTACTAGTACTATTCACACAAGTCCTTAACCTCATCTGGCATACAATGACAACTGCAACTAAAAAGAAGTAAGAAGTTCCAATATCTAGATACTGCGCTTGGCATATGTCATCAGTTACACTAATTTGTGGTTTGCTTGATTTTCCTTAGATTTCCTAAGATCTAAACAGAACTTTTCTCCTCCAAAAAGTAGAAACAATGTGAGAGGAAAATGAACTAATTACTAAACAGAATCAGACAAAAATTTAAGAGGCAGCAGCTAATTATGCTTTCACCAAGAATTCTTCAATGGTTTCTCCAACAAAGCTGAAAGATACATCTCCCGCAACTCCGGCCCTCTGTCCAGCTTTTTCCCCACAACCCACTTCACTTTGGTGAACCCAATGCTATCTATAAGGGGGATATAAACTTGTTCTAGCTGATCACCGACACAGAAGAAATGGTCAAGCCAGAAAAGCCCACCAGGCCTAAGCACCCTATAGATGTCAAAGAACAAGAAATGCATCAATGTGGTGGGAATCCAGTTGCTCAACACATGCATTGAGTGAACAATATCCAATGTGTTATCAAAAAAGGGCAATCTTTGTGAAATGGTCATGTACAGAGGAATCACCCCTCTTGATGCTATGAAGTTATTGAAAGGGCCATTCAGATTGATGGAAGTTGTGACTATTGTGATGTTCCTTTCTTTCATCCTCACAGCAAATGTAGCCACACCACCCCCAATATCCAGGCCTATTCTGATGGTTCCGGGCTTCTTCACTGCCAGCACTTCATCAACGGAGAAATCAAGGCTGCCTTCTATGCTTGGTCCAACCCATCTGTCTTTCTCTCGGCCTTGAAGATCAAAGCAATCTTTGCAATCATCAAACGCTTTCTGATTTCGCCTTCGGTTAACCAGACAAGTGTAATTCTTGCAAGTATACGCGGTCCAGACAACAGAGGAATCAGGTGGTGTTGTCCAATAGCTTTCTGGAACAGGGAAAGGTTCTGCGTATTCCTCCGCCGCAGCTGGCCGGCAACGCCGTCTTGGGAGTGGTTCACAGCCCTTTAAGAGAAGCTTCTGGGCGAGAAGCTCGTCGTCCGGGCAGGATCCATTGACTTTGTATGACATGTACATATTAAGTTCATCTGGAAACTGGGAGCAGGGGCGGCCAACTGGTGGTAAGAGGAAATCTGCACCGAAATTCGGGTTGAATCCAAGTGGAAGTTTCTGAGGAGATGTAAGCGCCTGGAACTCTGATGCAAGTTCGATTTCGGGCGTTGGTTTTGTCTCAACCGATGGTTCAAGTGGAATTAAATCTTCCTCGGGTACATCCTTCGTGGGCGGAGTAGTAATGGTTAGAGTCTTTTCAGTAGTGGCAGTGAGAGTAGGAGAAAAGAAGGATGTTGTGGTGATTAAATAAGTTAAAAGATTTGATGAGATTAGTACCAAGACAAAGATTAGGTTGAAGAAGAAAGGGCTGGAGGACTTGGGAGCTGTTTCCATTGGCAAACTTTTTAGTATCCCTTTACATAAGCTGCTGCATTGGGTTTACTTCAAGTTCAAGAGTTGAAGAAGAAGATGAATATTTGTCTGCTTGCCTTTCACAAAGAAATTTGGGAAGAGATGCGTGGTTTTAGGCAACAAAACAGATCCTGTTTTAAGTAAGGTTTTTTTCGTACCATGTTACATTCGATGGTTCCAGATGATGCTGTTGATGTTCGTTTTGTTTATTTGAAAAATCACTGCATTATACATAATCTTTCCGTCACGAAATCATTGTTTCGCGTACCATTGGTGGTTTTCCTTCAAATTAAATTAGCCTTTCCTGTTTCGTTTTCCCACTGTGGGAAAGTATTTTAAGGTCTTTGTAATGGATCTAGTGGGGAGATAAACGTATTAACTATGAAGAACACTACTACTACCACTAGCATGCATGTGGCAGTGACCTACTAGCTAGGAAGTAGAAGAAGGAAGTCAAAAGACTCACAAAGTCAACCGCCATAAATGACTGTGAATTAAGCTCTAAATCCGAGGTCTTTGTCGACTTCTTCTGACTGTAGTAGTAGTATGTTACTAGTATGTAAATGCAAATTGCAAAGAACCCACAAATCATCTTCATGTTCTTCTGTATTCTTTATGAAGAAGGCACTTCATCTAGAGACAATTTCTAAATATTTTGTTAAACAAAACTGGGGATCAACCCACCAACATTTTTTATGAGTTAGTGGTCATTTAGATCGAAGATGTGACAGAAATATAATAAACAAGTTGATTTGGCCTGCCATTAATTGATGACTTAAAAAATTAATCCACACTGATCAATCTCTGCTTCATAAGATAGAAACAACTACACAAGTGGACCGTGAACTTCTAAAACTCTTCACATTTATTAGTAGCGTGCATGGCTAAAGACGCTATATATTTCAGATAGATTTCAAGTAATGTTGTTCATAACTATTCCCTCCCCCCCCCCCCCCCCGGCCTTTCTCCAAGTTTGACTGAGAATTGTTGAAATACCGGCCATATAATGAACGCACAAGGCACAACTCAACTCTCTTGAGTCTCTAAATCCTTAGATTGTTGAGGGGTGAATGTTGAAAGTTCAAACGATTTGACACACATTTTGACAACTGTTTCAAAATGAACGCCCAGTTGATGATATATAGATAATGAAACAGGTAACTTGTGGTGAGTTTGATACCTTAGGACAGTAGGAAAATTTTTCTCTACTGTGTCATTTCTAAGAAATAATGATCCAAACTAGGTGATAATTCGATCAACTCTTGCTCCTCGATTGGTTAAAAAAAAAATGGCGTCCTAATAGTACTTCCCATCTCTGTCCTTGGAACAGATTTACCAATTTTGTTACTTCTTCTGGAGAAAAAAAGAATTGGCATAATCAAATGAATTAGAACAAACATTATTTGGCTTCCGTTCCCCTAATTGCTAAAATCAAATACATTCACCAAGAATTCTTCAATGGCTTCGCCAACACAGCAGAAAGATACATCTCCCGCAGCTCCGGCCCTCTGTCCAGCTTTTGCCCCACTGCCCACTTCACTTTTGTGAACCCAATGCTTTCTATAAGAGGAATATAAACCTGTTCCATCTGATCTCCAACACAGAAAAAATGGTCAAGCCAGAAAAGCCCACCAGGCCTAAGCACCCTATAGATGTCAAACAACAAGAAATTCAACAACGTTGTTGGAATCCAATTGCTCAAAACATGCATCGAATGAATTATATCCAATGTGTTGTCGAAAAAGGGCAATCTTTGTGAAATGGTCATGTACAGAGGAATCACCCCTCTTGATGCTATGAAGTTATTGAAAGGACCATTCAGATTAATCGAAGTTGTCACAATTGTGACGTTCCTTTCTGCCATTCTTACAGCAAATGTGCCGACCCCACCTCCAATATCCAGCCCAATTCGGATCGTCCCAGGTTTCTTCACTGCCAGCACTTCATCAATGGTGAAATTGAGGTTTGATTTTGTGTTTGGTCCGACCCACCGACCTTTTTCCGGGCCTTGGAGATCAAAACAGTCTTTACAATCATCAAAAGCTTTCTGATTTCGAACTCGATTAACCAGACACGTGTAATTCTTGCAAGAATAAGCAGTCCACACAACAGAGGAATCAGGAGGTATTTTCCAATAGCTTTCAGGAACAGAGTAAGGCTCCACGTATTCCGCCGGAGCAGCTGGCCGGCAACGCCGCCTTGGGAGTGGCTCGCATCCTTTTAAGAGAAGCTTCTGGGCCAAACGTTCGTCGTCCGGGCAAGATCCGTTGACTTGGTACGACATGTACCGGTTGAGTTCATCCGGGAACTGGGTACAGGGGCGGCCAACCGGAGGTAAGATGAAGTCGGCACCGAAATTCGGGTTGAACCCAAATGGGAGTTTGTGTTGAGATGTGAGTGCAAGAAATTCAGGTGTAAGTTCGATTTCAGACGATGATTTCGATTCATTCGAAGATTGATGATCTTCCTGATGAACGGTAGAAGGCAGAGTAATAGTTGGAGGAGCAGAGTCGGTAATGGTGGAATGGAGAAAACGAGAAGAGTATGAAGTTGTAGAGATTAAATAAGTTAAAAGATTTGATGAAAATAGTAAGGATAGAAAGAGTAGGTTGTGGATGATGGGGCGGGACTTAGGGGTGGCATCCATGGCTGGCTGCATCCAAATTGGTATTCAGCTTAATTTGCAGGAATTTCAGCTTTATAAAAGCCTAATAAAACAGTTCCATTTTGTTCTGAGGTTTTCTGTACCATCTTAAATCGAGGGCTTTAAGACAATGATGCTTATATTATAATTACTAAAACATGAATGGGTTCAGTTGGTCTTTCTTCATTAGTGAAATCCAATCATCTAGTGGAAGTAAACTAACTATAAAGAACATACAGTAGGAACTGAGAATGCCAAAAACTTCGGGAAGTCAAATCGTAGATGCAACGCAATGAATCATTTGAAGTAGTATTGATCCTCTCCTCAAGTTATCTTCATTTTCTCTCGATTATATAAATTACCCATTTTTAAACAAGATGCAAGTTGACGAAATCCCCCATGCATGGGATATACTCCCTCCGTCTTAAAATTATTGTCCAATTTGTTATTTTATTTTTAGTACAATTTAAATTAAAAATGAAAATTCAAACTGGACAATAATTATGGGATGAAGGTAGTAATAATTAAACAAGTTGTGGAAGACGTTTATGCATGGTACAGTATTTTATTTTATTTTTTCTTTTTCTTTGCTGCGTTTCTACGAATACCACCCATGCATGTCTTTTCTTAATGGATGATGTTACACTTCATTGAAGTCAAAATTACATGTATCGATATAGCCATATTAATAGACGTTGAAATACTGGGCAAATAACTGATTTTATTCTCTCTCTCTCTCTCTCTCTCTCTCTCTCTCTCTCTACTAACAAGATCACAAAGGACATCTCAGTTCTGTCTCGAGCTTTCAAACCCGAATAAAATAATAGTATTGTATAAAAAATATTTCACGTTAATGAACGTAATTCAATGTGAATGCAGTAAATATCCCAAGCTTTTTTTTGCTTCTCTTTCATATATTATACAATACAATAGACATACAAAGAAATAAATAATAAACTCATAACAAAACTCAAATAGGGAAGAAAAGGTAAATTAGACCTAACAGCTGTGGTGAGAAACTTATCATCATTCTTTTGTTTAAATGTTGATGATCTCCCAAGAGAAATCAAAGTTGGTCGAAAAGAGACACTTGTTGCGGCCCCATTAACAAGAAGCTGGGGATCCACATTCCTCACAGCTCGAATATGTTCTTCTTCTTGTTGTTGGTGGTGGTGGAGTTGGGGGCCCAAACTACAAGACACCAAGTTCCCATCATCCCTATGTATTGCCACAAGCTCCTCCTCATTCCAAAAACATAGATCATCCCAAATCTGTGAATCCGGGGATGCAGGAGCCCGCAACACACAATACATCTTAGTCCATGATTCGTTGTTGCCATATTCCCTCATCACCCACACGTCAACGTAATTGTCAAACAACATTTCATCGTCGGAATCCTCGTCGTCCTCTTGGACCTTGCAAACTTGTACGAGAATCGCAAGGGAATCGTGCAATACAGTTAATTGAGTATCAGAGTCATGAAACTCCGGATCACGAGATGGCGCTAGGGCTTCCATAAGCCCAAATATCTCGCGTTGAAAATCAAAGGTAACGATGAAAATCCGTGGTTGGAAACGTCGTCTAGTAGCACTCACCAGCCAGTGACAACAACCCATTTACTAGTACTCCCTGATAGCCAATATCGTTAAAATAAGACAGTTTCATGGCCTTGTCATCACCCCCGATGTTGTATTCAATCTCACTCCAACTATTAGTAGCCACTCTGTAAATCTCAGCATAACGTTTTGAGCTTTGATTCTTGAATAGTTAGAAGGTCCACGATCCTAACAACCTTATAGTTATTAGTAGCCGAAGGAGAAGAAGACGAATCATCAATACCGAACCCGAAAGCTTCTCTGCGGTAGGGATCATTCTCTGGGAAGACGGTGGAGGTAGGAAGCCTCAAATAATCCCGAGTTACGGGATTACACAAATAAAGCAAACCATCACCATGCATAAAGCAAACGATTCCATTGCACGATGATCGTTGTATTAGTCTGAGGTCAGTCTCGTAGGGAAAATCTAGAGCCGAGGAAACAGCTAAACCCCGCAGACCACTGCTGGAATCTTCTCTACTCCTGGTGGCGATTGGGAGGAAGAAGAAGAATTTGTAGGGAATAGCAAGTATTCTTGCGGTGGCCTCGGCCAATTGCTTTGGTTTCTCATCCTTAAAAAGTACCATGTTTTCGTGTTTGTGATCCTCCTCCTTCGAATGATCATAATAATTAACCAAGTGTTTGTTGCCAAAGTAAGCACTCAAGATCAAATCACGCCATCCTTTGGACACGCACAAGCATCTCACCAATGATTTAGCGGGCAGCTTTGCCAGAATCTCTATCAAAATGTCTTCCGGCATCAAATCTGGCGTCTCCGAAACATCCCCCCATGACTTCAAAAACCATCCATCAAAGTTGTTCAATCTTTTAGAAAGCAAGGGTAAGATGGATTGCAAATGATCCATATTGTAAAACCCACCAAATATCAAACAGCAATGACGCGTGTTACAGCCTTCAACTCTTTATAAACCAGAATAATCGGATCTCACTCTGTAACAACGTCAAATAAAAAATCCGAATCAGAGTTAAAGTTGGAAAAGAAGTATATAATACAATCATTGGTTTTTTTTTAAAAAAAAAAAATTAATTTTTAAGAGGAGCATTTTAAATATTAAATAAATTCATTTTGCCTAGTGATATTATCTCAATTCTCTCTCGAGCTCTCAAACCCAAATAAAATAATGTATCAGAAATATTTCATATTAATTTAATAAGACTGGAACGATATCAACAATAGTATCATTGATTTGAGTTGTTGGAATAATGCGATTAGCGATAAGAACTTCCGTTTGAATATGGTATTTTTAGAATGATGGATGAATAGAATAGTAGTAGTATTTTTAATTTTTTTATATTGTGAAATGGTATAGAATAAGATATCAAACGGGAAAAGAAAAATAAATGGTTACAAATGGTTACAGTTTATTTATCATCGTTGCTGGTTTTGTAATTTTTATCAACGCTGCAATTTTCTCTTGAGTTATTTCGCCGCCGTATTATCACAGTATAAACTTTAAGTCATAAATTAATGCTGCCTTTTTTTTTTCTGTTCAAAATGATGATACTAGTGGTCAAAAGAAGAGGAGAGTAGAATGTAAATCCGCAAATAATCTCTATTTTAAGCGCGTAACAGAGGATAAAAAAAGAAAAAAGAAGAAGTTTAATTAATTAGTACTCCCTCCGTCCTATAATTATTGTCCAGTTTTACTAAAATGAAAGATTTTATTTTTGGTCAAACTTAACTATATTTTACCTTAAACAATCGGATATACCCCACATAAGTAATTGTTTAACCACTAAAATTTTATGGATAATGTTTTTTACTAAGGACAAATGTGTAACTTGATCCATAAAAAGTCAAATTGGACAATAAAATTTTTTGAGTAAAGTGGACAATAATTATGGGACGGAGGGAGTACTTGATTTCCGGTCATTTTAATATTTGGTTTGACATGGATTATGAGTATTACTTACGACTTCAAATCCTTTAGTTTAGAAAACCTAAATGAACAAAAGAATTTTTCAAAATTACCTTGATGCTGTTAGTTCTAAGTTGCAAAAAGATTGATTCTTGTAAGATAGGTGAAACTCAAGATTGGCCCCGCAAAGGTAGAACTCCATCTGCAGTAAGAAAATCGACAATTATTCAAATGTAAAGAATTTTTTTTAACATGTGAAATAAATTTGATTCTGTTTACATTTTAATATGGGATAAGATATAAATATTAATGGTTATCTCATTAGTCATTTTTTATTCAAAAGATCTCATCGTTTACGGAATATTCAATTTTGCTTCATTTTAGAATTCATTACCATTAAGTTTGATAATGTACGTAAGTGAATTTAAAAAATTACCTGATAAAATTTACTATACCTAATTGAGTTTGATTTTTTTATTTTTTTTTTAAATTGGTTTCTAGATTCCTGCCAAGTATCCAAAAATTCCTGTTTTAATATATAAGATTAAATCCTTATCCATGCCAATTTCATCTATTTATATACGTATCCATTTGTTCAATCATATTCAATCTAGAGGGAATGCAAATTGATTTGAACGGTCTATACCTAGAAATTAACTCTTTTCCAATATTTTATTAGTTTACTTGTTAAATTAAGGATAATACAACAAACTCGACTATTAAGATGGATTTTTTTACACTAAAGATGGATGATGACCTTGATATGCAACACAATTACTTATTCCCATAAGGGTGACTCCCTTAGGGCTTGTTTGATAACAAAAAATAGTATCCATATCTTATTTTATTAAACATTTACAAAATAAACTAAATTTTATTACTTATATTTTGTACTGTAATATCAACTCTACTTAATTCATTTAGATATTTACTTAATTAAGTAATTTTACGTAATAGGTGTGTTATCAAACAAACCTTTGGTGATAATAAAGTAACAAACAATGCAACCGAAGTTGAATGCGTGTATCGCATATGTTTGTTGGAGTATTTTAAATGCTTACTATCATTTATTTGTACATATAGTTCATTTGAGAGTTTTACTTTAATTTTACCAGGTGGTTGGAACTAATAATAAAAAAATAAAATAACATTAAATAATGGATACTCTAAACGGGTGGCTCCTTTTGTAACCAATCACTTGTGAGGTTTAAGAACTCCAAACGGGTGGCAGCATGCCAGCATAACAAATGCTGGATGGCACGAGTAGTGGTTGGTCTCTTTGCTGGCATATCATTCAACATTGATTCTAAAAGGTCAAAAATATCAGGGAAATCCATTACCTTCCATAAATCAGCTTCCTTGCCTTTTATAATGTTATCTCTTCGTTCTTCCTTAGCTTTCCCATAGGGATGTTCTCCGGTAGTAATGCAATGATAAGCCACAGAAGCAAAGTTGTGAACATGACTGGCTGATGTCACTTACTGCTGACAAACAGTTTCAGGAATAGCCCATCCAACATTTCCACCTAATATCCCACTCGAAGACTCCTTAATCCCATGTCTGAAAGTTTCAGACATGGGTATCTAACTTTCAGACATGGGTATCTAACTCCTATCATAACACTCTCGGCTGCCTCCGGTCCGGGAGACCGGCCACCCTCAAGACGTTAAGTGGGCTAATATCTCCATGTACAAAATCTTCCAAGATGTGGATATCTTAGTCCATCAAGAATAGATCTTTCAAAAAGAAAAACAAGCAAAGTATAAATCAAAATACTTTAGGATTGGAGGGATTACTATAGGTTAAAGGAAAATCATGGTAAATAATTACTTTCCTTTATTCATATACAAATGAGGTTTGGAGAATTATCACTAGTTTTACTAAAATTTATTGCCACTGCTTGTTAAAGCAGATGCAAAATATATTAGAAGCAAAGCCAAAATGGGCTTAACAATATACTCCAATCTTAGTAACTTATGTTTACACAAAATAGACATATGTGTTAGCAAATACTTGGTGGGTGGCTAGAATTTGTTCTTCCAGTCAATTTTATTTGGTACTCACTATGTCCTAAAATTATTGTCGGGGATGAATCCAAGGATTTTTTTAATCAAAACTCTGGATTTTTGTTCATCCTTCGTTATAATAACTGTCTCGACTTTTGTCTGTCTTTCAAGCAAGGTTCGCGGGATTCCTACGGACAGGAAGCCCGAGTGGATAGAGAAAATAGCTGAAAATCTAACAATAATACAATATTTGCTCTATATAACCCGTAGATACGGGATTAGACAAAGAAAAACCCTGGATTCTCATTTATTAACAAAACACCTTACTGTCCAGACTAGCAGTCTTGGTGGAAATTCCATAGACTCTCTTCTCAAGGGAGCGTCAATCAACCGGTGCTCGACTCTCCAGAGCTTGTTGCCCCTGTAACGCCTCTTAATCCTGAGGTTGCTTAGCCTGACTTTTATAGCTATCCCAGGTCTTCGTGCAAGGTAGCGTTGGCTATCCTAGGGTGTGAACTAACTTCGATCATATAAATATTCAGTGGCTGATTTCTTACTTCCTAAGCTTAGTCAAGCTGTCATGTGGATCTAAGTTTGTATTTACACTTTTACTACAATATAAACTAAAAATAAAAATTTAAACTGGACAATCGTTTCGGAACGGAGATAGTATTACCTATTATATACTAGTTCATATATCAATATTGAATTGGTGATCTTCTATCATAGTCTGTAATCTTTATTGATAAATTCAGCAGAACATCCGTCAAAGGGATTAATATTTACAATGAAGTCCCTAAATAAATGTTGTGAATCTGCACAAAATGAAAACATATAATACATACCAAATTTCTTGAAACCTATGTAAACTGTAAACTCTAAATAACATCTGTGTGACTTCTCTTATACTGTAAGCGCAGGAGACCTTTAATATGATTGCGTCTGTCCTTTCCCTAGTCTATTTCTATTCATACACTTTAAAAGGTTAGTCATTCCCCTCCTATATCAATTTCTGTCTTTGATCCTTTCAAAATGTTTTATGTTGTCATCCTACCAATCAAATATAAGCTCCAAGAATCAAATAGGCTGGAAAAACTTGGCGAGCTTCCGTACACTACTCAGCCGAATTAATCCAGAGAAGGTTTTATTCCCAGTTTATTAATGCTTGGATTATTGTTGGATGATCAATTTTACTAGATTATCTCCTACCTTAAATTTTTGATAAATAAATTTTAGTTTAATTTTATGCTAGCATTGTACTAGAAATTATGCAAGATTGACAAACACCACTAGTATAAGTTTTGTGTATATCGATCTGTTATTGAGCTTTGCATACAACGTAACACATTAAATGATAACCGTCATTTATCCTCACTTCCTTGATTTATTTCTAAAATTTATACATACGACTTTTCTCCTCCAAGAACAATAGTCTACTTTGTGATAATATTTTTAGTTCAAATTCATAAATCTCTGGAAAACTATGCTTGAACGGTTGAACCTTAATTGTTTAACCTAATTCTTTGTTTGGGCTACTAAATTTTGGGCACCAAACTCAAGCAATGGTAACACCGTTGACTAATTCGATCAATAATTTTTTCAAATTTTTTTTTAAAATGAATGTATTGCGGGATGAGGCTCTATTCTGATACAAAATAAAACATTCAATATTTTGTTTGTCCAAATTTAGTAATTTATTTTGACAAACTAAAGTAATTAATAACGCAAACTAGACTCCCATAATGACTAAGTGATAATAAAAGGGTTATTTAATTTTTCTTTTTTTGTTTTGTTTTGGAGAAAGTGTTATTTACTAAATTTGGTCCTTTAAATTTAAAATTATGCCTTAAAAATGTAGTATTATTTGAGGATATAATTCATAAATATATTTTGAAAAGAAAAGCAAAATTGCCAAGAACAATTGGCCATCAAAATCAGATCAAAGGAAGAATATTGAACTCCATATTCTAATGGTTTTTTCCTGGATGTCTAGCCATCTTCAAATGGCGACCCTCAGAAGCTGTCTTAGTTTCAGCTATCTCAGATCATCCATTGTATAAGCATCCATTTCCAAACATATATAATAAAATTTGTTGTCAACCTCTCCTCCAATATGCCAGATAACATTTGGATGACGATCTAACACCACTAAATTATCGATCTCTCTCAAAGCAACTTCGTAATGTGTCTTTGGTACAACTTTCACGGCAACCACCTACTTTTCATACAACCCCTTGAATACTTCTGAGTCATGACTATCGACACCAATTTTTTTTCCCTAATATTGAGAGTAACTTTGTCAATCTTTTTACTTCCTTTTTATTTTATTAAAGAGGACTATAGTAAAAACTCGTTAAATTAATACTCTATAAATTAATAAACTATATTAAGTAATAAATTTCTTTGGTCCCAGCTCGAGATCAGTATAAAAGTCAAACAAAATTGATAAATTAATAAGATAATAATTTTTTTAAAAAAAATTATATAAATATAGGTTTTCTGAAAATCATAAATTAATAATGATCTAAAATATTAAAAATAATTAAGAAGGTTAAGAAAATAGGAGGCTAATCAGCTTTTTTCATGAAATTTATATGTAATAAAAATATTTTATCTTTGACTTAAAATAAAAGGGTTATAAATACATGGAAATTAAGATTAAAGTCGAGTATTTGTTTCTTAATAAAAATGAAAAACAATCCTTAAAGTAATAAAATATTAATTTATCAATAAAATAATAATTATTAATTTATCAATATAATAATAATTTTTATAAATCAATAAATTTTTATAGACCCAATAGTATTAATTTATAGAGTTTTTATCATAACTGATTATAAAAGGGATATTTTAATTTTCTTCTTCTTCTTATTTTTTTTTGAGCAAGTGTTATTCACTAAATTTGGTCCGTTAAATTTGAAATTATGCCTTGGAAATATAGGACTGAGGAAATTCACAAATAATTTCTGAAAAGAAAATAAAATTTCATAGAATAATTCACCATAAAAAAGGTAGCGGCCCATTTTCTCCCCCTAGGTAGTTCAACTGTTCAATGTACCTAATGTTCATTATTTCGGTCCTTTTAGAGTTTTATTTTTTTAAAAAAGAAATGCTTTAGTACTCCAAATTTCAAACTTAAAATGGGGAGACTGATTCATTGATCCAACTAATAATCTTACATCATTTAGCGCCGAATTTTTGACAAAAGTACAGTAGTCTTACTTATGACTCCTTCCAAAAAAGGGAACATGGTGCAATAAAATATATAAAGAGACGGCCTGATTTTGACCAATTAGCAAATGAAAAAAGAAGGTTTAATTTATTGAAGAAAAATCAACATGACAAACAATAAGCTGATTACTGTACAAGTGTAAGATCATCGAAAAGAACTCCGTGAATTCCCAACAGGGATTAGGTTTTGTCAAAACAATCAGTATGATTTGTACAATGGTTTACGAAACAATACTAAAATTGCAATCTTTCTGTGTGTGATCATGTGTGTGTATATATTCATGTACAACTTTTCCTAAAGAAAGCAAATGATTTAACTGTCAAAATTGTTTTTTAAATGATTAATGAATCAATATGGCCTTTGAATATACTTGAATCCCATTGATGAGGAATCAAAACAATCCAATCTGCTTCTGAACAGATTCATCAGCTTCAGCAATTCAGTGATCTTCTCTTTGGTCATTTCACCACATCCAACTTGCAAAACCACCAGAAGCTTTTGAAAAGCTCCAACTTGCAATGCTTCAATCACAGGGCTCTCATCATCCACCTCTTTGCAGAGCTTCCACAGAGTTGAGACAGCAAATTCTGTTGCCAATTCTGATACCCTCAGAATCTTCTTAACCAGAATTGGCATGGTTAATGCGTTTTCACATGCCTTTTCTCTTCCCACTTTCCAATTACAGATACTTTCTAGAACCCCAAGTGCCTTCTCTGATGTGCTCTTTTCACCCTCAACAAGCATTTCCAGTATCAAATCAACCATGCCCAGTTCCACAAGTTTCAACGCTAATTTCTCACTTCTTCTGGATTGTAACATGTGGTAAATCACCATGAGAGAAGCTTTTGTTGCGGCAGGGCAAATGGGAACTTTAACGATTTTGAACAGGGATTCAAAAACGCTGTCGATTTCCATTAGGCCGTCGGCGAATTTCTTGTCGGAAGAATGTGAAAGTAATTCCCTGAGGACGGTTACAGAGTGCTGCCTGGACGATAAATCCTCACCGTTTAAAAACAGAGCAATGCAGAACAAAGAAGTTGATGATCCGATTTTAGATTGGCCTTCAATTCCAAGCGGGTTTACCCAAGTTAATGCAGACAACAAATCCTTCAAAACTTCTTCGTTTTTCTCCACTGAATCGGCTGCAAAAGACTCGAATGATGAGGCTATGACAAACCCGATTCCGTTTTCCACAATACATTTCTTATTACGCTCACTTTCTCTGGCCAAATCCTTGATCTTTCCGACCAATTCCTGGCACTTCTTCCCATCTTTCCGTTCAGCTGCCGCCTCTAGTTTCTTACTAATCTCCGTTACCTCGTACGGTGTGATGGGAATCCGCGGCGTGGGAATCCTCTCCACCCCATAAGGCCTTTTCTCAACGCACCAATCCTGAATCATTTTCCGGATGGAATGATTCGGGATCAGATCGAAACTCCTCAACACTTGATTAGTCACCGGACACGTCTGATTGCCGGCCTCAATCCACTTCTCAATGCTGTCCCGATCATACGTAATCCCGGTTGACAATGTCACCGGATCCTTCATTATATCAAGAGAAACAGGGCATCGGAAATGAGTCGGAATGGATAACTCCAAATCAATACCCCCATCAGAATTCCCATTCTTCCCACCACCATTGCGGCGGTTTGCTCTCTTCTGCCTCCAAGAAAAGATCATTCTTGGCCTAATCTGAAGTTTTGATTGCTTAAAGCCGGTTACTTTATATAGCTCCAATTAGAATAGAGAAGGGATATCAATTATGATGATTACTTGAGGAAGTTGTGTGTGTTTATGTGTAATAAAAATGTAAGCGTGCAATACACAAACTTTATATAGATATAAACAAAGAAGACAAAACAGCGTGAAGAATTATGAAGAAGTAATTAAACAATGATACATATATATATATGGTGGGGATGAACAGAATTTTTGACAGGGTGGGTTGGGTCAAAGGTAGGAAAATAGTAGGAGGAAAAAGAAGACGTTCAAAATGAAGGAAAGTAAAGAAGAAGAAGAATGAGAAATGGGGAATTGGAATTGGGAAGAATAGCATTATGTTATGGCTAGAACTTAGAAATGGAAATAGTAGGGGGGGGAATTGAACGTTGACCGTTGAAGATTTGACAATGAGAGTCCAACTGTTCACGATTGGGCAGCGTTTTATGGCGAATGTTTCCTGGGTTTAAAATATTAGTAAAAGTTGTATTTCTAACTGGTATTAAGAATATTATTATATATATCTATAAAAAAAACAACGTAGTCGGCTCAAGGTTTGACCGGGGGCTATATCTGGTCAATCTACCTGCCAGAGTGGAGCCATACTGTATAAGCGTGTGAATTTATCCAGAAGCGTGTCAATATCCTGTGTATATATATTTTTCATTTTTTTTAAAAAAAAAAAGTTATTAAAGAAGAGATGAGCCCTGTTGATTTTTTTTTTTCCATAGTGTGAAAAAATGAAAATTATCAGGCTCCTAACATGAATTTCACATGGTTCATGCCCATTTTTTGGATTTTCTCGTTTTCATTTAACGAGTCTTGTTTCCATTAAGAATTATTATCATTCTTACGAGAGTGCCATGGAAAATGTTATTGTTCATATGTATCAAATGAAAAGAATTACTATAATCCTACATTTGCCGAAAAGAGATTTTGTGACCATAAATCATCTTTGTGTGACTTCCCTGATTCACAACGTTTACCATGTCCTTTTTTTACTTTCTTTTTGTCTTTCAATTCTCTTGTTTCATTTCTTGAGAGCTTTTAGCATGTTGCCAAGTGTGAAGTCTCTACAGCTCCTCCAATCCGATGAATATCATTGAAATTGAATCACATTTCTTTGTTTGGAAGCATCATTAATTTAAACAATATCGAGCATCAAATTTAACTTTACTAACTTGTGTAAAGAGGCAGAATTAGGATTTCTTTTTAGGGAATGCAAAATAAAATTATCATACTTATTCCATAAATATGACTTGTATCATCTACTCTTTTTTTTTTTATTTATTTAACCCGTACGCAGATCTAATCAACTGTCTTAAGTTGCAACTTTTTCTTACTAAAAAGTGGTTAGGATTTAGATATTGCAAGATCACTCGGCAAAAATGGTGGAAAATTCACTCGGCAAAAATGTTATACCCGATCGGGAAGCAAAGATCGGACGCGGTTCAGCGTAAAATGATCAGAAAGGTATGATCTTTCTGAATGGGTAAGAAACCAAAAACCCCAAACACAAAGAAAAAAAAAAAGAAAAAGTAGGAGAGATCTAAACAGTTACAAATACACGGCAAATATTTTGACCCTATTGGCCTATTCTACGTTTTCTACGTTTGCACCATGGTCGGTCATAGCACTATTCTTGTTTTAAGTTTTAACTGGCATCATATGAAACACTCTTTCCGTCCCAAAAAAATCAAATAAAATCATATTTGATGTGTTTTTTAATTTAAAACATAAATGCTATTTCCTCCAAAAAGAAAAAAGAACAACTTTCTAGATATTTTGACAGGACGGATATGTTAATCCATAGTTATTCATAGTAATCAAAGAAGGAAGAATTTGAACTTAATTCGAACTAGCTATCGCGTCATTAGTATGATTTAGCTAGTCAATAACTTATGTACACCAAGTTAATCAAACACAAATATTATGGGCTAGGGTCGGTAGGGATATTCACATAGTCGAAATTAATAGTCAAATGTATACGTTATAGGTTGTTGAAAATCAAACTAATCTAGATGTTCTTTCTCTATAATAAGTAACGCTACGAAGAAATTCGTAAATGAGTTGACGATGACGTGCCAACAGAATAATATTGTTCTTACTATTTTCACGGTCATGCATATGCCAAAGTAATACGTTGATGTTGTTTAATTTTTGGTGCAACTGGTTTAAATATCACAAGTTGAAGCTAAATTAAATTGACTGTTAGATTTTTATTTGGTAACAAGACACAGAGGAACCTTATTGATTTTCATAGCCAATGAAGAAGGAAGTCAGGAACTGTGGTATTCCCATTTGCTCAACTGGGATGAGTCAGAAAAGTGATTCTGAACTGCGTGTAAAAAAAATAATGATATTATGTTTTGGTATATTACGTATATCTGCTGTTTGATATAATTACTCCGACTAGTCCGGATTGAAGCGAGAAAGTCCCAAAATAATGATATTATTAATGAAACTATATAGACAAATGAAATAATGCAAGCTAACTAAGAATATACATTTATTAATAAGGGAGTCATTATTTTTTTTATTCTACCAAGAATGTGGAATATCTGATTAGGAATATGCAACCTCTAAGAAAATGATCCTCACGTTCTATTCATCTAAGAGGCAAAAGTTTCAATTTCAACATTAGTATGAAGATTATCAAACCCCAATAGGATAGCTAAGGTCGATCGATAGGGATATGGTTGAAGATTATAGTCAATTGTGGAAGTTAGCGTTGTTGGAAATCAACTAATCTAGATATTGTCGATTCTAAGTATCTAATGCCATCAAAAACATTCAAAAATGGCTTGTCAAGTAATAGTATTTGTTATGTTTAACTGCTAACTAATTTAAATATCACAAATTGCAAGGGCAAATTAACTTTGACTGCTAGATTTTGTGTTCGGTAACATCATGTGTAGAGACCAATTTTGAGGGGAGGTTTAAACTCAAAGAGAGGCCAATTTTGATATTGATTTGGGAGGTATTATAGGTACATTATCAAAAAATTAAGAACACTCTTGAATAAATATAAAAAGATAAAATATATTATCTATAAAAAGTGAACTACTAGTTTGAGACAGAGAGGATTCATGTTTTGGTCTTATACTATCGGTGTTTCATTAGGAGGGGATATACTTAAAAGAGCGAAGGAATATTTGGACAAGGCATGCAACTCACCAACAATGAAGTCTTTAATTCTAAGGAAATGATCCTCACGTTCTACTGTGACTTGTGAGGCGCTGATTTCAATTTCAACATTCAAAGTAGTACAAAATATTGATGTTAATGAACTAATAACTAAAAATGATTAACACACAAGATGATAATAACAAATTAACAAGAAACAAAAAAAAAAAAAAAAAAAAAGGCAATGCGCGAAAGGAGAAGAGGACGATAAAGAGCTAAGTCTTAAGTCACTCAATAAAAGAATTTATAAAAAAAATTGATAGAGCTAGCGAACTTATTTAGGGAAGTGGAATAACGATAGATGTGATTATTGATGAATAAAACAGTTCTTTTTATCTTTTAATTGACAAATAAATTAAACTAGTGTTCGTATCTATATTATCAATACTACGTTAGTTAAGTCTCCAGAAATAATCTGCCAATTTATTTCATCTTAAGCTTGAGCGTGGATATGGACCAAGTCACGAGTTGAACAGCCCGATTGCAGCCTTAAAAACCAAATGGACACACTTTATATAATAGCTAGACTCTCTCGTATGGTGCACAAAATATACTAAATGTATTATTAAAATAATTACTAGTTATGAAGAAAATACTACGTATTCGATTAATGGTTGATTAAAGAAAAACGGATGATATAAAGAATAAATGAAGAGTAATTAAAAAAAGATGTTTAAAACTTAAGTAGTAATAATATTTTTATAATTTAAATTTCTTTGAGCTTAAATATAAAAAGAATGTTGTACTGGATTTTTTTTCCCGTAATTTTACCCGTTAAATTTTAATATTTTTTAATAAGATAGATATTACAATAATTGAGTTTGAATATAAGAAAAATATCTTACTTGGATTTTCTCGTCATTTTTACTGGCAGAGTTTCAATTTATTTATTTATTTTTTAAAAAATATTGGTATTAGAGTGATTCAATATAAATGTAAAAAATATATTTCGTTTGGATTCTTTATCTTAATTTTACCCGTAAAATTTAACATTTTTTTTTGAAAATAAATATTGAATTAGAGCACACTTAATTAAAATTTCTCCATCTGACAATAAGATAAATTAATTTTTATATACATTTATAATAGGAACATGCTTTTACTATATGGTTAATTTTTTTTTTAAGAAATACAACGTAATTCGACTTAAGGTATTTTGGAGTTAAAACTTCTAACTACAACGCGATACCTCAACATTTTTTTCTCTGTTGGACTTCTCTTTTAATGGGATATATTAATTGATTGGAGAAATATTGCAGAGACAACTAGGCGACCAAGCAAAGCCTGCCTCTCTATATATGTTGGTCAATCCATATGACCCAAATGGTCCAAGAATTGGAATATCCTTTCATAGTTAATAAAAGAAAAAAAAAATTTACTTGCAAAACAAAATTATAAAGAACAAGTGGATTTCTTCGCAAAGGATTGGAAAGAAAATAAATAGGTTAATTACTAGTCTACCATTTTTTAAGATTAGAACACTGCTCTTTTTTTTAAAAAAAAAAATAACTGCAACAACTTACAACACTGCTCGTTTTCTGATTAACTCACATCAAACTAATCACATGTTAAATTATGATTTTTTGTTGATGGGGTGTTCAAAAGTTTAAACTTTTTTTTTCTTTAACATTATGTTCATATCAAAATCAGTATTAATACGATACAATGATAATTTAATTATATGTGCATACCTTAGTAGAAATTTTTTATTAAAAAAAAAAAATCAAAGTTCACTCTACAAGTTATTGAGCCTTGCGTTAATTCCATTGCCGCCAAACTTAACCAAAAGTATAACACATAATCACGAATTAATAAAAATATCAATTCTGTGACTTCTACAAATGTATCTATCGATCTCCTCTCACTTCAAATATCTTAGTTTAGTGAAAATACGTACCAATTCCCCCTTATTTTCTAACTTTTGGATTTATCAAGTTGTCACAAAAAATATTCAAAGCGTTAACCTTAGTAACCTACCACCGATGAAGACGAGTCTCAACGTCATTTTCCCAGCATCAAAGAGCAACCAGTCCATAGCTTTCTCCAATATTTTGGAAGAGAGATTAGCCCTCTTTTTTTTTGTGTATAAAAGATTTCTTTCGTAAAGTACAAGTTTTACTTTTGAATAGATCATGAAAGTTCCAATTTCTTGTTGTTTGATACATAAATAAATACGACCCATTCATGCAAGTCGGTTAACTTTACTCTCTTGGATTATTTGTCTTTGACGAAGAAAGACAGATGGATTCAGAGGGAATGAGAGCGGCAATTTTGAGTTGCATGTGAGAAAATATAGTTGGTGTTGACGCCCACAATATAAAAATACCGTTTCTGGTTCATATGCGTCATGAACAACGACAGATATTGCAATAGAATAACGTTAAAAAATTGGAAAATTTAACCCCCCAAACAAAAGAGAAAAATATTGAACAAGGAACAACAGATCAGATACAGCCCAGAAAATGGCATCATTATTGGTAGCAGAAAAATATGAAGCCATGTGGTAATACACGACAGCAACAGCATTTTAGCTTCATATCACATGGATGATTAGGCTGGGGAGGGGGGCAAAGAATTAAAAAATAAAATAAAATAAAACACAATTGCCCACCTCAACCAAAATCTGTTCATAGTTTAGGATTGAAGAAGAGAAGAGTCCCACCAAAATACTAACTTCTATACATTAAGGTTTCTTAATTACCAAATCATTTTGAATTATGGAGGAGAATTTGGTGATTGACAATGGCAGAATTCTGAAGATAACCTTAGCTGCTTATCCAGAAATGGAAGTTTGTTGTAGTGTAGTAAGATCATCTAGAATTATTGCAGACTTTTTCAAGTGCAGTTGATTGCCAAACATGATGAAGTTCAAAGGGTTAGGTTGCATTATTCGTTACATTTCTTTTTAAAGCTCAGCATCTCCATAACTGCTCTGTATTCGTCAGGGTTATGTGACAATGATGTGGGTGTATAATAGCTTTGGTAAAGCTTACATGAATCAGACACACCACACGAAAAATTGTCCGTTTACTTATAAGAACTACGTGCATCATCATTTTTGGTGACTTTATGATGAACCCTTTTCAGTTGTGGCTTTAAAACTGTCCAGAAATACTAAATATGGGAATAGAAGATACGAAATCATTATTAAAGTTGGCAGGCAAGTTCTCATTTTCTTTAATACTGAGGTTAATTGCTTATCTAGTACGTTCTTGTTGCGAGAAAACTGCACTGAGATTATGGACTAAGATGCATGTGCAATATCATCGGCTACGGTCGTGAAATATGTTACATCTTGTTCGTTCAGTTCATCTCAAAGACAACCAAATCTTTTGCTTTGTGTAGTTTTACAGGTATGTTTTCTGTTTGGGAAAGCTGAAAAGGCCTTTCCTATTGGTTTTTCAAAATCAAGTCAGAAATTAAAAAGGTAGATTGAATGCGTATTAAGGAAGAAAAGGTAATGCACATATGAAATGCTCAAGATTGTAATCCTGTTCGGGACCATGTGTGCCCAGCAATGGCAGGCATCCAGTGACCCCTTTGTTGGCTCTGGCTGTTGTATTTTTCCATACATGCGCATTAATGCTATCTATCAGGATGGCAGCTCATAGTATGGACCCAGAATGAATAGGTCCCAAGTGCTTTTATGCAAGCATTTTTCAATCTCTTAATGATTCTTTCAATTTTTAGGACTCCAAACAATGAATATTAATAAGCAATTAACTTGTTTTGCAGAGGACCACTTAAAATTAGTAGAAAAGCAAAAAAAAAAAAAAAAAAAAACTGGTCCATGTGCATAGAATCATTTCCACAAGAAACAGAAATAAGATGAAAATTCCTGTGCTTTTCAAGAGAATAAGCAAGTCCCTTGATATCACGAGCATTGACAAAATTGAACTACTACTTGAAATGCCTTGCGGAGGTCACAAGTCATTTGATTTTAATTAAACCATCCAGGCAATCAGATGATAAAAACTAATGATCCCATAAAAAATAACGGAAGAAAAAAATAACCTAAGACATAATTACTACTAAATATCCCACTTGATGCAAGTTCTGATGAAAAGAAGGAATGGGAACCAGGGGATACATAAACTTACAGTGAGAACGAAGTAAAAAAGAATGAACAGGATGAACCAACCACCAAAGCTGACTGCAGTGCTGTCTGAACTCTCACCTACCATCGGCAGATGTGAAAGATTCGGCAAATCCATATGGCCGGGTTGGTATACTTGTCTGAGTGTTGTCCAAGCTTGGAAGATAGGAAGAAGATGATGAGTCCATGTTACTTCTACCCTCAGCTTGCCACTTCTTTAATGCTTGCGGCAATGACATTTCAAAGTCAATGCCATATATGTCGTCTGTAGTTTGAACAGATGGTTTCCAGAGCTCTACTAGAGAAGATAGTACATTGACAGCATGACCCATGTCAGGCCTTTGATATGGTTCTCGTGCACAGCAGTGTCCTGCAAGCTCAGCAACAGTACTGATACTTGCCAAGGTTTCCTCATTGTGGTCAATTGCTGGGTCAATTGCTTTGCGGAACATGTCTTTGTTGAGACACACTCTTCTAAACCATGTAACAAGGTGCATGCTTTCCTCTGGTTGACTTTCATCAAGAGCCTTCCGCCCTGTGATCAATTCCATCAAGATCACACCAAAACTGAACACATCGACTTTAGTGGTTACTCTTCCCGTCACTGCCAAAAGCAAGAAAACAGAAAAACGATCAGCAATTCTTTAAACAAGTGAAGGAAAATGTTACATTTGAAAATTAAGACGAAACATAGCAAAAGACCAACAATCATTCACATCACAAAGTACTGACAAAGAATTTTCACCAAGGAAGATGATTATTAAAATTCTGAACTCTTGCTATAGAATATGGTGTATACTTTTCTAAACTTTATCCAAAATAATTGAGAGCAAATTCATGATCTTGGAACAAGACATTTGCAGAAAGAACGAACTGGACCTAATAACAAGTTCATTATCTTAAAGTTTTTAACAATGCAAAGATGGGTGTGGGGAATAAATGCAGAGTAGGTTCTTTCCTTAATGCATACAATGGGTCTGGAACCCCAGAAACAACCAACTAAAGGTTCAAAGAAATGTAAGACAAATTTCTCCATACTGCACAACGCAAAACAGAGAAACCAAAATTGTGCTGTAATGTTGAGTCATTGGAAAAGAACGTACCTGCATATTCTGGTGCCAAGTAACCAAATGTGCCGGCAAGCCTTGTTTCAAAGGAGGCTTTACCTTCAGGGGCCAGCCGTACAAGTCCAAAATCTCCGACTTTAGCTCTCATATCATCTCCTAGTAGAATGTTGGAGGGCTTTAGGTCTCTGTGAATGAAGCTTTGATGGGCTAATCCATGTAGGTACTCAACTCCTCTAGCAACATCTAGGGCAATGGTTAATCTTTTAGTCCACTCTAAAGGTCTCAATCCTTCTTCAGCCCAGTTGAATAAGTGCCTACTTAATGTCCCTTGAGGCATATATTCATACACAAGGAGCTTCTCATTTCCATCAATACAAAATCCAAGAAGTGCAACCAGATGCCTGTGACGTACCTTAGTTAAAACAGCAATTTCAGATCTAAACTCAGCCAACCCTTTACCATCAAGCACTCCCGACTCCATTCTCTTGACAGCAATTTTAGTTCCATCGTGCAGAGCACCTCTATAGACAGTCCCAAAACCTCCGCGACCCAATATATTCTCTTCACTGAAGTTGTTAGTCACATTCTTCAGTACTTGTATAGAAATCTTTATGTTTCCTGATTCAACCATTTGTATATCACTTGTCTCACTGGTAGGAGTATTGTGAATATCACTGACTGCACCAACACTGACACTCGATCCTGCAACGGTGATCTTGACATTGTCATTATCAGACCCCGAATGACGAGGATGAACTATCATGGCATTGGGGCTTTGCACTCTGCTCGAACGCTTTTGTCTGCTTCTGTACAAATAAAAAGCTGCTAAACAGAACAAAAACAGTACAAAGATACCTCCAAGTATACAGAATATCACAACTCCAACCCTGGATTTCTTATGTCTGCCGGGCATACCAGGATTATCATTTCCAGGTGGAGAATCAGATTTATCTCCTGAAGTTGGAGAGCCGGGAAGAGGACTTGGTTTGTCCTTGCCGAGGTCAGGGTTCCCACCGGTTTTCAAATCTAAGTTACCCCTAAAAACAGGAACTTTTCCATAAAGGTTATTGTTTGACACATCCAGTTCATTAAGCACAGGAAGGGTAGTTAGCTCCTCCGGGATAGTACCCGTGAAATTGTTGTTGGCAAGAACCAACCTCTGCAGAGACTTAAGAGAAGAAAACACAGGAGAAATTGTACCAATCAGACCCATCTTCTCTAAATTGACAATAGTAATGCTTCCATTGTTACAAGTGATCCCCAACCAACCACTACCACAAGGGTCATTTCCTTTCCAACTCTCAGCCAAACGTCTTGGATAACCCACTGATTGCACGATCGAAAGCAATGTATCGACTTGAGGATCACAAGCACCAGGCTTTGGCAAACAAAAGCTATTAGTACCAGCGGTCATATCCACAGACACGGTATCATGGAACTGTGGCATTGGTCCTTGGAATAAGTTATTAGTCAAATTAACCACTTTCAAGGAATCAAGGTTCACCAAACTCAAGGGAACAGGACCAGTAAAAGAATTATCCCTAATGCTCAAATCCTCTAACACCTTTAAACCGGAAAAATCAGGCAACGGACCAGAAAATCCATTAGAATGCAACCAAATTTGCTTCAAATCAGTCATATTTTGAATGACATCGATTCCTCCACTAAGATTCTGCCCATTCAACCACAAAGACTCGAGCTGCCATCCAGAGAAACTGGAGGGCAGTTCACCATTTAGATTATTAAGAGCCAAATGCAAATTTAGTAACCCTGGGAACCCATCAGGGCCAAGAAAGCTGGGAAGTGTCCCTGTAATATTCACACTATTGGCAGAAAAATTCTGCAATGTGGAACAGTTTTGAAGACTCTCAGGAATCTCCCAAGCAGAAAAAGGGTTCTTATCAATCTCAACGGTAATCAACGAAGACATCCCAGTAAAAAAATCAGCAGGAATGGAAGTAAACTGATTGCCATTAATAAGTAAGGCCTGGAGTGAACTCAAACCATTCAAGCTCGGTAAAGGCCCACTAATGTTATTCACTTGAAGCTCTAGCCTCTCTAGTTGAGTAAGATTCGAGAGACTGGGAGGAAGAGTACCTGTCAAAGATTGGCCTCCTATCTGAATCCGGGTGACCCTTTTGTCCTCAGAGCAACCCACATGATCCCATTTGCAAGGATCTGGATCAGACCATCCAAGTGAATCAGGTGCATTGAGACTCTTCTTCAGTTCCAACATCACCCCAGCATCACCGGCGCTTGTTTGAGACTCAGCAGCAAAGAAGAAGGTAGAGAACCCAAGAAATAGTACAAAAGCTGCAAACTTGAACCCAGAATGGGGCTCCATCTTTTACAAAGATTGAATCTTTGGAGTAAAAAAGAAAGGTTTTTTGGTAATTGCAAAAAGCCTGTTATGAATGCATTGGTAAATGGAGGAAAGGGGAAGAAAAGGATGGAGGAAAGAAGGGGTGGTTTTGGTTTTGGTGTTCTTTTCCTCTGCAGTGTGTGTGAGTTAGTGGGGGTTGAAGAGAGGGAGGGAAGAGAACAGAGCAAAAAAAAACTGGCAAATACTAGAGATTATGGAGTGTTATTTTTGAGAGAATAGTAGCACATGACAAGTGGGACCCACCAAAGCTCAGAATATATATTGAAAATATTAGGGAGACGTGGGGCCCGTGTGTGTGGTGTTGAGGCCTAAAAGAAGTGACAGTTTAGAAAGCTGGAGCTTATGATAATATGAGGAAGATGAAGTGTATATGATTCTTTGGAACATGGGCTCGAAGGGTCAACTTGTTATATTCTGTTGGACATAATTTTTTTTTCTTGGTAGTCAAGGACTTATCAAGCATTCTGGTGACCTTATCCAGAAAAAATAAGGTTGTACTATTCTTTATTAGTCTTTTGAAACCTCAGAAATTAAATTTAGGACGAGCTGTTAAGTTGAGAGAGAATGAAAAGGAGGTTTGCCAACGGAAAATCTAGGAAAAGGCTAAATAAAGCGAAGCTTTGGTGATCTATCTTTCATTTGTAAGCTTTTGGGTGGGAAGTTTCATTTTGTTTTTTGAAATCTTAAGTGCGAAGCTTTTGGGTACAGCAAAATGTTAGCCTGTAAAAAGGACTTCATGATTCATTGTGAATCTGCCAAAAACGTTATCAGACAGCTTATTGTTGTTAAGTTTTGGCCTTGTTTGATTTTATTCCAGATTTCTCCCCCCTTTTGCTGGATGCCTTTTTGTGTGCTGAAAAAAATAAATATGACGTCTGTGGCTATTGAAGGAAAGTTGATGAATCATTGACAGCAGAATATTGGCAGGAAATGATTTGAATATGAAATGTGGATGGACCAGAAAAGGAATTGGAATTTTGTAATTGGCTATCTTCATTCCCCCTCCACAATTTCTAATTCTAGATTTCCTAATATCTCTTTCGTGCTGTGTTAATTTAGGAATCTCAACCATAAATTTAAATTATTATTGTTTGGGTTTTATCCCAAATATCTAGTGATGATTAAATGTCGGGTTTATTTCCAAACCTTTAATAAGCTGTACAAATACGACCATAAGGGACATTGCTTCTGTTTAGGAGTTGATTTTGGAAACTTTTTCTCATATTGCATTAGCATGGATTATTCTGGTTACTAAAACTAAATAACCAATGATTTAACATGGTGGAAAATAGGTTATGTAATATGTTTAAAGAAAGAAGAAGATGATATATGTATCTAGTATAAATGTAATGTGAAATGCTCCAAGCTTCCAAGCTACATTAATTAATGTGACTCATTCAAAAAATACAATCTTTTATCGATGCCAGTGTTCCGCTTCATCAATAACATTAATTTCATTTTATATTTTGAACTTTATTCGGTTATATCCATTATTCGTTTTGTGACTATAGTTATCCTTATGAATAATTGAAAGGTATATATGTTAATCAAATATTGGAATAATTATCACAATCTCACCTCTCATATTGGTAGTTAGTACTCCCTCCGTTCCAAAATTATTGTCCACTTTGAAATTTCACTTTTAGTACAATATGAACTAAAAATAAAAATCCAAACTGGACAATAATTATGGGACGGAGGGAGTACTTGATTACCTTATTTCTTTCTTTTTTTTTGGTGAACAGATTACCTTATTTCAAAGTAGTTGTGCTGATATTTAGCCTGATTTCTAGGGTATAGTTTTTTTATGGAATGGGTTATCCTGCAGAATCCTAAGCAATAAAATTATTATAATATTAAAATTCCTATGAAAAAAAAAAGAAAAAAAGAAATATTAAGATAGTACTAGCCTACTAGGTAGGTAAGCTTAACCCGGCTAATTTGGAGCTACAGTCTTATTACTTCGTGTTATTTTAATCATTTCGTAAACCATATACAAACAGGCTAATTAATTCGGAGCAAAAGTCTTATTGCTCCTGTGTTATTTAATCATTTTGTAAAACATACGTTGCTTGTAGTAAACGTAGCAATATGCATCTGCATTAACTAACTAATGAGTAAGTACAAAACATTGAGTAGTGTAGCCTAACCTATAGTAATCCAAATATTCAACCATTTGTCTAGTAATTATGCATAAAGGTGAGTTTAGAATGGTAGCAAACTATAATATGCAACAAACTATGTTGTATGAGGCTATAAGCTGTATATTGAAAATCCGAACATGACAATTATTTGAGACGGGAGTGTGATTGTAATCATGCGACTGGAAAAAAAAAAAAAAGAAGAAGAAAAGAATATCATAATTTAGAAATTACAACTGAAAGACCTTGTGCTCCGCTTTCAAAATGGATTCCCTGCATCACAAGTTTTAAAATGACCCAAAATAATGAGAAGGGGAGTATCAATTTCCAATCACAATATTTTATAAAAAAGCTGGTAATCATGTGTTCTAGAAGAGCTTCCAAGGGAGTAGAGTAAAGAGATAGTTCAGACTTCCGAGAACTTCAAATAGCTATTGACAATTGTTGGCTTTACCACATGTAGCTCATCTTTCGTAGTCATGAACTCATCAAGGATAAATGCATCATTTCTTGGCTGGTACCATATGCAAGTATATTCCAGAGTATTTTAAAGCAAGTTTTTAAGAAGATAATTCAATTAAGAAGAATAAAATGATTAATTATATCAATTAATTAAACTTATAAAACCTTCCCAGTTCAAATGGTCAGCATAAATCCATAAACCATATCAAACAAATAAACAACAAATACAAGAGCATGCCGGTAGAGGTTTGCTAGTTAGAGTGGTGCCGGCTGAAGCAGTGAATGAACTTAGCCCACTTCTTTTCCAACAAAAAAAAAAAAAAACTTAGCCCACTTCAAATTCACAATTTCGGAAAAATCCAAAACCCATTCATAGAACAATCATCAACTCAATTAAAAATTCGATCACAACAATAGTCAGCGGTACCCTAAAAAACCAATAATCAAAATTTGGGTAAAATTTATTTACCTGGCTAATCGGAATCAACAGCGAATTTGCCTATGATTTTAAGAGGAATTGTAAAAAACCACAGTCTAGACACGAAGCTGGGGTGGACCAATGATCGGTTCCGGTGTCAAAATTAATTCAGTTCCTCTGAGAATGGAAGGATAAATCGCACTACTGGAAGCAAAGGTACAACGGCCAGAAGACCCACCCAAGATGTCACTGAGGAATTTAGCTCCAGTCCAATGAAAGTAACCGGAAGAATTTTTGACAAGAGGAGCCCGGAATATGATCAAGCTGGGCTTGCAAGAAAATTTTGGACTCTTGCAAGTTACTGCTGGGCTTCGATGAGGGAATGAAATGAATATCCACAAGTCCACATTTCATGTTAGGGAAGTTGCTGTTTGAATTAGACTCTATTTGTTTTGTTTTTCGTGTTCCGTTGAAAAAATTAAAAAAAAAATTGATTACATGTCAGAACATCCCAAAAAATAAAAGAGGAAAAATTGAAGGAAGCAAATGTTGAACTTTTGAACGGGCATCTCTGTTGCAACTGTTATAAAAGCCCGTATAGGCGAAAACTAGATATTACCCGCACGCTGTGCGGGGTATAAAATTTATACTTATTTAATCATGTTATAATAGTAATAATGTTAAATTTCATATTTCAATTCTCACTTTTTTTTCATGAAAAAAATACTATTGAAGAATAAAACTAATCAAAACTGAAACTAAAAGTTGGCTACGTATCTATACATAAATATACCAACATCTAAGCAAAAATCTTATAGAACTTTGACCAATTCAGAGTTTAATGTCACAAAAAAAAACCTATAATAGATTAGTGTTTTGAAAAAAAAAAAAGAAAAGAGAGAGAGAGCGCATAAATGATATCGATTAAGTTCCTAATCTTTAACTATTTATTCATTTTATAGTTGTCTGAATTTGTTTAATAGACTGATGTTGATTTTCTTTTGGTATCTAGGAGTAAAATTTAATTCATGATTTCGGGATAAAAATGATATATACTAAACCATAATACTTATTCACGATTCTCATTCACTAATTAAATACAAATTTTTTAATTAATTTTGATGGAATATTTGTACAAATTTGGTTATGTACTCCACATATTGCCTAAAATATCGTACAGTCATCATTCATTCAATTCAGAGTCCTAAAAGGTATTATAAATTTATTGGGAGATTTCATTATTACTCACCCCACTTTTATTCATTTACTTCATAATATGCATAATCTTCTTAAACTTCAGATCGCTGACCGCTGTTACTTATTATATTGTAAGGAGGAGTTAATTCGAAAAATTTAGAGATAAGAGATTTAAAGAGAGACAAAATTAACCGGAGAAAGAAATAGCAAAATTTTGTTTTTTTTTTTAGTTTAAATGATTAATTTTGTAAGTAAAGATAATAGTCGACCTTTTTTAGTTAGCAACCGGTGAGCTTGAAACCGATGAATGCAGTCACATTAGTAGCTAACATCTAAGTTGTTCTAATTGAAGGCAAGTATTGTATTTCTTTTTTATTCAAAAACTAAAAGGACTCTTTGAATAATTTTATAGGATAAATTTGGGAGAATACATTAAAAAATGCCACATAAGATTTTATCATATGTGGCAGCATAAGAAAAAGTTTTGTTTTCTCTCCATGACTTCTCTCTTAGTATAATATACTATATATATCTAATCTAAGTAATATAAGACGTGAATCCTCATTTGTGGAACGGTTTGTTGCCAGTTTCCCCCTAAAATTAGTGACGTGGCAGATACTGATTGGACCGCTTCTTTTTTCCATTTTGGCCATTCGCTTCTTCTGTTTCGCGGTGTTTCGGTTGCCGGTCATATTTACACTACACGTGTTTAGCCACTTCGATCTCTCCTCTACTACTGGTTCGGGCCTAACCTTTCTAGAATCTCCACTCATATTCCAAAGATGACAGCAACGGGAGAAAAGAGCAAAATAATGATACATACCATAATTCTAAGTTGACCGGATGAAAAAAGTTTAACATTAACACGGCTTGTTGCCATATTCCAAAAAGATTTAATATTAACTATAATGATACATACTATAATTCTAAGTTGACCGGATAAAAAAAATCAATAATATGAGCAAAATAATACTTACACTACTTTTCGTTTGGCCGAATAAAAAATTTCAGCATTAATTTGATTAATGCAAAAATTCATGTTGGCATTAATTTTAATTTCGATTATATTCAAATTTTTGGTTAAAAAAAATTAGCATTAAATTTGACTAATGTTAAATTTAAACTTTCCGCATTAACCATGATTCTTACTCTAGTTTTGATCAAATCCGCATTAATTAAAAAAAATCAGCATTAACTTTAATGAATACATGGAATGCACGATTTTATACCT